TTTTTTTTGTATTTCACTTCGAATAATTCCATTCCAAAATACTTGATATGGATGCTGAGTTTGATATTTAAAGAATATAAGTCAGAACTTCATTCTCTTGGTTCGGCTTAGCTTAACTTAGCCTCGCTCAATCTTACATGAATGACAAGAGCCTACTGCATGATGCTGCAATCCCCTTTGGCTTTCTACTATTTTCTGTATGCCAATTTAGTGCTTCAAAACTTTAGTTATACCAATATGAGAATTGAAATTAATTGATTCTAACCCATTTTCAACATCTTAAACATACGCAAGCATATTTTGCACAATCTTCCTGACATCGTAGAAAAGCTCCCCCACCATGCCTTCAATTACCAAGTCGCTGTCGGAAATCTTTCTCACTGCAAGTTGATTGTTGATCACCAGGGCACCATCTCCCTTGAACTCTGCCTTCATGTTGATTTCAGCCAGTTTCCTCTTTAGCTCGGCCAGTCTTATATCACCAATTGCCAAAGGTCCCATTGAAGCGGAAACCAGCGCTGAAGAAGTCACCTCCGAGGGTAGCGTGCGTAGCACCAGATTCTTCGGGTTAAGACTCGTGTTGTCTCCTTCTTCTGGTTCTGATTTGGCAATCTCTCCAACAACGTGGGCAATGGAATAACCACCTGCAATCTTTTGCCATTTTAAAGCCTGTTCAAGCTTTTCATCGAGTGATACTTCGTAGCTCGTGATAACGCTACCGACACTCACTGGTGAATTACCAACCACTGTGATCATATCCATGGCTGGATTTGCATTGTTTCGCGTGTATGCGGCACTGACCAGGAGCTTCTGTTGCTGTTGTTCGATGGCACTGGTCACCTCTTTCAAACCACATCCATATGAAATGGAACGTTCAGGTATCAGCAATACTTTCTTTGGTTTCAAAGAGTTAATGATGATCATCATAGAGCGCAAGTCGACAGACCCTGCAAGATCGATAAATGTCAGACCGCACCTGGTGCCAAGGCTGATTACTATCTCCTCCCTTCTTCTGGGGTTCTTCAGTGGATCCAAATCCAAATGTTGCTCTTCTTCTTGCTGCCGGATTTCCTCCTTATTCAACTTCTTCTTTTTGTTCGTCTCGTCGTCGTCTACACCACGATCAAGGTTTCTCTTTCTCTGGTTGTAGGAGTTCTGATTTTGCTCAAAACCACCAAACTTGTCTTCTTTTCTTGAAAATTCGTTTGCATTGATTACAATACCATAATCATCCCTGACAATCTTCTTCTGAACAAATGGAAACATTCTGTTTCTTCCTTTGGCGTTGCGCACATCGAAATCCATGGGCGTTTTCAGCAGTGTCTCTATCGATGATCCAGCAAAGGAGTCCACTTCCTTCCCTGCAGATCCAGCATTCAAGGTGATCTCTTTGTTTTTGTCATTCTTTGCAGCTGCTGCTGTAGTAGTAGTAGCATTTCCGTCTCCGTCTTCATCGATATCGTCATCCTCATGCTCTTCTTCAGACTCAGATGAATCCCCCAAAATCTCACCATCTCCCAAAAGCAGCTCCTCATTCTTTCTATCAGCCGCAACAGCCATCCTCTGCCTCTGTCTTTTGTCGTGGAGATTCTTCTTATAAGCAGATAGCTCAAGGCCATCTAGCAGTTCTTCTTTGTACATCTTGAGGTGAAAAGCCTTTTCCAGAGGAACAGCAATACCGTCCTCTAGTTTGCCATTGTTGGATTTTTTTGATAGATTTGACCACGTTTCGTATATCTCGCTCGAAAAACTTTCGCTGCTGGGTCTTTCAGTAAGAATAATGGTAGAGTTGGGCCTGCTCGACAAAGCCAGCAGACATGATCTGCCCTGTGATCCCTCTTCGAGATCAGAGTCTGAGCAAAACACAACCTTAGGACCCTCTAGTCTAACCAATTCTTCTGGGCTCACAAGTCTGACTTGAGTGACGTCGTAGGGAGCCTGCCCCTTTGATTCCCATTGCTTCAACATCTCGGGAGACATCCATTCAAGCATGTTTGATGCGAAAGCTAATGCCTTGGTTCCACTGTGACACAGTAATAGTACCGGGATTGTGTTATTCGTATTCTGGTCGATCAATGGCAACAACTCAAACATTCTTCCGGCTACTGTCGTCGGAAGAATTACCGATCCTCCGTTCTGGATGGTTGCCTGTACCATCACGATGAACTTCTCCACCTTCTTCTTATAAGGCAAAGCGGTGCCCAAATCCGTACCCGTGATGAGCGTGGTTGGTCTCAACAAGTAGGGTGTGACCAGTTTAGCAGCGTTCAAAAAAGAGTCCTTGGAGTGGTTCCATGTGGGTGCGTATATTACTTTTTCGGTATCTTTGGTTATCAACCAAAAAGATCCACCAAGAGTGTGTCCAGCATTGTAAGCAGTAATCGAGGCACCACTAGCTCCAACACTGACAGACTGAGAATACTTCAGCGGAGTGATTCTGTTGAAGGCTTGTTCTATGTCACCCTGCTCTATGAAGGCAGTATCCAGTGGTCCAGTCGCTCCACAACTACGATAGAGTTCAATTGTGGTGACCTTACCCAAGTTGGTAACCGGTAGAGTAGCATAAACCGGAATTTTCTGCAGAATTGGAAATTTGAACTGCAGTAGTGCAAATGCACCCAAATGCTCTTTGGTTGTCTGAGATAGCAGTATCACGTCTATCGTGGGGATCACACTTTCCAAAAACGAAAGGTCGCATTTGCCATCCCAGCCTGGATCGGCCAGTATATTCAAGTTTTGACCAAACCGCAGCAACGAAGCCCTTGTTATACCTTTGTAAGTCGTCTGGGAATCTGATTCGGCATCGGAGCCAGTGGGGTCGTAAGAATCGTCCCCAATTTCGGAGCTCGACGGTCTCGGCGTTAGCAGTGTGTATGTAAACATGGCAAAGCCGCTGGTCGAGAAGCCGTTAGATTCTGATGACGGTGATGTAAAGCGCAGTGGTGATTGAACAAGCCTTTGTGAGCTTGGTAGAAGGTTTCAATGGTATACTAAATGGTGGGTGCACTACAAAAATGTTATGGCCCGGTTGGAACGAGCATTTTGAAGGAGCATTTTCAGTACGGGACAATTAAGGAAGTCATGATTTTGAGCGAGGAAAATTCTCGTATTTAGTACTGGATACGACAAGTGAACCATGGTTGCAGGCGCGATGATATGTAACCTCCTCGTCAGTCATCCCAGCTGGCTGTAATCACTACCATTCAACACCCTCCTCTCAGAGTCAACACCAAGTGCAATTGAGATCCCGCAGTAATCTTGCAACCCTCGACAGTATCGCTATCCTCTCTGTGACAATTAAAGTTAGTGGCCGCATAAAAATGTCTTCAAGATGTGTAAATGTCAACTTACAGTTGTCTGCCTGAAAATAGAAACCTCTGTTGTTCCGATGGAATGCCTTCTTTTTCCTCCAATAGCTTCTTCACATCTTCAATCTGATTGAGGTGTTAGGGGGAATCTAAGTTTCGAGATAAGATGGAAAATCGCTCAAGTAGACTTACCTTATCACTTGGCTCCACATCCATAGTGATCTATAGTGTCCTGTGTTAGTTTGTCGATTCCAGTCTATCAGTACAAAAGTTGTGCTGAAAAGTACTCCATTAGAACAAACTTACCTCTCTTCCAGTGAGAGTCTGTATTGAGGGTTGTTAGTAATCATTAGAAGAGTCATTGCTAGCTCAATTAGAACGGGCCAGCACTGTCCACTAAACATAGTGAAAGACCACCGACCAATGATCGCAGTCATTCCAACTCACCTTCACTTTAATTTCCATTGTTTGTTCAAATTAGGTCAGAACTTTAGAACTCTCAAGGTGTTCTCAAACGGCTCGTGTTAACTCTATCGTATAGAGAGGAGGATCTCTATCAAGGCGCATCGAGTTCCTACATCACGTGACTGCTAAAATATATATCGAGGCCTATCTGCAGTTTGAACGTGCGGGAATCTCTTTCCTAGTCATTATCCGAAAGCTACATTGGGAAAAGAGACGCTTTGATGAAGTTATGCTGGAAACACCGATAATTCCTAGTGCGGACTACTCAAAGGTATATGAACCGGCAGAGGACTCTTATCTGCTGCTAGACCTGTTTGAGCAGATACGGTGTGAGCTGAGCTCAAAGAGATATGCCCATTCTGTGCCTCTCGTGGTGGAAATTGGCACTGGGTCTGGCGTTGTCACTGCTTTTCTCAACAAGAACATCCTACCGAAAGCTCTTTACCTAGCTACTGATGTTAATCCGCATAGCTGTGTGATTGCTGCGAGGACAAACTCACACAATGCAACCTCGTATAACATGGATGTCATACGATGCGACTTAACCTCGCCATTGCTTACAGAAAAAGTCGATATTCTTATATTCAACCCGCCCTATGTTCCTGCGGAGAAAGTTCCCGAAATACCGAAAGACGACAAGGATCCCAGATGGCTGGATCTGGCCCTGGATGGTGGTCCTACAGGTATGGACATCACCCAACGGGTTCTCGACTCTTTGCACACTATTCTTGCGCTAAAAGGTGAGGCTTATATCCTCTTCTGCGCGCGAAATCAGCCTGATAAAGTTGTTGAGGATTTTAAAAAGAAGTCTCCCGGGAAGTGGGATGTGACAATGGAAATACGTAGAAAGGCTGGTTGGGAGATGCTCAGCGTGTATAAATTTGTGAGACTATGTGAATGATCTAAAACCGTCTGTTGGACGTACCGTTTCATTGGAACAAATCATTGAAGATATCATGCTCGCACGCCTCAGTGTCGGCAACTCTCAATGAATACGCACTCTCGTAATTGAACGAACTCAACTTGCTGAAGAAGCTCTGCAGCTGCGTCATCTGCTTGACATGTTTCAAACCTAAAAGTAATGGCTTCTTTTTACCTAATGGCTCGTCATTCTCCGTAGATGCTGTTCTAGTTTCGACGCCTTGAATCTCTGAGATTCTGTCAATTATCGCTAGTGTTGGGACCTTTTCAGAATCCTTGGGAGTTTCTGATACAAACAGCCATTCGTTCAGCTGGAAATCCTCAAACTTGAGCAACAGCAACACGTCTAGAAGTTTGGAGGCCATCAGCAAAATGTCCAGGTCAGTTTCAGAGTTTGGGGTTTCACCTTCAGCGAGATTTTCGATCTTCGCAAGAACTGTCTGGAACACCTGCTGTAGCTCTGAATAGATCATTGGCCAGGCCGTTGTAAGATGAGGCTCCGTAAACCTGAGTATCAACGCTCTGAGACATAGAAATGCATCAGGTTTCAGTATTCCTCCTGTTCCAGCCAGTATATCAGACAATCTGTTCACGATGTCTTTCACGTTGATGAGATAACGGTCCACTGGTGAAACCATCAGCAAGTAGGCAACACGCTTGAGGTGGAGACCACGAGTGGTCAGCTCAGAATCATTCCATCCAAACAACGTGGAGTTTCCTGAGTATGGTTGCATACGACTAATAAGATCCGACATTCTCTCCTTATCGCCATCGATCCAGGTGAACATGATGGAGTTCCATGGTGCGGATTCAGTGATGCTCATGGTGAAAAACTTAGTATCCATGAGGACATCGTATAACAGGGACTTCCAGCCCTTGATGTTCACAGCTGAAGCGTCACTGATCACGGTGAGCAAGGCTATGGCGTAGTTTGGAATCGAGCCAACAGCCTTACCCTTAAGAACTGGGATAGCCACTCCAGCAACAATTGAATTCAGTGAGTTGATTACCTTGTCGTTGTCTTGTACCAGGACTTGAATCTTGGGAATGATCTCAAATAACGCATTGCAAAGTTCCTCCTGCGAAATCTGCTGTTTGTTTGCACCTTCCGGTAGAGATACCTGAGAACCAGAGTTGGCCTGGCCCTCTATCAGCTTGGAAGCCGCAGTCATTCCAGTTTCAACGGGAGTTGGGGTTTTTGCTTCTTCTGATGCTGATAGAGGAAAGGAAAGAGGGTTTGTCAAAAGTGACGACAGGCCATCCGATTGGAATCTGGAATACACCGCCACACCGAGCATCTTGGTGAAGTATTCGGTGAGCTCCCTTCTAACTCTTTTTTGCTCACCAAATCTGGTTTGCCCAAGTTTCAAGCCTAAAATGCAGACGAATCTCAACAGATCAGGATAAAGATGCTTGAATATTGCCGAGTTTGACTGGACATCTTTCAGAAATTGTGTCACTTGAGGCCAAATATCCTCAATTGTGTCATTACCCAAAGATTCTGCATATTGCACAATGAAAGCAGAAATCATGCGTTCGGTAAGATCGTTGTTCAGAGAAGACCTGCTCCCAACATCTATGGCAGTAGGATTCACACGTGTTATCAGAGAGTTGAAAAGATGTGGGAGCGTGTTCTGAGGTCTACCGCCGTCCAAAACATGAATGATCTTGAAAATTGTGTATGGCGTTCCAAGGGAACAGAACTGGTTGTTCTGTGCTTCAATGAGAGTTTCCAAAGACTCTAGAGTCTCTAGTCTATACAACATCTCCAAAAGCTTTTTTGTGCGGAACTTCAGCTTTCCTGCTGTATAACTCAAGGACTTGTCAAACTTCAGAAATCCGTCTGTGGTTTCTTTAGAAGATGAAGGCAGTTTGTAATGGCCCGTGAAACTTCCCATGCGAGATACTTGTTTGAACACATTCAAAGTGGAACCGCTGTTGACTGGCTGTAGTCCTGTCACCTTTGAGTTTTGGTCAGCCCAGAGCCATATTCTGTATGACATCACGGTAGCAGACTTGAAGGCATTCAGAACAGTCAACTTCCTGGTGAGAACGGCATCTCTATGAGAAGGGGCTTCAACCTGGAAAACGCCTTGCATGACCGTGCCAAAGAACCCTGACTCACCAGTCAATCTGCTTCCTACTCCAGCAGACGACGAACTGTCAATCTCTTTCATATAATCATACGAAATAATCAACAGCTGCTGAAGACCTCCCATCAAAAACGAAAAAGACTCGTATAGATTTCCATCGAGGAGTTCTTCTCCATTGGTCACAATTGTTGTTGAGCACGTCTCCTTGAAACGGAGAAACAAATCCTCAATTTTTGAGCAGATACAACCAGTCACTTCAGGCAGTATGCTGAATACCACGCTCTTGTGTAGTTTCAAAGACACAGAAAGAAGTCTCATCCATGCATCCACAACAATTGCACTCTTGGAGTTGCTTATACCAAGCAATAAGAAATCCAAATAAACGTCAAAGCCAGGAGACCCCTCGGTGGCATTGGGGGCAACCAATGGCTGCGTTGAGCCTCTTGAAGCAGCAGTCTGTAACAGAGAGCCTATGGCATCCACGTAGCTGACCTCGACCAAGTCCTTGATAGAGGTGTCGGCATTGAGGGTGGAGCAAAATTCAACAGTTTGTATCATTATAGAATAGAACTCTGGTTCAGTTCCATTGAGAAGTATACCCAATAATTTCAAGGATAATTTGACACATCTTGCGTATGGTTCCCAGAACTCATCCGCGCTGTTTTGAGGTGGACTCAGCGATAAGAACTTCATTACCACGATTATGAGAAGGGATTTGTATGTCGAGATATTCCAGTTGTTGGCATCTATGACTTTCATCTCAACACTGCTTTCTAGCACACAAAGCTCTTTTGCAATGGACTGTGTAAGTGGACCTGCGCTTACATTCAGTAGGTTGGCAACGGTCTCAAGCTGGTAAGAAAACCTGGTGAGATCGTCATCCCTACTCAAACTTCCGCTAACGAGAAATGGGAAACTCAACAGTTTTGTTCCAAGCATTTTGTAGATTCTGCTGATTGATCCATCGCCTAGGCAATTTATGATCCAATCAGAGACTTGGATGTACTTAGTCTCATCTTCTGAAGATAGGTCATCCAGTAACAGAAACGTGGGGCGCATGAGAATTTGATTCGTGCCATGGTATGTGGCTGTGTGTGTCCATAAGGCAGAGAAAGCCCTCATCTTCACTTCATAGGGTTGGTCATCTTTGGTGAAAAGCGAGGAGAGCGCTCCTTCAATATAATGGGACTCGACGCTCATCTCCATGTTCCAAATGCATCTAACTGTCTCCACGGGATATTTGCAGGATTTGTCAACTAGAGCGAGCCAAAGAAAGTTGGTCAAAACTTTCAAAAGCCTCGTCTTCTCGGTGTACGTACAGGACTTGACCAGAGGGTTGAATATCACAGCAAGTCCAAAGGTTATGGGTACATCGAAACCGGCATTCTCTAAATCAAGAGCAGACTTTATCAACGTATCATTCCTGTACATCTTTTCTCCCATGGGCACTTTCCCTAAAAGCTCTGATAGAATCTCGCAAAGGGCAAAGGTCGAGTCACCCTTGATTAGACTGGCATCTTGAAATCTGCTTGAAACCAAAGATGAAACGGTGTTGAGAAGTAGAGCACCCATATCTGCACCTGTAAACGGTTTGGAACGATCTTCAAACACCTCTGCAGTTGAATAATAATCTTCTATCTTGGACATAACCTTTGTCTTTGAGTCCACGTCCAATGGCTCCAAGAATTCGGGTGCCGCATGTTCTATGGGCAAGAAGGCTCTCTGAGGTATCACACTCAGCAGTGCCTTGGAGTACACGATCCATCTTATGTCGCCGGATTCCTCGTTCTGCAAAAACGTCATCAACAAAATCATGGGTATATGAGCTATCACCATATCTTCTTCCTCGACGTTGAAGTTCTTGAGGACAAACAGTAGTATATCGAACTCGCGATCCTTTGACAACTTGAGCAGATCACTCCATATGTTGATTGACTCGACTCCATCGAAAAACGCGCCTGCATTCCGCAGCACCTCATCCGTCATCGGACCGGAGCTCAGATCCACAGAAGTCTTAGCACTCTGCAAGATAGGGGTCAGAATCTTGGGAATTATCAATTGTCCAATTTCCCATCTATCCATCAATGCCACTGATATTCTATACGCTTCTATACGCTGCTGGTGTGGGGTTTCCGAAGAGTTTGCTCCATTGATCATATCAAGCAGAGATTCCGAGAGAGTCGTCAACCCGTAAGCCTTAAAGTATTCTGACCTGGTGAGGGAAGAACCCTCTGCTTCTAACTTTTCCGTCTCGGGTCCAAGCAGCCAGTTCCACAGCCTTCTGTTCAAAGACATGTCTTTTCTAAGAACTGTCTTCGTGGCACTCATCACCAAAGTCTTCTGGTCCGAAGTGGAGGTCAAGATTTGGAGGATTGGGGACTTGAGCTCAATCTTGGTCACCAGAAGATCAAAAAATCCTCTTTGAACGAGGACATTTTCATCTCCAAGACCTTTGCAGAATGCCATCATCATTAGTTTGGTGCTTGGTAGCACACAGCTTCTGGTCTCGAGTTGAAGAAGGCTCAATACACCTGTTGGTGAAAGCGAATGCAAAGATTCTGGGGTTTCTTTCTCAACGGATCCGTCCTCTGCCTCGATATCGTCTTCCGTCTGAGTTTGCTCATCTGCACTTGTTTCCGGAATGAAACTCGGCAGCTTTTTTATACACCATTCCAACGCTCCCTGTCTTCTATCAGGGGAGGTGATGATACACAGAAACAGACACTGCCAGAAATGGGTGTCATCATTCAGGTTAGTCTTGAACCCCTCAATCAGGCTCATGGTAGAACTAAACGACTCAGAAGTGGTATCATCCAAGCCGGGCAACAAACTCAGCAGCACTGATTTCATTATGACGTGTAATTCCTCGGGGTTGATCTTCACTATGAAGTCCTGAAACAGCTTGATTAGCCACGGCTTGACAGTAATGGATGCAAACGACATCAAAGGTAATAGTCCAGGTAGCCAAACAGAAATGTTAGCACCCAAAGCTTGGATTCCCAGCGTTTCAAAGATTAACTCATACACTTCCAATGCTTTGCGGTGAACTCCACTAGGCAGCTTGGGAGATAGACATTTTGACAGTGATTTCGATACAGTGAACTGTTGTGGAATCCAATGATTCTCTTGAGGAGCTGGATTTGTCTGTAGTGCCTTAAGCAGCTTGCTCAAGTATGAAATGTAGTCTGCCCATTCAACCACGCTTTCGAATGTAACAAGGGCCCTCTCGACATTTTGGGAGTACCGTTTCTCCTTCGACGATAATTGAGAGTCATCACGTTTCTTCAATAACGGTAGCAACGACATTGGACAGGCGGTTGGTCTATGACCTGTGCGAAAAAATGTATCGTTGGTGATGGGTGTCCTGTGGATTTATCTATTCGATACCAGGTGGCTTGTTGTATTGGTACCACAAAGATATCGAACTGAGGTCGGAAGTCACGTGATTAGTATATGCTGCTGGTGTGCGGCTTATATAAGGGTGTACGTAATCACTGTCTAGAGGTGCAGTTGAGGCGAAGACCGATTGAAAGCTTATATTTCGGTCAATTTGATTGTGCTTAATTGTTTCGTGAGGTTTTCAGGCCTTTAGTGTTTGTTGAGGTTGGTAGAATGACCGATCTTGGAGCTGCACTCTGTGGCTGTGCAATTGGGGTAAGGTTTACCAATTCTTTTGCCTTTGCCTTTTTGTGGACTTACAAACAAATTGTTGAGATGTAGCAACTCGTTCGGAAACCAGGTGTGCTGATGACGCAGGTATGGGCGAACCCGGTGAGCTTTCTGTCAAATTCGGCATCTGTGAACTACATTAGAAGATTAGGATCCAGAATTTGCACTAAACTATAACTTACTATCAATTGGCTCCTGTGGTGACTCTATCTCGTAGAACTCCAGGCACGAGAGTTTTATAGAGAACAGCTTGACCCGTTGTGGGTATTCGTCAGAGGTGTCTTGTGTGATAGAATCTATAAGCTCCTCGGGCAGTTGATGCTGAAAATTGCCTAGATCAGCAAAAATTCTCCAAAAACCTAATATTCACCACCTTATAAACCACAGATTCTGATCAATACTGTACTTTTCACCTTTTCTATCTTCTGATAACAGGTCGTGGCGAGTCTAGTATTCAGCGATGGGGTAGATAAGCCGAACGGGCAAAGCGCTACCAACATGCCCTTGTTCTTGCAGTGATTCACAAAATGGTCTTTCAAGAGTATTTGGAATCACAAGTTTTGTATCTCCTGTTTAGGAATTTTCAGGTCGGGTTTCAGGTGGTAACCTCAAAGACAGTTTTTTATCCTTTCTTGGTATGACAAGACCCTTTTACCCCACAATTTGACACGAAGGCTAATAGTGCATACGTTGATAAAGGGCATCCACAAATTCGTCAATGATCCTAAGTTATTTTTCTTTTTCAAAGACCTTCTGGTCCCGATGCTGGGAATTTTCTTCGTGGTTTATCTTTTGGTGATAGTTGCACTATACCCGCTGCATGCCTCGGGCTTGGTACTGTTCAACGGCCCGTTTGGATTCATCTCTGGTCTGGTAATGGTGATCCAAGAATCGTATCAGATCGTCAATTTCCTCATAAGGGCTTTTATTTTGCCGAGGCCTTTGAAGGCTGTATTTGAGGTCACTTTTAGGGAAAAGTCGCCGTATGTTGGTGATTCTTCTGACTTGTTGATGGTCGGTTATACAGGAGACACGTTACTGCGCAAAATCCAAAGAATCACTCTCAAGAACTTGTGGTTACCGATCTGGATTGGTTCGACCATTTTCTTGTTTCTGTTGAACTTTATTCCCGTCGCTGGAGTTTTTCTGGTGATTTTGCTCAAATCTCCCACCAGAGGCTACAACTCTTTGAAGGCCTACTACGAGATGAAAGGTTTAAACCCAGCACAGGTTGACTACATGATTTCCCTACAAAAAGGCGATCTATTGACTTTCGGGTTTGTTTGTACATGTTTGGAAACAGTCCCGTTTCTGAGCTTACTGTTTGTGTTCACAAACGAAACCGCGGCAGCGCTGTGGGCCGCTGAGATTGAGCTGAAATTTGAACGGAGGCGCACGGAGAAGGAGGAGTGAGAGTTAATTAAGAAGTTATTGAGCCAAGTTAGGCTTTGTGTTCGGGAACTGGTCCCTCAAGTGAATCAATGCTCCATCAAGTTACTCTGTTCATCAAGAAACAGGCGAGCTCCAATCCAACCCTCTAATCAGAGGCTATATTCACATCCTCAAACAATCTTTCCCAGAAACTCAAACAAATCAGCTAGCTCCTCGTCACCTGCAGTGTGACCCTGATGTGGATACGTCTTGAAGTCAAGGTCCTTGAAGCCGAGCTGCTTGTAAAACTCGCTGGTCAACTGACCATAACGGTGCGAGATTACCGGGTCTGCGTCTCCATGGCCCATAAAGATTGGAGTCGCAAAGTTGGTGTTTTTGGCCAATTCCTGGACCTTCTCCTTGCAAGGCACGAAACCAGAAAGTCCCACAATCCCGCCCAATTTCACATCTGAGAGGGCGCCAGTTGCCAAAGCCAAAGCGGCTCCCTGAGAGAATCCCCCAACAATGATTTTCTCGCCCTTAATACCGTGGTCAAGTTCGTACTGGATAAGATCCTGAATCACCCCACACGAATTGATGAACCCTTCGGCGTCCGTGTTGGATTCTTTTCCAAACTCCGCTATATCGAACCAGCCCGGCATTTTCATTCCCCCGTTCACAGTTATAGGAATTTCCGGAGCATTGGGAAACACAAATCTCACATTCTTGAACCTTGGTGAAGAGTGGGCCATATCAGCCAGGAACTTCCACCCATTTCCAGAATCTCCCAGCCCGTGGATCATTATCACTGTGGCTGTAGCTGTGGCTGTTGAAGCCGGAACTCGCACGGCAGAAAGCATCGAATATATACAAATGGCCAGTAGAACAAAGCCCGTTGGATATACTATGTTCATGGAATAAGAAACAAGACAAGGAGGAAGATCTAGAAGTGGGTGTGCTTTTTTGGTTAAGACGCGATCATTACAGGGTGACTAAATTCAGATGTGGCATATCATGTTTATCGATTGAGATGCTATACAAGTGAACAACATATAACGAGCAGATTAACGACAAAAATCAATGCTTTAGAATTAAAATGTCTATTCGGTTTCAGAATTTTACACCTTTATCTCCCCAACTAAAGGCTCCGGAATTCACTGTACTGAACCCTCAGGAGCTCTACTCCAAACTCAATCAGATCAGTGTGGAGATCCCTGACTACCTCCATGAATTGCCAGTTCCCGATCTTCAGCGACTGGCATCAGATCTGTTGCTGTTGAAAAGTGAGATCTATATGAATCCCAAGTTTGAAGAGATTAGGGGCCAGATCTTGGGTGTCGTGGAGAACCTGGTGGAGTTTGCGGAGAGGCTGCTATCGGAGTACGAAAGTTTACGAGGCAGATTTGATGAGGTGAGTCTACGACTCGGCGAGACGAATGCTTCTGTTGAGAGGTTGAGGCGATTGGACATGGAGTTGAGTGGAAGTTTATACAAATTCGAAAGTGGTGCTTTGAAACAGCGACTGCAGTCTGCCATACTGGAGTCGGACCAAGTGGCTCAGAATCTGGTTGAGAGCTTCAAGGCTGACGACTCTGTTGGAGACTTTATCAAAAGTTTCAGAGCTGAAAGAAAGGTCTATCATCTGCGAAAGGAGAGACTCGAGAGGTTGAACGAGGACCGGGTGGGTGGGTTGTTGTGAAAAGTTTGGTAGTCTCTGGCATCAGACTTGGTTAGTGCGAGAAGATAGTCAAATCAATTAAAGGGTTATTGCATATCGTTATCAGGCTAGCGAGAAAGCCAGAAAAGCTTGAGTCTAGGCCCTCTAAGTTCGTCAAGGCAGGATGGTCAAAACGCCTGCTCGTCACTTTCGTGGCCATTTCGCGTCTTTTCTCCGTCCAGTCCCTTCACCACCTCGGTCCACATCTTCACGATCTCTGGTATGGAATAGTTTGGAAACTCGACTATTCCCTGGTATTCCCAGCCCGGATCTTCTCCTAAATAAGTAATTCCAACGTACATCTCCACCTGGTTCCCGTGTATAAATTTCCGCCTCACCAAGGCATCTGGATATATAGCTCTCAATGTAGAAGTCAGCTTCGTCTGGTTCACTATGGCGATATCATGTTTCAGGCAGAACGTGGCTACCCACGCGTGAACAAAGTCCTTAGGCACCATTCCCTTTGGGTCTGGTTTGAGCCTCATCATAAGGGCTTTGCATATTATAGTGCGGTGCATGGTATACACCAGCCTTGAAGGTGTGCCTCTTGCGTGTTTCGCATCTCGTTTCTTCAACTCGTCACAGAGAGCCGGCAGATCCCAAGTCCCATCCAAAGCCCGCTCGATCATCTGCGTCATATTCAGCTCTCTGTTCCTCGACATTTTAGTATATTACACTTGAGTTGGCGGTCCAGTTGTTGTATTGCGTGAAGTTGTCTCGCAGTGTGGGAGCGATTTCAACTTGTAAGATTTTGATGAATGCACGCGCCACAGAGGCGGTGCAGATATTAATGCTGGTAATCTAACTTTTCAGCCATAGTCTTACTTCCTGGATGAGACATTTTCGATTGTCTTAGCTCTTTATTCGCTGAAATTTTTGACCATGGATGACGTCTGGTCCGATGATGAGTTCAACTTCACTCCCAACTCCAAGGAGACATACGGAAACGTGGAAACCACACACATGAACATCAACTCGCTGCGGCAGGTGCACGGCAAGAGAGGTTATCTTGATGGTGTTTCGCAGAGCAAAGAGTCCACAATCCAGGAAGGATTTGATTCAGGATTTGGAATCGGACTGAGAATAGCAGACCAAGTCGGGTTTGTTCTGGGAGTTTTGCAGTTTCAAGCTACTGTTGATCCGGCCCATTATGGGGAAGTGTACGAGAGTGCAAAGGTGGAGCTGAACATCCAGGATTTGCTGAAAATCTCTTCTTTTGACGAAAGCTTGGAAACTTTTAATAATCCAACGATGACTAAATGGGTCAGGATATGTGATGAACTGAAATGAATACTGGACTTGAGTAAAAGACAAGGATATGCGATGAACTTGAATGATTAATAGACCTCAATCAGATACAGTGATATGAGGTTGACTCTGACATGAGTACGAGAACATGTCCTGAATCCGAACTGGTATATATAACTAGGATTAAGTATAGGCGTTTGGTAACTAAGCTGGGTAACCGTAAGTTTGATAACTAAGTTTTGGCCATCTGTGCTATCCACAGCACCAAGATCACAACCCAAGTTCACATCAAATACTGGATGCTCATTCTTTTGGACTTCTCCTCCTCACTGCTCTCGCTGAACGTGAACTCCTTCTTGAAGATGGAGTCCTGCGAATCGTGAACCTGAGATTGCTGGGCCTGTTGGGCCTGCTGGGCCTGTTGGACAGGTTGCTGAGGCAATCGGGGTGGAGGCAGTTGCACCTGTTGCTGTGAAAGTTCCTGCTGAGCCTGCTCGCGTGGTGGTTGGAACGAATGCAACTGAGATTGTGGGTTCGATTGCACATTCAACTGCTGTTGCGGATTTAAATTCGGATTTAAGAGCGAATTCAAGGGCTGCTGCGACTTCGACAGCGGATGGTGTGCGCTGAGAGGCTGGAACTGGATCTGCGACATCTGTGGGACAGGGGCATGATTATGGAGGTGCGGTAGCACTATGGGTTCCTGCTGGAAATGATGCTGTGGTTTGGCATTTGTATCCTCGTACGAGCCTCGTTGGGTCTGCGAGTTGATGCTGGATCGACTCAGATTACTGAGATTACTCAGCTGACTTGTCTGGGTCACATCATGATCCAGGATACTTGATCTTCTGGAATCGAGACTGATGAGTTCGTGCGATATTGACGAATTTCTGGACTGTGGATGTGACAGAGGCGACGAAGGAAAGGGGGACCAAGCTGAGAGCGGAGGCGTGTGCACCAGAGAAGGCGAAGAGCTAGAAAAGTTGTTGAAAACTCCAATCTGCGCACTGGAATGTCTTCTGGGCTGTTGTTGCTGGGGCGATTGCTCTTCCAGATACTTGCGTTTGTTTCTGAGAGGAGGGAGTTGTGGGTACAGATGTTGGGGCAGGTGAGGCAGCTGTACGTCTGTCATCTTCAAGTCCATCGAGGCACTTCGCGAGTTCCTCAAGGGTGGTAACTGGGCCGGAGGTTGCATCTGGTCGAATATCGAGGTCTTGAAAGCCACTTCCTGGGTTGGGCCTCCCTGAGACGGAGGTGCTGGTGTCGAAGCTCCGGCCGACTGCACTGGTGTAGGAGTCTGCGATGGAGTAGTATGAAGCGACGAATGCATCGACGTGGAGTTGACAGGCTGAGATGCGCGTCTTCTGCGGTTTGCCCCGCCATTCCACCAATTCTTGATGGCATTATCGCTCCTGCCATTGAGATGTCTCGCGATTTCTGCCCAACGCTTTCCGTATTTGGCAACAAGCTCCTCTATATAAGCACCCTCTTGAGCGGAGATGGGTGTTTTGTTCAGACTTGGCTTCAGGTTCTGGTGGAACCGTTCCCTGCTCTGCTTCGGGGTCCTTGTGCCCAGGGTCTGCGAGATTCGCACCCAATTAGTGGCCCCGTAGGTCTGAATCAATTCCAGCAGTTTGGCATCTTCTTCCGGAGACCAGGGGCCGCGGCGGAAATTTTGGTTGTCTGAGTCTGGCATATGTGGTTGTTTGATTCGGGTGATTCGGTTGTTGGGGTGGTGGGGTGATCGAGGGATGGACACTTGGCTGTGGGCTTTGCTTGGCAACTAACGGAACTAGTGGCAAGATCAATCAAAATATCAAATCAGTGCCAATCACAACCAACAACTCAAAATAACAATGCCAATGTCAGCTAAAAAGACTCAAATTAACAACAACCTAAAACGATGGTGAACGCCTGTTCTCGCAAGAAAGTGGAGAAAGCGACACGGAATAAAAAAGATTAGCCGTCGCCCGCTCGAATGGAAATAAGCCAAATCCGATATAAAAAGACAAGAGGATACAAAAAAGGATGCGGTAGCCCTGGTGTTTTGTCCAATAAAAGGCACTTCGGTGGGTGCTTGTCCTTTATGCCCTTGTGTGAATATCCAACAGCCTGGCTGAAACTAATAGATCCTGAATTTCCCTAATAGCCGGGATGATGGCCGTGCAAAGAATTAGCCAGGGTGCACGCAACTGGATTGTGACGGGATGTTGGGCGTGAAAGAAGAGGAAAAGTTAAGGGGGAAAGAAAACGTAGTTCAGGGTTCCAAGAACAAAAACCCCCTCCGCAAAGGGCTTCCTGTTGGTGCGACATTTTAGGGTGTAGCGAAAACTGAGGCGGGCCAAACCGGTTGAACGTTTTAGGGACTCGCGTTTTGGAGTAGAGCGTTTTACGACCGTTGGCGGATATACTGTTTGATCCGGAGAGGTTGCGGACAATTTGGAACAATTTGGGATGGTTTGGGATAATTTAGCCGCGTTTTATGTGTCTTGTGGCGTGAAAGCATCTTTTGTCGGGTGAGAGGATATGCTTCTATTGCATGTACTCTTGCCTATATTAATGGCTATAGGTCTGGCCGGCTTTAGCACGAGGACAATCGCCGATGTAGTGACGTGTGGCACTCACTAAACTATTTCAGACACGACCGCTGGGGCCTGGGTTTTTCAAGTAGCTCTCGGGAGAAGATAGCGTGAGAAGGCTTGGAGTTGAGGTCCGAGCAGGATTTTTGGGCATTTTTCAAGATGAAGTTTCCGCTGCGTTCCACAAACGCGCTCAGCAGACCGGTCTTCAACTTTTCCCACATATACACCAACCTAGGGGCGCTCTCAGAAATCACGAGACTGCGGAACGTGAAGGTTGATTTGGATCTGTTTGCCCATAACTACGAAAAATGGTCGGAGCTCAGACAGTCGTTTACGGAACTCCGCAAACTGCAGACGGCTGAGTCAAAGCAAAAGAATGAGGCCAGTTTGGCCAAACTGAGACTTCTGAAGCCCCAATTGAAGGAACTGAAGGACAAGATCAGTGAGCTGGAAGACTCCATGCTATTGGCAGCTGAGTCCCTGCCAAATGCGATATCGCCCAACGTGGGATCTGAGGCTCAATTAGTAAAGACTATCAATCCAGATTTCAAGCTGGACCACTCCGAAAACAGAGATCACAAGGCCATAATGGAAAGACTCGGTTTGGTGGACTTCGCTAACGCTTCGAGAGTAACGGGCAATTCTTGGTACTACCTGATGGGAGATGCGGCCAGATTGGAACAGGCTCTCATACAATATGCTCTGGACAAGGCCAGAACATATGGGTTCAAGTTGGTATCGCCTCCTTCAATAGTTAAGGACGAGATTTCGTTTGCGTGTGGTTTCAAGCCCAGAGACCAGAATGGCGAGACACAAGTTTATCAATTACCAGATGAGCTAAGCTTGACCGGAACTGCGGAAATACCGATTGCAGGATTAAAGTCCAACCAAATACTTACGGATTTGCCGCACAGGATTTGTGGTGTCTCCAGATCTTTCAGGGCAGAAGCAGGAGCCAGAGGGAGAGACACCCGAGGATTGTACAGAGTTCATGAGTTCAATAAGGTGGAGCTGTTTATCTGGTGTGAGAATGATTTGGAAAAGTCCGAGGCGGAATTCGAGAAGCTTGTGCAATTCCAAATGGAGTTTGTGGAATCGTTGGGTCTGCATGCTATGGTTTTGAACATGCCATATGATGATTTGGGAGCCCCAGCTTATTGCAAGTACGATATCGAGTGTTGGATGCCTGGTAGAAATGCGTTTGGTGAAGTGACGTCAAGTTCGATCTGTTTGGACTACCAGGCCACAAGACTCAGCACCACTTACAGAGATTCGAATAATAAGGTCAGGTTCGTCCATACGCTCAATGGCACTGCCTGTGCAGTCCCCAGGGTAATCCTGGCCATCGTGGAAAACTTTTGGGATGAGGCCACGGACTCGATATTAGTACCTAAGGTATTGAGGCCCTACATGGGTGGACAGGAGAGAATCGTGAAACAATAGTGAACAACAAAACTGGCCAACTGAAAATTAGAACGTCATGTACATACTTTACAGCTCTTGAATGTCTGTGTCGATTGCGAGCTTCATCTTTGGTTTTTGGCTCGTAATAGGTAACTCCGGCAAAGATTGCCTTTTCGTATCAAATACCGTAATCCTGATTTTTTCCTTTGGTTCCTGGAAAAACTTGTACTTCATATCTACCAGCGAACGCCAGTTATCAGGGACCTCTTCGTTCCTAGACCTTGCGAAGTACCGTTGATACGGACAACACACCCACGCCTCATTCATTCTTCACAAAATTCAACCAGTGACATACTCAAGTTTTATAAACTCTAGTTTTCTCATTACTTTTATCTCCTCTTATAAATACCCCTCGAAGACTATGACTCTTAATTTTTTTTCCACACTGCTAGCCTACTTCAGGCTATCAGAAATTGGGATGCGCGCGACATTTCTTATCTATCGGATCAATAAAACTTTTCACGCAAGGTGAGATCGAGAACAAAAATGGCTGAGGCAAGTTTGCAACCTGAATTGGGTTTATTTTGCAGCTCATTTCTTTCCTGGCCTACTCTGTGGTCCCCAATTCTTCGTTGGGTTTTCCTGGAAACGCACTATTTTGATCTTTCTCAGTGTCTTGATGGCCTTGGTGGTTTCATTGTGTTTGAACAGGTCTTCTTGGCTTTCAATATCCTTTCCTATGTTTTCGTTTTTCCAGATTTTGTAGCCAGGAGCAGTCTGACTGGTCTTCTCGAGCCTCTGGGAAAATCCTTCATCTTTCTCGCCGAGCTTCTTGCACACGTACCAGATGGTTTCCCATGGGGCTTCAGTCTTGATCCCACTTGGCATGGCGTGGGTCAGAGAGCTTTCGTAGCCCAAATTCTTCAAACCCGTGATAATATCCAATACTGATGGAGGGGCTGCCTTCAGGACAGAAGAAATGGTAGTTGGCTTGAAATAGAACGGTGCATCCACCTCCTGTTTAGCCATGTGTAGCATACCCTCGACTCTCTTCAAAGTTCCGTACTGGCCCTCGGAGACGGATGATTTCAACTCTAGTACTTTGTCTATGAATTCATGGTTGTGGAGATTTCCACCCCACATCGGACCAGTGAGATGGTGAACGTTTCCACAGAAGGAACAATGGGGTCCCACTGGAGGTCCCTGGCTCATGCTAAACTTGTAGCCACCCTGACCCTTGGAATCTTCGGTTTTTCTGCCCATGTATTGGTTTGCAGTTGATCCACAACCTGAACACAAATATGTGATCATGGACTGGGAAGCAAGTTGCTTCAGCTGGATGGGGGACCTCTTCACCCTGATGAAGCATCTGACGTAGTAGTCAATTGACAGTGAAAGTAGAGGCTCTATACATTTTCCATACTTCGCTGCAGTGGATGCCACAAGGTTCAAGACCAATCTCAAAGCACTTTCGTGGACGGCATCTCCCCTGGTGTTGGTACCACCATACAGCACGAAGCACTTTTCGGGGTATGAGTTTCCAGCGAGAACCGCCAAATCTGTACACGTAACCAGCAATAGACCATCGTCAGTCATACACTGGATGGCAGAGTCAATAAAAGGAGCAGCGGTTCCGTAAGGATCTAGGTCCACCACCTGAAACTTCGACTGTGACTCTGGTGAGCTCATGAAGTGGATAGCATCACCTTGGTTGGCAATCACAAGGTCACCCACCTTGTTGTGTTCGATATTTCCCTGGATAGACTTGACAGCTGGAGCAGATAAATCGTTTGCCACTATTTTCTTCACTTGTGGGATTTCTTTGGCGTATCTGATTGACCTTAGGCCAGTCGCACTCAGGGCTTCTGCAATATTGACGAATCTTGTTGGCTCGGCAGAAGTCGAGGAGATCTTGCGCTTTTTGGGCTGATTTTCAAGTTTAGCCAATCTGCGTTCGTTCTGGATATTTATCCAGGCTCTGATGGCCAAAACACTCAAATCACGGTTGAACTGCTGAATCGGGTTGTAGAAGACATCCACATCCTCGCTGGGGTAGAGGATTGTGGCTGATCCCTCGGTCTTTTCTTCAAACCCTTCCGGAATAGTACTCATTCTTCTAATGCTCGAAATTCTAGGAAGAAATTTGCCTATCCTGGATAGCATAAAGTTGAGTAATATGGAGTGCTTCGTGCTATCGGCCCAAGAGTGAAAAGTTTCAAAAAAAATTGGCTACTGATAAAAAGTTGAGACTGGAACGATCTTTTGAGAAGGCCCCCGAGCCAATTTTGATGAAGCTATATGAAATTTTTATATAACAGAAGAATAAAAAGCGGAATAAAAAAAGCGCCTGAGAAGAGAATTTGAGCAGTAAAATGGTATAGAAACAACGGTATTAAAGAGACAGAAACAGTCAAAGCTTTCAGTAGGTGCCAGATGTGTTTGCATCGTAGGTGATGTATGCGCTCAGATCAAAGTAATCGTCTCCACCAGCAGGAGATTGCCCTGCAAATTGGCCATTCATGGCTCCCATTATTGCGGGAATCGGATTGACAAATGTGGTATCTTCCTCAGTTCCGGATATTGCCATGGTCATGGTGTGGTTTGACTCCATAGACTTTGCATGTTCCATTGGGACATATTCACCACTCTCACGATACTGCGGCGAATCGGAAGGTATGTGGTACGACGAAACAGGCGTGTTCAGAACGGTGCTGTTGTTGTTGAGGCTGTTGTTGGTATCAAACAGGATACTCGAGCCCAGCGAGTATTGGTCCAGGTTGGAGATTGTTCTGCGAGCGTTGATGGTGGTGGGACCTGCTCCGTAGTCATTCTTCAAAAAGTTCTCCAGCTCAGGCGAAACAGAGCTATGTTGGTTCACCACCACACCCAATCCGACCAGGGATTGGTTCTCGAGACTGTTTGAATGCTGTCTCGTTTTTCCGTTCCTCTTGGAGCCCACCTTTTTGGATTGCTGAGTGGATTGCTGAGTGGGTTGCTGAGAAGGCGGAAGTACCAATGATGAAGACGATCTGTGATGGCGCGTGCTGCCACTGCCATTGTATCTGGATATACGTCTAGCAGGCGAGTCGGCTCCACTTGAACTGGTAGCAATCAAACTGGGGAAGGCCTGGGTTTCGAACTCAGAGGCCACTGAGTCGGATCTTAATCTCGCTGGGTTTGTCTTGGTTTTCTTCGAGGCAATGGACGCACTTGTAGTTGTAGAGAATGGGTATCCGTTGTTCGGAAAGTAGCCCGAGTCCGTATCGTTCGCGGTGAAAATACTGATTCTCTCCGAGGAGTCCAGATCGTTGTAGTCATAATCTTCTGCCTCGTCGTTATCACTTGTGGCTATAGAATATGGCGTTCCCAGTGGAAGCGTGAATCCATGAGCTTCAGATGAGTGTACATGATAGGGACTGTAGGCTGGCGTTGCTGCCATCTCTGGTGAAGGACTTTGCTGTCTTACCATAACCCGCGACTTTCCACTTTCATCTGTGACGACTGATATTTGAGGCTTGAGGAGAGGCAAAGGCGACAAGGACGCTGTAGCCGTTTTGGATTTGAGTTGCTGTGATGTTTGTGGGAGGGGCTGCGGTTGCAATTGCACCAGTTGAGTATTTTGCTTCGGAGTCAGCGTAGCAGACTGCTGATCGGCCTTGAAGTTCGTGTATAATCTTTTCAAGCCCTTTGACTTGGCTCCAGCACCAGAACCGGTTAGCTGGGGTGCCATCTGAGGCAATTCCGAAGGACCACCAGATTGAATCAGGGGAGACTGCTGAAGAGGAGCTTGCTCCTGCTTGTGAAAAATTTTCAACAAGTTTGAGGAGGAAGAGGATTCAATCTGATCCACCTGAATCTCCTCTTCTGGCTCGTCCTTGCCCTTTCTGTGCCTGAACAACCTCGAGACTCGGCCCTGCTTCTTCTCCTCTAGTTCTGCGATCGGCACCGAGGTCGTCATTATAGCACCCGCACTGTCCACACTCGCAACTGGAGGTTGGACTGCCTGAGAGTCCTCTTTTGGAGGACACATGTCCACGAACAAGAACTCCGTAGGGATGCCGTTCTTGGTCTTTGGCCTCTTGTGCTGGGTGCTTCTCCTCAAAAATCCTCCTCTTTTTTGCATCTGGAAACTGTTGGCCTGGGCAGTCTGCTGAAGCAAATTACCCATGTCCTTGGCCTCTCCAGTCTTGTATCTTCCGATTCTCCAGCCCTTCTTGGCATATGGCTGCGACGATGTAGCTGCTGTTGAAGGCGCCGAGTTAGGGTCTGCGCTTGAAGCAGAAACAGAATTGTCTGATTTGGAGCTAAAAATATTGCGCCTTTGGTCCGAAGATGTAGATATCAACGAGCTCGTAGAAAGCCCCGAGAAATTCTCAAGCGAACTCGTAGACGAAGCCGAGGCATTGTCGAGCTCCTCCTGGCTCCTCAAAAGAGGTTTTCTTGAAGCAAAGTTAGTAAAGCGCAAATACAAGCAAGCATCAAAGCAACAGTCCAATGGGTTGAAACCAGATCTCAACGTGGCAAAAAAACCACAAATAAACAACCAAAAACATACCGAGAAACCTTCATGTCCTCCTTGAAAACCCCAATTATCTATGTGCTGTTCCCTTGGCTGGGAAAGGCAGTGTTCAAAGAAATTCTGAGCGATTTGAGCAATCTGAGCTAAAACACAGACAGAACGAGACAATTGAGCGATGAGCAAGTGGTAGGGGGAAGAGGGATTGGAACGCTTTGGTAATGATATCGCCTGAAGGTGAAGCTAACACTTTCAACGTCCGTCTCTCCTCTCTTCCATCGGGTTCTTCATGGCGTGCACTCATTAAAGTAGTGTTCACGCTAATTTGGGAAATTGCAGGTTACGAAGCGATGGGTTGTCTTCCGAGGCCGCTCAGGCATATCTCGGGAAATCGTGCGAGCCTGACATCGAGGACGGGGCTGCTTAGTACATGAGATGCCGAAGGGCGTCAATGCTGTTTATTGGTCAATTGAAAGCACCGAGGAGACCATTATGGATGGGACTTTGCAATAGCACTAATATTGCTCAGTATTGGCTTGGCAGTGGCACTGTTTATCGCTTAGAGCTGACTGGTTAATTAATAGCTCGGTGTTGGCTTGGTATTGTTTGTAGCTCGGTAACAGTTTAGTGCTGGCTTTCGTCATGGAAGCTACCGGCAAACCAAAAGGCTGCAGCTTCATCACGTGATAAGCAACATGTAAGTCTTATCCCGGCGTTGTGAAACACCGCTTCATAATATTTATGGGCATCTGAAATTCTGATTAGGCTGCCATATCATGGCGACCTTATCGCAACAAGGGTGTTCAACCGGATGTTTTGGCCTCTTTATATACGAATATGTAACATTTGCCAGTCCCCGGCTTGGAGCTCAGTCTGCGGTTCATAGCTTTTCTGTAAAACAACACACACCGCAGGAATCACGCAATTAAAATAATACACCTTGACAGGGTTCACTTCTGACTCAAAAAAACGTTAGCAGCCAGCACAATTTGCGGCTTTTGGTTCTCCATAAACTCTGGATATCATTGGGCAGATAAGTAAGGGCAATGGGCACCCTCGCACGACTCAACCCCAGCGGGCGGCAAGCTGAGACTGAAGCTGAGCGAAGTCTCTAGGGAATGACCAGGATCATCAACAAAACTTAGAATAAACTGAAAAACTGACAAGTTTTCTTATCAAGAACATCACGATGTAAAACTTTTCACTCCGTGACTGATCATTTTTTATTCACGTCATGTTATCGTTCAGATCATTTCTAATAAAAAGCGGTACACTTTAGATAGCCGAGTAGGCGGCGGCACATGCCCCGCCTCCGGCAAGGTACAGAACAACCTTTTTCATGCGTGGACTTTTGAAAGATCATCGCAGATGCATTAATCCTAGGCCATAATCTCCGCCGTTGAAAAATCTGCAAAAAAAATTGCAAAAAAACCCCATTAAACCTGCTGGTTTGAGGTCATACCCAAATTAGGCCTAGTGACACGCTAGCACACCGTCTTAGGTGACGGCGAGATGTCGCCGAAAGTTTGGTACCCGTACACCTTTTGGCAGACGTCCCATTTGGTTCATGGTTTTAGCGGCGCTTATCGTCGTGCATCGATACGGCGCTGATATGGCGAAAAAGCAAGCAGCTTCCAAGAGTATGCAAAGATGTTATAACAGTGCAACTAGAAAAAAAAATTTGCAGATACGTCGATCGTGTTCAACTCTGACATATATATAACCGTCCGGAGGCTCAGTTGTGGCTTCTGTTTTTATTTTGCATCAATCAACCCATCAATTGAGCAATCGACCATACTCAGCTTACTACTCGACTAGGTCTTCTTAACTAACATGGTTGAATACGCTCTTTCACAAGGCGTCGGCTATGGTGTCGTTGTCGGAGTCGGTCTTGCCTTCTCCCTTGGTATGATTGCCACCACCTGGATCTTGAGACGCTACCAACGCGAAATTATTACTGCCGAGGAATTCGCAACTGCTGGTAGATCCGTCAAGACTGGTCTTATCGCTTCTGCGGTCGTTTCGTCCTGGACCTGGGCTGCAACTCTGCTGCAATCCACTTCTCAAGTGTACAAGAATGGAATGTAAGTGAACTTTTTGGACCGTTGGTATTGGTATATTCGAAATATCTGACAAACTGGTATTTTCGATATATTCAATCGATATCAACGGTGACTTTTTCAAACCCCGAGTCTTTTGCTGGGAGTGTCCTCCTCGAATTTTACTAACACCCTCCAGTGGGGGAGCTTTCTACTACGCCGCAGGTGCCACCTGTCAAATTGTTTTATTTGCTTTCTTGGCCGTCACCACCAAGAGTAAAGCCCCTGGTGCCCACACCTATCTCGAACTTATCAAGGCCAGATATGGAACAGCTGCCCACTTTGTCTACATCTTTTTTGGTATCAGCACCAACATCCTGGTCACCGCCATGTTGCTGACTGGAGGTTCTGCCGTGATTACTGACATTACCGGAATGAACAGTGTTGCTGCGTGTTTCCTGTTGCCTGTCGGAGTTGTCATCTACACTTTGTTTGGTGGTTTGAAGGCGACCTTCCTGACGGACTACGCCCACACGATTGCCCTGGTGATCATTATTCTGACGTTCGCGTTCACTGCCTTTGCATCCAGTGACACTCTCGGATCTCCTGGTAAGGTGTGGGAGCTCGTTACTGCCAGGGCTTTGGTCACTCCAATTGAGGGAAATGCTGAGGGATCCTATCTCACCATGAAGACCAGATCTGGAGGAATTTTCTTCGTCATCAACATTGTGGGTAACTTCGGAACCGTGTTCTTGGACAACGGTTACTGGAACAAGGCAATTGCCTCTTCTCCAGCTGCTGCTTTGCCCGGTTATGTCCTGGGAGGTTTGGCCTGGATGGCCATTCCATGGCTGACTGCCACCACCATGGGTCTTGCTGCTGTTGCTCTTGAGGACCACCCCAGTTTCCCAACCTACCCAAACAGACTCACTTCCGACCAAGTCTCTTCTGGGCTCGTTCTTCCAAATGCTGCCGTCGCTTTGATGGGCAAAGGTGGTGCTGGTGCCTCTCTGGTGATCGTGTTCTTTGCCGTGACTTCTGCCATGTCTGCTGAGCTCATTGCCGTTTCTTCCATTTTCACCTACGATATCTACAAGGGCTACATCAACCCAAATGCCAAGGGAAAGACCTTGATCCTCACTTCGCACGCCTCTGTCATTGCTTTTGGTCTCGCCATGTCAGGTTTTGCCACTGGTTTGCACTATGCAGGTGTCTCCATGGGTTATCTTTACGAGTTAATGGGAGTCATCATCTCTTCTGCCGTCTTGCCATGTGCCCTGACTGTTCTCTCAGTTAAGCAGAACAAACAGGCTGCTATCTGGTCTCCAATTCTTGGCTGTGTCTGTGCCATTGCCTCTTGGTTGGGTTCCACCAAGTCTTTGACTGGTGCTGTTACCTACGAGAACACCTTCGTCGATGACCCAATGCTTATCGGTAACGTGGTTGCCCTGTTGTCACCACTGATTTTCGTTCCAGTCTTGACTTATGCTTTTGGACCTCAAAACTTTGACTGGGAAGTCTTCAAGACCATCCGCAGAGTTGACGAGACCGAGGAGATCTTGGAGGCCGAGGGAGTCCAATCCATTGACGAAGAGACCGGTGCTCTCAAGCCCGTTCTTTCTGTTGCCCAGTCGTACGCCCATGATATCGCTGAACAGCGTCGTTTGATCCAGGAAGAGGAAGAGGCTGCTTCGTTGAAAATTGCAGCCAAGAGGGCAGGTTACATCTGTATCTTCTTGACCCTGGCTATGATCGTCGTTTGGCCAATGCCCATGTACGGCTCTGGTTACGTCTTCAGCAAGAAGTTCTTCACTGGTTGGATTGTTGTTGCCATCATTTGGATGTTCTACACATTGTTTATGGTTGTTATTTACCCTGTTTATGAAGGTAGACACGGAATCTTCACCTCTTTGCGTGGTATCTACTGGGATTGCACCGGCCAGACTCACAAGCTCAGAGCATGGCAAAACGACCATCCTGAGGAGCTTCATGTCGTCCAATCCCAGATTAGTGCTGAGCTCCACCAGGGCCAAGCTATCAACCAGCTTTTGGAGGTTGAAGAGAAGAACTAAAGTAAACTCCTGGAGTGTTTGCTTCGAGGCCAAGTACCGTATTGGGTGTCGTCGTTTTCTGATTTTTATTATTTTTTTAAATTATTTGAAGTGAATTTTGATATTATGCATTTATTACCTATTTTTGCACAACAAGAGAGTCAAAACTTTATTTGGTTCCATGTCAAAGACTGTACCTTACGCCAAACTCTATTTATTTTGGGTACTTTTTTGCAAAATTATATTTTTCTAGATATTTCCAGAATTTTGACTTTTCGATGGTTCAATTTCTTCCAATTTGTCTCAATCTCCACTATAGAATAGGATAATTATGTGCTAATGTTCAATAAAGAGATTATACATTCTTTAAATACTTCCCTATAATTGAAAAGTACCAGGTACCTCTAGCTAATTTAAGCTCTCCGTGCGGCTCATCCAGTCGTGGCAAACATAAATATTTGCAATTCGAACGAGTTCGGATTAAGAGGCCTGCCTCACTAACCGTGGAGCTGTTCCTTGTTCCAAGCTGGTGCATTCCAGTTCATTTCATACTTCGTTGAATTTACTTTGGTTTTATCTGTCTAAGCTGGATAAGTGATTATCGAAGCGTGTTTTGCCCACTTGTTCACTTTTAAAGCCACTGACTTAACAAGCGTGTTTCATCCCGCAATAGGCTCATTGCACATCGTTTCTTCAAATTAGAACACATAGGAATGTCCAGGTTCTCTCAACTTGAGTCAGAAAACACTGACAGGTTTGATGCTTTGGCCTCAAAGCTATCCTCTTTGAAAAAGATCACACAGGACATAAACACACAGGCAGCACAAGACTCGTCCATAGTGAACGATCTAAACAATGGAATGTCCACTTTGGTGGCCAGCGTGAAAACCACGAGCACAAAACTTGCCCGTGTAATGAACCAAAATACGAGTCTGACGAGAATGGTTATACTGGGGCTATTGGCCATCTTCATTCTTTGGACTTTGCTGAAGTTGTGGTGATGGGCCAGGTTATCTTGCATTGTTAATACTTATTTTTCTACTGTATACTGCGTGTCATAATATTTGAATTTGAGTGAAATTCCATAGAAGGTAGTCTCAAATGGAACCAATGTTTTGGTTTAGTGTTTTCTTCAATCCCTTCCACCAGCAACATCCTGACCCAGCTTGTAGTTCTTGATAGACTTGCCCCATTGGACCTTCGATCTGTTGATAGGCAACTGCCTTCTCAAGTTCTTGAACAAGTTCTCATTCAACCTACTGAACTTGGTCAGGATATCAAGCTCAAAGTCATTCTCCACGCTCTGAATCTTCGCGACGAGATTGCCCAAAGTGGTAGTCTCCGACACCTGTGACTTCGTGGCAAGAACAACGTTTCCGTCTTCATAGTAGTGAATCTTCACTTTGATCAAACCATTGAGCTTCCCGCTCGTCTCGTCAAACTCATACACCGACTGCCACTTGCCGTTGTAGTAGTTGGCGTCGTTGTGCTTGAGATCAACAGCGATCAATACAATCTTTCCGGTGGAGCTTCTGCTGACGTACGATTTATAACTCGACGGAAAATGACTGGAAACGTATTCCTCGAAACTAGCAGCCAAAGAGCTCAATCCGCTCTCGGTCTCAGCCGTCTCTATGTCAATGGCTTTGTCCTTGGAAAAGTCATACCCAAATTTCACGCCATCACCACTGAACTTCACCCCGTCCTTGTTGTACTTGGAAACCAGCTCATTAGTCCCTTTCACCGGAACCAATTGGAAATCCTCCTCCAGCTGATACTCCTCCAGACTTGAAGAGACGATCTTCTCAGGATTGTCCACCTTGGACTCTCCCAGAATCACGTGTAAATCCTCCTTGAAACTGGCCAGATCACCAGGAGGTGAGTCCTTGATCATGGAGCTTATGATTGCAGATACAGACGCCATGATTGATGGTACGCTGTGATATGGACAACAGAGGAATGTTGTGTAGCTATCTATCTTAAAGCGTGCCGGGATCCGGTTCTTGGTTCATCCCCGACTTTTTGACACAGCCACACACTCCCTGTCAGATTGGGTAGGGTCTTATATTTATCCCACCTTCTACTCAAGGGTTTGTTCTTGGTCTTCGTCATTAAGGTCATATATTGAAATGTTTAGCTCAAAACCGAAACAGAGGGATCCTAAAATTGATCAGGCAATAGGTGAGTGTTTAATTCGGGTGTTTGAGTAAGCGCTTGGTTCATCATACTAACACCCTTACAGCGAGTGCCACTGACCCATTACTCACGGATGATGACTGGGAGAAGCTCATGATCGTTCCTGATATTATCAACGATGATCCAGAAGAAGGAGTCAAGTTTGCCATCAACGGTCTGAATGAGCGACTGACGACGAGGGATGCGAACGTTCTATTGAGGGTTGTTTCTCTGATCAAGGCACTAGCTAACAACTGTGGATCCAGGATGAAACAAGAGTTTTCCAACAAGGCTTTTGTAAAAACCCTGAAGGACTTGGTGAAGAATCACAAGATTGACATCAGAGTCAGACGAGACTACGCGGTCTTGGTGAAGGAACTTTCTGAGTTGTTTGCAGACGATCCTTCTCTTCAGAGTATGAAGAGACTATACAGCGAACTTCGGAGTAGTTACCCATATCTTTACGATTCCGATTCTGCCCCCGCCCCTATGAAGTACAACGAAAGACAGAAGGAACAAGAAGACTTAGAAAGAGCGTTGAAGGCGTCACTTGAGGATTCGGGTGCAAAGTCCTATGAGCCACCCAGGGAGCTCCAACCACCTACCCCAGTGGAGCAGCAGGTAGCACCATCACAGAACGTCCAGCAGATACAGAACGAGATCAACACGTTACCGAGAGAGGTGCTTCGTGTCAGAGCATTGTATGATTTCAATTCTTCTAGCCCTGACGAGCTGAGCTTCAAGGCTGGGGATATCATCACCGTTGTGGAGAAGATCTACGAGGAATGGTGGAGTGGATCAGTGAGAGGCGAAATAGGGGTTTTCCCATTGAACTATGTGGAGAAGTTGCCAGAACCGACCAAGAAGGAGATAATCGAAAACTCACGCAAGGAGGTGGAGCTTTTGTCGCAGGGTCGCCAGATCGAGCAGTTGTTAAACAAGTTGAACCAGATCGAACAGGTAGCCAAGCTCAATCCGCAGGAGGTGAACCAATTGCTGATGCAGGACGATATCTCGCAAATGTACAACGCAATGATACCTCTGAGAAAGGAGTTGGCCCTCATGATCAAGAACTATGACACCAAGGTGAAAGAGCTGGAGAGTCTGGATGTCTCTCTTTCCACGTCAGAGGCCAAATTCAGGAACATACTTGATTCGTATATTCGCTATAAGTGAGAGTCGATCATGGATGATTCAAGAACATGATTGGTTCATGAATTCATTATAAGTCATGAATTTGGAGTCAATTTCACTGGGCTCGGCAAGGGTTAAGGTCAAGACCTTTGAAGCAGTGTGCAATCTCCATCTCAAATGGCTGAGAGATTTGAAAGGCGCAGAGTCCAGATAGCCATATAAGCCGTAAATAGTGATACTGGTGAATTTCTCTAAAGCAACAACATGGGTAATGTAATTGATAAATGCCGCAAGCCCATTCTGATTTATATCAAATATCACCACTTGTAGTTGGGCCGCATTTCTAATTTGTTTGATGGTCTTGAGCTCTCTGCGAGAATCCAGCTTGGGCTCTTCGAAAAAAACCACAAGTGTCAACCCAGTCAAGTTTTCCACAAGATCATCGAGCAACTTGGAGATGGGAGTAATCGAGTAGTCCATAACATTTCTGACTCTGTTATCGAGGCAAAGAGCACCAGAGTCTTTCCCCATACTGTGAAACCAAGAGGACCACCAAGCTCTTGGGGTTACCCGGAGTTTAGCAAGCACACGCAAAACCCGATGAAGCCCATTGACTGGAGGAAATTTGTCAAACCTCCGGGATCTCAAACTACCAGAACACAAGATATTATCCGAGGGGCGATGTTGGCCAGAAGTTGTGAGTAGTATCTTCAGAATGCGTCGTTTTTCATTATTTGACCATCAACTAACTCCGTGCAGATTTGAGGTCGCTGACAGTTCTGTCGCCAATAAGGCGATTCAACTCGACCATCACCACCACGGTTGAAACGAAAAATGAGGTTGAATCTCAGATAGAAGATAAAAAAGCATCCGAGGCTTCAGCAGAGTCTACACCGGCAGTGACTGAACCAGAAATTAGCGAAAAACAAGCTGCATACATGGCCTCGCAGCAGTTGAAAGAAATTTTCAACATGACCAAAGGTGAGGTTCGTGAAGCCCTTGGTCCAGAGACCCAGAAGAGCGCGAAAGAGCAGGAATTGGAGAAGGAGTTGGATTCGTTTCTGTACGACTTTGCAACAAGAATTCCTGTGGAAAGAACGTTGTCGAACGAGTCAGATTCGTACCTGCCAAACTTGGTGAGAAGTAAAGACTCAGAACCCTACACTCCCCAGGAACTCGTGCTAAGAAAGAAATTCGTGGAGAGCCAGTTCAACAAACTTGGCTCTGTGGTCAAAGATGTGTATGAACCATTCAAGGATGTACTGATGCCACCAAAGCCTTCCAGCACCACGGTGCAGACGCTCATGGCTGCGGGTGCTCATTTGGGCCACTCAACGTCGCTATGGCGTCCATCGACCCAGCCGTTTTTGTATGGCGAGTACAAGGGGATCCACATAATCGATCTCGAGAAGACTCTGGTGTATTTGAAGCGTGCTGCGAAGGTGGTGGAAGGAGTTGCCGAGAACGGTGGTGTGATTGTGTTTGTGGGTTCTAAAGAAGGCCAACACAGATCTGTGGTCGAGGCTGCTAAGAGGGTCAATGGTTTTTACGTGAGTCGCAGATGGATCCCAGGTGCTATTTCCAATCCAAAGAGCAAGCCCCAGCCAACTTTTGAGCTCGATCTGGAGGACAAGCCAACTGACAGAGAGCTGTCGTTCTGGGAGAAGTCGAAGTACATTAAGCCAGACTTGCTGGTGATTTTGAACCCAGTTGAAAATAGACCGGCCCTTAGTGAGGCCAGTAGGGCCAGAATCCCAACTATCGGAATAGTGGATACCAATTGCGAGCCTTCGCTGTTGACCTACCCTATTCCAGCTAACGACGATTCGATCAGAGCCACCAACATCATCGCCGGTGTGCTGTCCAAGGCTGGTGAAACTGGCAGAAAGAGAAGATTGGAGACTGCCAATGCCTACAAGGTTGCTCAGGGCTTGAGTTCGCAAGAGCTTGGTGTGAGATTCAAGGAAGCCGTTTCGTCGAAGATGGATGCCTACTTCGAAGGCTGAACCTACAGAGTCGAACTACATTTTGTACATATAAGAAGTCTTCCGAAGAAGCAATTGGTATTGCCCATAAGTTATTATGATATATTAGTAGAAGACTCGGCATCTGGCAGCAGATGACGTGTAGTTCCAGCGTTCGTCACGATGTCTGGAACCGAAACGGAGCCTTAGTTGGCTTCAATAGTTGATGTGCACTTAGTTCTGCTTCTTGGCGTCTTCTTCGTTGTCAGACTCGGATTCACTGCGCACATCTTCCTCCACATGCAGGACGACGTAACGGTACAAAATTCTCAAAATGAGGAAGAACCATAACAAATTCACAAGCTGAAGGGCAAAGATGAGGACGAACACGATGGGCTGCGAAATCCAACATTTGTACTGTTGATCTTCCCAACTGAGCTCGAAGGGACCAACTGTTCTGAACTCGGTCAAGACAGACCACAGGATCTTGATGTTGAGGTAGTGACGCAGATAGAACCAAACCACAGTGAAGACAGCAAAGAAAGGTCCAGTAATTCTTGCGTTTACGTAGTTGAAGGACTTCGACAGTCCCAGAAACCAATCGGATATGTCCATGGTGATATAGACAGCCAGTCCCATCCAGGTGAAGTGGAACCTGTAACTCAGGAAGATAAGGGCTATAGTGATGATATGGTGGAAAACCAGTTCCTTGAAATCTTTTCTTGGAGCTTCCAATCTGAAAATCAAAATTACAGATTGCTGGGCCCAGAAAGCAGCCTGGGCCAAGTAGTACACCTTGAACAGATGATCGTGAGTCTTATGAGGGAAGTTCTCATAGAAGGCAGTAGTCTCAAAAAACCACAATGGCGTCTGTTTCATGATGTACAATCCCAAAGGCCCAGTGAAACTGTAATAACTCACCGCATACATCTGCTCCAAGAATCTCTTGACTTTGGCCTCTTTTTGGATTCCAAAGCGGTATGCAAGAGGCCTAAGGATCACTTGCATTGTGAATTCTCTGGTAAACGTGAAAAATAGCATATAGAAAGCCACAAAGGCAAAATCCTTTTTGCCCTTTCCGTACATCTTGGGCTCAGTTCCTGGGATCTCGTAGGATACGTCGATGAACATGCGCAATGGGTTTGACTCGGTATGGTTGTCAGAAAGTAGATAGGCTGACCAAACTGAGACCAAGATCAACAAGAATGGTAACCAAACATGTCTCAGACATAGCTCCTTCACTCCAACGAATATTTTCTTACTGATTCCGAGGTCGGAATTGTCTTTCTTCGAAAGAGCTTCATCCAACTTCTTGTTGCGTTGCTCGGATCCCCTGGATCCCAGTCCCGGAACCGAGGTATCCCCCAGGTTGATGGCTCCAACAGAGGACTTTCTACGCCTGTTTGCGGCACCTTTGGCAGCACTAGATGTCTGTTTCTTTGTGGTCTTGGGTGGCATCCTTGTCGGTTTTGCTGTTCTCAAAGACACGTTGCAATGTTGTGGAAAGGTACAACAGAATAGATTCAAGAATTTCAAAACAGCCGAGCGTGGACGAGCCGGGCGTGGACGAGCTGATTTCCTAAAAGGGAAGTAAAGGGCTTAAGTATGCGCCTCGTCTCCAACCGGGCTGTGCATCATGCAGAGTTGAAACCTTTGGCAGAACTGAAAAATAGGTTCGTGAAAAAGGTTAGATTTGGTATATTTATAAATGTCAAGTAAGCAATAATGAGAGCTATTCGTAGAGGAGTGGTATATCACATGATTCTTCCATTCAAGACAATAGGAACGCTCCAGACCCCTCGTGCATAGCCTGCAGTATGCGTTGATTCATCATCTCCTTCGAGGAGTAATTAGGCAGCTTCAGATAGTTGGCACATGTCATTACACTGGGAAGGAAGTCATCAGCCTTGAAACCGTCCTCATTGTTCTTCAAAACAACAGTGAAGCTCGGATGAAGAGCTTTGAAGCCACCAACTGGAAGCCTGGGAGAACCGGTCATGAACTGCAAGAACATTCTTCTTTCCTCCTTCGAAAACTGAGACATTATCTCCAGTAGACAGCGCACACTCACGGAGTCAATGGTGTAACCATGGTCCGCATTGATGGAGGAGAATAGAGTCTCAAGGGACCAATCTTCCTCGCCATTCCCAAAGAGCCTCACCAGCTCCTGGGACGAAAATATCATCATTGCAGAGTAAGGAAAAACCTTTGAGAAACCTTCGACAAACGCCTCTATTTGACGTCTCACACCAGATCCAATGGTGAGGTCAATGATTTTATCGATATAGTCATCCAAATTCTCGGGTGTGACATCCACCGAGTCACCGTTTTCAATCAGATTCACATTAGGGTATCCTGGAAGGACGTAGGTCAAAGCCAAGTCCTGGAGGGTAACACCATTAAGCGTGGCTGTGGATCTGCTTTGGGATGCTACCGATTTGAAAAGCTTTGAGTATTCATCCAATTGCTTCAAGGAAGATGCCAATTGAGAGTCCACCATTGCGACTCTATCGAGGCGAACAGACCTTGAAGCCGAGATAGGAACGTCCAACGAGTCAATCTCATTCGCAAGTGTGAAAAATAGTGGATTGAAGTTGAAATCAACAATTCTGGAATCCAACAACGACCTTGCAATGAACTTACCCAGAAATCTGAACAGCTCCAAACTCTTCTCGTTAAAATCCGACAAAGGCGAGGGAAACAATCCCGTTCTAAAATCAATGTAGTCATCTCCAGCAGATTGGCCATCTGTCCTCCATATTTTGAGTTTCTTCTTAGCAAAAGCCTTGGAAACGTTAGCATAGAACTCCAACGTAGGACCCAAACCAGTGCCCACTTCATCGAAATACTCAATCTCCAAAACACTTGGTAAAGACCCATACATATCCAACACCTTAAACGCGCTCTGCAGCAGATGCTTCCTAGATATGCGCACTTTGTGGCGCGAAGCCCTGCCAAGTTGAGCCGGCCCCAAGGAATTAGAGTTGGAATTGCTTTCTTCTTGGTTCGACCTGATTTGCCATTGCTGTATCAAACGGGAGTAACCGAATGACGTAGATTGCAGAAAGAACATCCTTGTATCTATGGGGAACAGAAAAGGAAACTGTCTCGTGATGTGAACACTCCATCCTGGCAAAGTTCCGCTAACAACAACCAAAGGCTCTTCAAGTTGCCTGTTAAGCTTGGCAGTTAGCTTGTAATTGAGGAAAATCGCTTCAGTTGCATCAGTATGCTTAGCCGTGCTGTTGACGTCGAAAAGAGCTTTGAGCATTCTCAAAAGAGTAACGGTTCTGGTATCATTCAGATCCTCCAGAACATCACCAGAAGCATCAAAACCATAGGATGATTCCAGCTCAGTTGATATGTTCTCTGGCGAAGGTCCTTTCACCTTTCTGTAGGATACCACGCACGGTGGGTTTGACCAAATGCGCTGTGGATCAACGATCTCTGTTGGACTCTTTTGAAGAGATCTGTGGATCGCACCGTAGATAGTAGTTTCACTTGGAACCACCTCTCCATTGATGGCAAACTCTATGTGAAACTCGTTGGACTGACCGTTTTTTCTGTGAAGTTCATCGTCTGAAGGGTATTCATCGTCCTCTCCATTATCATCGAAAATAGCATCATCATCATTTTCATCATCAGATTCGCCTAACAGAACACGGCGAGCCATGATCCTGCTCCTAAGAAACGATCCAACAGACTTGAAGGTTGCAATCGCATGCACCATCAGCATCAGACGTCCTGTATTGGTAGCGCTAGAGTTCAGAGGTTCAAGTTCAAGCTTGACCTGTCTAGCCATGGAAGCTGTTCTGGGGTTGAAAATCTCGCCAGTTCCTGTTCTGGAATAGAGGGTCGTTGTGTCGCCGGAAGATGTGATATCAAAGGATTCAGATCTGGTGAGGGCCTCTTGAAGTTTCTGTACAAGTAGCACAATAGGAGGAACCAACTCATCCTGGCTCTTGAAGCAGAAGACAAATTTGAACGCCTGAATACACGCAGAGTCTTCTCTGGCAACATCTGACTTGAACAGGGACAAAAGACTGGATACGGCGTCTGCAGAGACCAGCTCGAAGCTTGAAACAGCACTTTTGTTCTTGAAACCCAGAAGGGACGCAAATTCCATCCACAAAGACGTCCATTGGTCGTACGTATAATCGCGGGATCCAGAAAATGCATTGACAAAGTTCAGAAGCTGCTTTCGATGAGGAGACTCCACAGACATCTTCTCACCAAACTCTTGAAGTGAGGACTCTATAGAAAGAGCCACCATGGTGAGGTAAGTGAGAGTTTCATATGCTGTGGACAAAAAGGTTGAGTCGTTGGAAAGAGAGTAGTCCTTGTAGTCCACAATGTCTGAGGAAATTTCCACTTCGTCACGAACAATATCAGCATCAATATCCAGATAAACATCTTCCTCATCATCATCGGAGTGTTCTTCTTCATCGATGTCGTCATCATAGTGGTCGTCTTCATCTCCTTCATCTTCATCTTCATCTTCGTCATCATCCTGGTCGTCCACATCATTGCCCTCGTCTTCGCGACTGAAAGGATTCGACCTTTGCAAACTCTCAGATCCACCAGAAGCTTGAAAGTCCACTTGCTCCTCAAGATGAGCTTTCTCAAGGAGGGCACTGTCAGAATTTAAAAGGATCAGCAGATCATCAGTATCTGCCAACAGCCCTTCCTTCTCAAACTCTCTTATAGCAATCCGAGGAGCTCTCTCTATTAACAACTTCGTTGTCATGAGTGCAGCATATAGCAAGACAAACGGCTTCTCAAACGGCTTCGTACTGAAATCAGCGTCATCTTTTGTGGCAGAATATTTCGAGACAAATGCTTTTCCCTGGATTATGACTGATGTCAAGAGGCTTGTAAACCCAATATCAGTTACCAGTGTTTCCACCTGCGTTGCCGAAGAAATCTGAATTGTTCTGAGCAAAGCAACGAAGACAAGTCTTCGAACAGTGAAATCCACGGTCGAGGAATAAGTACCCAACAATAGTTTGAACATATCTGACAAAAACTCGGTAAACCCAGAGTCGGAAGTACCGTAAAGTTCTTCTTTTATGTTTTTCACATTGAGTCTAGCACCTGACGATTTGAAGTTGAACAAAGCTCCTATGTTTCGCTTCACCTGGCCATTGAAGACAACAGACACATCCACGAAGGGAAGGATATTGTTTATCAAACGAATAATGTCAATGATAAGCTCTTTGGGTGCCGCCATCAAGGCGTCTATTGACACAGGAGCATTTCCTGAAACGGTTGAGTCATCATGAGTCTCAACCTGTTCGTAATGCCTCAGAATACTCAATATACATGCAGAAATCTGGGCATCCTTGACTAAAGCCAATGATAGTTTCGGAGATGCAGAGGCCAGAGTGGACAGAGATTGAAACAGCTTTAGGCAGGTTCCAAAACTGATCAGATTTGAACTTTGTGATCTGGAATTCCTTCCCAAACAGCTTGGTAGCAACGCAGATAGCCGTACCAGCAACGACGGTCTGATGAGGTCCTCAAGAAGATCAGGCTTTCTGGCAAACCGTTCCACGATTCTCGAGATGGTCAACCAGGCGTTCTCGACACAAGCGTGATCGGAATACTCCACGGCAACACGTTCGATGATGGGGAATACCTCCTTCAACGAGTCAAATTGATCGTTACTTACATAGGCAGCAGAGTTAGCGGCAATTACCATACACTTTCGTTGAGCATGTATGGTAAAGAAGTCCAAATACATGAGACAGGAAGACAGACAGTGTCTGCGCATCACCTCCTTGCCCCACTTTCTTGAGATCATCTCCAAAGCCTGCAGAGCCTGCTCTGCCAGATCAATATAACTGATATCCAACAACTTGTTCTTAAGTGCCTCTATGGCTCCGGCCTGAACGGTTACAGGAACAAACTCAATGCTCACCTCGAGAAGATTGAAGAGACAGCGACAGGCCACCAGCTGAAGCTCTAGCTCTTCCTGCAGCAAGGGGTCATTCATGATGCGTACCAAGTTCCGGGAAAGCTTGTGAGCTGGAACACAACGTTCGGCCACCAGCGTGTCTATCATGAGAAGTCCCTCGCTGATCTCGTTCAGGGTTTCCAGCAGCAAGTATGGGTTCTCGTTATCCAGCGAGTCTGTGAGCCCTCCAATATTCGATCCCATTGCACCAAAATACTCCATCATTTCGGGAGGAAACATCCTACCAAAGGCTTCCCCGAAATGTGAGCCTCGCGCCGAAGACTCCGCCAAATGGCGGAGACCACTAAAAGCGTTGGGAGGCGTTTGGTTCAAACGCTGTTGCTGGGCGCCTCTCAAAGCTCCTTGCAGTGACCTCATTATTGCATTTTCGTTAAGACCAAAGACATCACTGCGATTTTGCGCAGAACTGCGATGGGAATCGTCATCTTCGTTATCGTCTTCATCGTCATGTTCGTGATCGTGACCATGCTCATCTTCATATTCCTCTTCCTCATCGTCGTCTTCGTCATCCTCAGCACGCTGATTCGACTCAGAGAATCGCCTATAGTTCTCTGCAAGCCTGCTCAAGGTCGCTGCCTCATCTTCATCGTTGTCATCTTCATCACAGTCTATGACCTCGTTGTTCTCGTAAGTCTTCCGCTCGGAAAGAGCGTCCTCCATGTCAACATCAGAATTGACCTCCTCAGTTGTGTCTGCTCTGAACTTTCGGTTCTTGGAGAAACTCGAACGCGTCCTCCTTCCAAGAGAAGGCTGGGTGGGAGACCCATCTGATAAGAGATAGGAACCGTTGGATGAAGAGCCAGATGGTCTTCTAGGCATCTTGGCCTGTAATTTCCTTGTGTTTGTCGTTGTAGAGAGTAAAATTGAAATGGACCAAACGAAAAGTCAAGACCTCAAATGCGAATATGAATGGTGGCAACGAGTGAAACCAGGTCTTTAGGGGCAAGGAGAAGTGAGTAGTTGATTGTGAGGGCTCTCTTTATCGAGCAGAGGTGGCGAGTCGTGCAGATCACAATTCCAATTTTTTTTCCTGCTAAGTTAAAAGAAGTTTTTTTTTTTTTCAGGCTATCAGTAGATAGAAGTTGCTTTCTCTACAGACTTTACAACACAGAAAAAATGCCAAAGTCAAGAAGATCCAAGCTGGTAACGTTGGCACAGACCGACAAAAAGGGCAAAGAGAACAAGGTGAGAATCTTTGACGAGATCAGAGAGAACCTTGACAAGTTCAGTTATGTCTGGGTGCTGAGGTTGGATGACGTTAGAACCCCAGTTTTGCAGGATATTCGCAGCGCTTGGATTGGATCGAAGCTGATCCTCGGTAAGCGTAAGGTTCTGCAGAAGGCCCTGGGAGAATCACCAGAAGATGAGTACAAAGACAACTTGCACCAACTTTCCAAATCGATAGACGGTGTATGTGGTCTGTTATTCACCAACGAGACACCAGAGACCGTCACGGACTATTTCAGTGCATACTCCAAACAGGATTATTCAAGATCCAACACAAAATCACCAATAACCTTCGTTATACCTGAGGGAATAGTGTATTCCAGAGGAGGCCAAATAGCCATTGAGGAAGATGTTCCAATGTCCCATTCCATGGAGCCCACCATGAGAACTAAGCTCAAGGTTCCTACCAAGATCAAGAACGGAAAGGTTTTCCTGGAAGCGCCTTTTGCTGTGTGCAAAGAAGGTGATGTGCTGGACGTGACACAAGCGTTGATCTTGAAGCAGTTTGGCGTCGCTGCCAGTGAGTTCAAGGTCAAGCTGGTTGCATACCACGACGGAGACAATTCGACTGTTAACACTGTATAATAACCCAATTATAAAAACGACAAGAACAACCCAGCTCAACCAAGCTAAACGAGGCCTGATTCCCTTCCGCAACAAGCTATCGTTGTAGACGAAAACTTTTTTAGTGTACGGCCCAATGGCATACACGGTCCCTTTTTACAATCAAAACAATGGATTTACTTATATTTTAAACTGTTCGGGTACTGGTCCAGCCGCATTGCTTAGGCGAATATATTGATTGAAGTGAAAGCCGAGCATTTCTGTTGCATTTGCCAGCTAAAGTTGGCTTTGCAAGTGAATTGTTGAGGGTTTAGAATATTGCAACGGTCCTCGCATAGTTGTTTACACAAGCGAGCTAGGAAAGGGACCAACAAGAAGGAGAACAAGGGTTTGAAAAACACAAGTGGACTTTTCTTTTGGTTTTCAGATCTTTTACACTTATTATCATTGTTTATTTGTTTTGTTGCTTTGATCCTCTTGTTTTCTTGCCAATCCATTCTCCAATGGTGAATTACTCCAGGATCGGGGTGCAGTCCCGGAAACTTGGAATCACAGTTAATGCGAACACGCGGAAAGATGACACCGGAATGGATAGCATTGACGATTTTTTCAATCAGGGACTTGACGATGATGAAGAAGAGGAAGACTCCACTGTGGTGAAGGAGGAATACGATGCTGATTCCGAGGGCCAGCCGTATGCGGATGCCAGTGAAATGCCGGATATTGGAGATACGCCCGACGAAGATTTTGTGAATGCGACCGGAATGTCACCAGTGAAACCGCGAAAGAAACGGTATAGCAGAAGGCTGGATTCGTCCCCTTTGGAAGGGGCCAGCCCTGCTTCCGTGAGATCACCCCACGTTGGCAAGCGTACCCCTCTTGAAGAACCCGTTTCGGCAGAGACATTGATACAGAACTTGGATCAGCTGAGTCCGGACTCGGATATAGATGATGGAGTCAAAAAGGGCAAAGCTGTGAAGAAAACTGGTAACCTTGCCAAGAAGGGTGGATCTATAACGAAACAGATAGCGCTAACCAAGAGGAAGAGGAAAATGGTAATACCGCCAACGCAAGAAACTCCGAACTCAGAAGACGAACAGGAGCCTATATTTGATGATGATGAGGGCCAGCCACAGAAAACCTCGAGGTCTGCCTCTGTAACTGAAGAGGGCTTGAGGAGATCGAAAAGAACCAGGGTGAAGCCACTGGCCTACTGGAGAAACGAGAGGGTGATCTATGAACCTGTGCAAGAGGCTGGTGCGCATTTGAGTGTGATAAAGAGCGTGGCGAGAAACGATATGCAAGCTCCTAGTGTGACCGCCAGGAAAACGTCCAGGTCGTCCTCTGCTTCTACCACGCGAAAGAAGACACAGACATCCGCACTGAACGTCTCGGAACTCGAGGGTGCAGAATGGCTCAAAGATGGCCATTTAACTGCCGAGTTGTACGATACCCCAAATTCGAACCATTTAACCATGCGAAAGATTGCATTTAACTCCGGCAACCCAGAAAAAGAAACCGAGGTCAAAGGAGATGGCGAAGATTACAAAATCTTCACTCTTTTCGACCAGGACTCGGAGTTTGCAGGCGGAGGATTCATAGAGATACCCGTTGGCGGTTCCAAGGCTGAGAAACCAAACACAAACACATATTTTATCTTCTATGTCGCACAGGGAGTGCTGAGGGTGAGAGTTTCTGGAACAGAGTTTGTGGTGAGTGGAGGCTGTGCTTTTGAAATTCCGATGGGCAATTTGTACGAGTTTAGCAACATCGGGAACTCGACTGCAAAGTTGTTCTTTGTTCAGACGAGACTGGTGGTTGTCCAGAAAAGCGATAGTTTCGAATATGACTCGTGAAAGGGACGATAACTTCAAACATGGCTCAGGGCTGGTGGTCGTTCAGAACATCGATAGCTCGGCTCTCGAAGGGAGACGAACGTTTTGTAACATTAATAGGTTTTTACTGGGGTTGTAAATTAAGATCAGACGAAGAACGCGAAGCAAAGAAATAGCAAAAATAGACTACGACGAAATCATAAGCGAAGGACCCTTAACAATCTTAAGTACTAAGCAACTAAGAACCTTCTTATTGAACCAACCAGGCAAACATAACCATCACAAAACACAGCGTAAACAACACAAAAGCACGGAAAAACATAAAAAGGGTAGTCAAACATCTAAACACTGATAATTCTTGGGTACAACGATTTCCTCTCGATTGGCTGATGGCTGTCTGTCTGTCCTCTCAGCTTGTCCACACAAGACTCCAAGAACTCCTTGATGACATCGATAGCCATCAAATGCGATGTGAAAACTGCTCCCGACTCATCGTCCTCCAAATCGTCTTTGTCATCCACAGAGAGGTTCTCCAGTTGGGACACTAAGTCTGCAGGAACTCCATCCTTTTGAGCGGAGACACCAGCTTTCTGACCCATACTGACATTAAACTTCTTCGTGAAATCGCCGTTATCCACTCTGTAACCGACCTGAGGGAAGTACGACGAAGTACTGGACCCCTGAACTGGAGGGTATAGAGAACCAGAAGAGTAATTGCCATTAAAAGCGAACTGAGGAGTAGACTGTTGCTGTTGTGGGAAGAAAGCAGAAGGCGAATACAGAGGAGGAGGTCTGGAAAGAGTATCCATGGAACCCGACAGTTGATTGAAGAACGAGCTGGCCTCAATCAAATCCTGTTGAGAGTTGAAGCCACCATATTTCGTTTGGGATCCCATATGCAAATCTGGAGATGACAGGCCAAAATAATTGTCCAAATTGTTCAGCCTTGAGGCAAGTTCATTGTTATAATGAGGCTGAAGTTTTGCCCTCTTTAGATCTTCATAGAGCGAAGGAATCGAGAAGTGCGAGTCAGGTTTTCTCTTCCTTTCTTCTTGCCTGTGAAGCATCTGCTGCTGCTGTTGCAGTTGCAGCTGTTCTTGGCTGAGAGAAGGGTACATGGTGGGCAATGGAAGATCGTACACATGATCCAACTGACCGTATGGGTTAGCTAGTCTCACACTCTGGGCTGCCTGGAGCAACTGTTTATCGTTGTCTACCGAGCCATCAGCGTGGATCTTGATATGCTTCTTCAAATCTTGAGGTCTCTTGAATCTCTTTGTACAGAAATTGCATAAGAAAGGCTTCAAGGGCACATGTACTCTAAGATGCGACGTGATATGGTCTCTCTTCACGGTGGAAACCCCACATCCATCCCATTGACAGTCCAAAGTCAAATTCTTGTTGCACTTTCTGCCAACATGATGATCACAAAGATGCTGGTACAACACTTTCGGATCGTCAAACTCCAAAATACAGTCCTTCCATCTGCACGTGTAAGGACCGTCCGAATCGATTTTCTTTGAGGTCTGCGTTGTTTGAGACTCCTCAGAAGACTCTCTCTTCACAACAGAGTTCAAGTCGCAAACCTCGGAGAGCTCAACCTTTATTTGATCGGGAGAATCTAGCGATGATGCATCTGTAAATGTTCCCGTCGAGTTTGGAGATTCTCCCTGAGAGTGTGGCGGAGTAGTGGTGTCTCCGTTCGAAGAGACCGTGGACTCGTGCCTGTTAACAATGGTAGCCGCATTCAGATAGCTGACGGGGTGAATATAGTTGGTAGTGTGCGAGTCCTCGCCGGAAGGAAACATTTTTTGGGAAGATAGCCTTGCTTAGACAATGGGAAAGGGGAAAATATTAGCCGAAGTCTTTGTTCTTTATATGAGTACAAAGGATTGAGACTGTCTTTTGATTATCACGCTTAGCTAAAACGCCAAGATAGTGGCACAGACCATAGCGACGGTTGCGATTGTCGTACCGCTTGGCAAAAACGTGGTCAGCTGGCGCACGTCCTTTCTGAGGGGGTGGGGTGACAGGCTGGGGATACCCGTCCATGGAAGCTTTTCAGCTGATTCTGAACGCACGGAAAACCAGGAAACTGCGTGCAGCAACAAAAATACTTGCTGGTACGTGGAAACCGGTAACCTTCATGCGATGCCTCTGATGCACTCCACCGAAGAGAGGTGCCGAAACGGATGGGCATGGTGGGCAGTCTATGGGCAGCCTACAGGAACGGGTGTAAACTCAACGGTTAATTTTTCGTGACGGAGGCAGTATAAACAATCAAAAGGATGTGAAAATAGATGGATAAAAATTGATGAAAATGACCATGGTGGTAATAGATAAAAGGAAAAAAGATGATATCGCCGTAACTGAAGTATTAGTATTCCCCATCGAAAATTTCATGCCTCCGCAGGTTAAGGTTTGCGAACCTGTGGTGGGTATCATTCGGGATTGGCTACCCTCAAAACTCTTCTGGAATAGTCCATTTCGTCCTGTATACTATTCCTGGAACCATTCACGTTCATGAACATGGTCCCAGGATCCAGTCTTTGATCCACGGCTATCAGAGTGTCTCCTCCGTCGGAGGGACTCACGTGATGGTTGTTGATTTTCTCGTTGAGCATTACGTTCTCGGTAGAACTTGCCTCTTCGTCGTAGTCAGCTTCTTCCTGGTCCTTCCGTCTCTTCCAGCAGCAGAACCAGAACAGACCGCAAACCAGTGCCAGCACAACGATACCCACAGCCACAAAAGTACCAGCCACTTTGCCCTTTGAGTTCCAAAAGCTCTTGCTGGAATGCTCAGATTCCTCGGAGCTGACTGCAGTAGGCACTGACGTTATGGTTGACAGAACCAGTGTGGTGAGGTAGGCAGTGTATTCGCTCCCGGTTACCGTGGTTACGGAAACCACCATGGAAGTTTCTGGGACAACAGAGGAAGAGCTTGTTATCGAAGAACGTGAGCTATGGGATGTGGATGATGGAGTTGATTGCGAACTGGAAGGGGAGTCCTCTGCAGTGTCTGTCGACGAGGACGAGGACGAATCATCAGTGCTTGCAGTGACATACTCTAGGAGAGTTGAAGATGAGGAACTAGAACTAGAACTAGAACTAGAACTAGAACTAGAACTAGAACTAGAACTAGAACTGGATTTTGAGCTCGAGCTTGCACTTGAACTCGAGCTTGAACTCGAGCTTGAACTCGAACTCGAACTAGAACTCGAATCTGAGTCAGAGCTAGAGCTAGCACTTGAACTGGATTCAGCTTCGGTGCTCGAAGCGGTGCTGGAAACTTCCTCAGTGGAACTAGGAGTATCCAGTAAATAATATGCATACAAATCTTCATCAGAATTTCCACAAAAATCACTGCCATACCCGGGACAGCTTTTGGAGCAGTCGGAAGTATCCGTAGTGGATCCGGGAACAGTATCGGAACACCAACATGAAGAACCCTTGAGAATGGCAAGTGCATAGCCGTTACATGTCTTTGTACATGCACCATAGGATTGGTATGTGTCGAAGGTACCTGAGCCGGATGCAGTCAGGTCCGAGGAACAGTAGTCCACAGAGGTTCCAGAAACAGCGCCTAACACTGAGGCCAGAGCTAATGCTGTGAGAATCTTCATGGTAATAGCAGAAAACAGCAAATGTGAACCAGAAATAGCGAGGAAGGATTGCAATATTAATAGCAACAGGCTTTTAGCGGAAAGGCCTGTTTTTGTAAGCTGGTTTTAGCTTGAACGAAACAAGAACCACCGTGCTAGCCGCAATCCTATTTCTCCACTTAAAGAGTCAATTCCGAAAAAAAAAGAGACCGACGGTTGGAAAATTGTCTTGTATGAAAAACTTTTAGTAACCTGTCAACTCCCTAGCACAAGGCTTATTAGCTTCACTAGCCCTCAGTCCAAAATCTTTTCGATTAAAACGGAACAAAGAACTTGCAAAGTTTCGACTCCCAACAAATTCTGTTGTCAATATACCCAAACGGTGTGGAGTCAAAGTGGGACGAGGGGAAAACAACCTCAGCCGAATTGTGTAAAGTGTGTTGTTGGACCTTCACAATCGGTATGTAGTATGCTGATGTCTGTTTTTGTGAATTTGTCCGGTTTCCACGAAAAACCTCGTTGAGCAAACGCAAACTCCTCGGCACGAAATCAAGATAGCTATTCCCAGGTGAACAGAGTCACAGCCCTTTGTCTATAGCCAGAACAGCAGTTATGGAATTCTCCTTGTCAAAATCTAATAGAGTTTATCTGTTTGAGTGCAAATCCCAAATTTCAAGGAAGGTTATTGCCGGTTTCCAGCAAGATTCCCAAAACGGATGGGGCGGCTTCCCCAAGCAGGCCTCACAGCCACATCGGGCCAAATTGCAATTTCAGGGCGGCTAAGGGAAGGGCAGGAAACAAGGAAAGGGCACGGGGTGGTGATGGTGCCTCTATTGTTACTTGTTGGCGACTTGTTGGCTACGTCTGGACCATCTCTTGTTCAAATGACAATAACCAGTTCTAGATATAATACTCAGCTCGACTCAGTTAGACAGGTTATAAAAAGACCAGAAGTAATCCGGGGAGCACGGGGCTTCGAATGCTGCATAATCACGTGACCTCCAAGGGACTATCACGTGATGCTTGCGATCTGGTTGGGGACAAGAAACGAGTGTGGTTTCGGTGGAAAGCCGGTTTTTCTGCTTATTTCAGGGCCTTCTTGAGCTTGGAGAAAAACCCCTTCTTCTTCTCGGCCTTGACCTCCACCTTCTTCTCTGGTTTCGCAGCCTTGACAGGAGCAGCAGCTGGGGTCTTTTCGGTGACGGTGTCGTCTGTGGCAGCGGTAGTTGGGGCAGAAGTAGCAGCAGCGTCCTCGGTGGATGCCTTCTTCACAAGCTTGGTGACCTTCTTGACCTTCTTGGAACCGGCAGATGCAGGAATTGACTCAGACTCCTCGACGTTTAGAGTCTTAGGGTCAACATCGCTCACTTCCTTGAACTCCTTGATGTCTTCCGCGTTCTCGGGAACAACTGGGGCAGCTGTGGTGGTTACCTCAGCTTCCTTGGTGGCCGATTCCTCGGCCTCCTGGTTCAAAACTTTGGGGTCCAGGGTGTTCACCTGCTTAAATGCCTCGATTTTTTCAGCATCTTGTGGAATGACGATGCCGGGTTCACCCAAAGTCGTCTGCTTGTTCTCTTCGGAGGGCAAGACGGTGGTCTTGAGATCTTCCTTGGGTTCTTCAACGGCCTTTGGCTCCTCAACCTTTGGCTCCTCAACCTTTGGCTCCTCAGCAGACTTGCCAGTGACGGCAGCAACAACTCCCCCGAGACCAACAGCACCAGCTACAGCAGCCAGACCACCAGCCTCTGGAATCTTTGATTCTGTTGACGATGCGCTAACGAAATCCTCTGGGTAGACAACGTTGTTTTCATTTCCTCCCTCGTCAGCCTCCACCTTGGAGTCTGGGGAAGTTACCCATTTGTCGTCGACGACATACTTGTATATGATTTTATCCGTCTTGTCAAAGGGGACAGAAAGTTCAAACGATCCGTCGGTTTGCTTGACCAATGGAAATGACTTCGACCAGTTGTCAAACGAACCGGTGACTGTGACTTCAGAAGGACCAGATGGCCTAAACAGAGGGTTAGTACTCTTGCACCATTAAAAACGTAAAAGATAAAAATTCAAAATAATCATGAAAAGCCAGAGAACAAACAGGCAGTCTCCCAGAAAAAACTTCCAAATTCAACGCTGCACAGCTCGTAACACGAGAATATAAAAGGCAAGCTTCTCGGAGACCTCCAGGTTGCTCGGGGATTTCATGTCACTTCACAGCCACACATACCATTTAAAGGTGTAAGTAGACATGGTGGATAAAGAGGCTGAGGCAATTCACTAATAAATTCAACGGGTATGTCTTTGTTTTAGTCTCCAACAAATTGCAAGTGTAGAGCCTTAGTATAGTGTACACTGGGTTAAGATAAAAGGGTATAATAGAATTCTAGGTTTGACCAAAGTTTCTCCATACAGGGGGCAAAACCCGATATCTGGGTTTGCCCAGTTTGGATAAAATGGTCTCTACACGACTACCATTAATTGTGTTTCGGACGACATTGTGGTTTGATTAGAAAGGCAAGGAACATCTCCAGACGAACGCTTCCACATGGTCTGATCAGTCTTCCATGCAGCTGTCTCAAATGAACACATCAAGGACGCAGACGCAAACCATACAGCCGGAGCTCCATTTGGTGGGCGCAGCATCGCCCAGCACAGATACGCAGCCGCAACAACAGGGCCAGAAGAAGAAGAAGCCAAAGGTGAGGTGGAGCGAGGAGACGATTGATAACGAGGACATGGGCAAGAAGAAGTCAAAAAGTGAGTCAAACACCATCAATAAGCTACATTTGTTGCGAATTTTACTAACTGTTTTCTATTTTTTCTAGTTTGTTGCATCTTTCATCCACAGAAGTCATTTGACGAATCATCAGATGAGTGCCATTCTTGCTCTTCCTCCGACTCTGATTCGGATAGCGATTCAGATTCGGACAACGATGGGAATGAGGCAGACAAGGCCAAGCCAAAGTCTGGCAAAGCCGGTGGACTGCCGAGTCCGAACGCATATGAATACCAACCAAAGTATAAGAATAAGTCGCAGCTTCCCAAAGAAGGGTCTTCAAGTTGACCGATGCGACATTCACATCTATAACTCAATGAACGGTACCTTTTGATCTTATCGCTGACTTATCGCTATGTCTCCTTCTCGTGTATCCTCTCCAGAATAGTCTTTATCATTTCGTTGCCTAGCTTGTTAGCCTCAGGCAACATAGGGCTGAAGAACTTTTGAGTTCTCTCAAACTGTTGGCGATACAAATCAAATGAACCGAAAGAGATGATTGAGTGCCAGCTTCGGGCAGCTAGTGTGAACTCCAAATCATCCTCTCTGAACTCAGTCTGGGAAATACCAACCTCCAAGCACTCCTCGAGCAAACCTGGCGTGCAGAAAAGATATTCCGTGATACCCAGGAAGATCCTAAACAGCGGAGTGGAGCAAATGTTGTGATCATAAGGAACTATTCCTAAGACACTCCAACTATCCGCAATGGCCAGGATAGAAAGGTGTGAGTTGAGCTGTTTGCCCTCAGGAGGTGACTTGGATAGCGAAAACTGCTGGAGTATGTCGTCATTAAGCAGCATCTCGTGTTCTTTCCCTAAATGACCAAATACCTTTTCCTTAGCTCTGTACATCCTCTCTTTCAATTCCTGTTTACGTCCCTTCATCATGAGGGTGAACAACTCAGTCACAGACGTGGCGTACTGTAAGATCTGTTTGTGTGCTGAGGGATTGGTAATCGCTAACCCCGCGTAGACATGCCACTTGTTGGAGAAGATTCTCAGCGATATGTTGATCTTTGCGTTCTCCAGTCCACCCACCCATTTGGGGGTTTCCCATGGGTATTGGTTTGTATTGTGCCAGGCAACTCCCATGCTCAGAAAGGCAGCATGGGTCACTGCTTGCGTGTCTGCCGTGATCTTGTCGTGTTCCTCAGCTGACAGATAGACAATCTTGGACTTCAAACAAGACATCAAGATTTCCACAAACCTGAAGCTGTCGTCGCTGGCACGGTGTTTGATCAGCACCAACGGCTGACCGGTAGTGTTCACTTTTGGCCCATGTAACGAATGCACAGAAACAATTTCCACGTCCTTTGGAAGGTATTTTTCGAAAGCCGCAATCTCGACGTTCTTGCACGAGGTCTGTCCACCAACAATCCCTCCAACCTTGGTGGACGAACAGTACATGGACACAATCTTGTCCATGTTTTCAGCCTCCACGGAGTAGATTGTGTAATCGCTCTTTCTGGAAACATAATGTCCATTCAAAACCACCTCAAAGTCCGAAATCTCGCTTTTGAACCGTTCAAAATGTTCTTCTTTGTCACAACCAACCACTCTCCATCCCGCCTGAGTAAACCGCCGGGCATAGAGCATTCCCATGTCACCGAGACCAATTATACCGATGGTCTTAGATGCTTGGAGCCGCGAGAGCTCCGCTGGGTCAACCGTCATCATTTTTGGGAGAGCTTCCTGAGAGTGATACTTCAGCGTTAATGACAAGCATCAATGTTGTATTCTCCAGGTTTGTGGTATCTCTACGCGATTTTTCTGGATAGTTTAGCCGGGCACGACCCTAACGATAGTCAAAGAAGGCCATATAAGTTTCATGTTCATGACATTTATGGTATTTATTATATGCAATTAATATAGGATTCAAGCTCACTTCTATTATAGCAACCCCTTGAAATCTTCCAAGTTTTCCTCCAAGACTCCGTCTTGCTGCTCGGTCAGATCGAGCCAGGAAACGCGGTCAAACTGGTGCTTATTGATGCTGGAAAGATCTAGATTGGATGACTCCCCAGATCCCTTTGTAGACTCAATAATACTGGAAATCGAAGAAGCAGCAACAATCAGACAGATGGCATCATAACCACCGGCACCCGGCACGACTCCACCCAGAACGCCTTTAACCGTATTGCAGTTGTTCAGCAGAATGGTCTGTTCAGATGGTTCTATCGAGGCCCCGGACTCTCTGGTCATGACTCTCATCCAATGGCGAATGTTTTCGATAGAATGCACGATATTGATAATCAGCTCAAATCTGGCAGCGTAGTCCACAGAAAAAGACGCCAGGTTCTTTATCTGTGCAACATTGTATGTCTGCAATGCAGAGATCAACTCGGAGTATGCATGGGGGTCGCTTTCACTGAGCAATTTGAGGTTCTGCAGACTGTCTACCAGAGCCATATTAGCAGTGTTGAGACTAGTCCAGACCTCGTGAGAATATTCGGGTTTCTGCGATCTCCAGGCCAAAACCTGAGAAACCATCTTAGGAGTCTCAGAACCACCGGCAACATCTCCCATGAGAATTCGGATTCCTTTTGGTAAAGAGCACTTTTCCGTCACAAAATGCCAATCTGTATCCAAAACAACTTTCCTGAGTTCCCTATGGTAATCCTCCAAGCTCAGCAAGTGACTTTCTGAGACCAGCTGGGTGATGATTGCTGGCTCGAATCTGCGGTATACTATGCTGCCATACGTAGCGGCAGCAACATCGAAACCAGAACCCACCTTCTTCTGAGCAATGCAATGTGCTATCTGAGCGACATTGTGAATCTGAAGAAGACTTCTCTCGTCGTTGCACTTGAAATTTGGAACGTATATTGATAATAGAGCCGTAGTCAAAACGGTCACCAAGCCTGCACTGGACCCAAGGCCTGTTTTGGGAACCTGGTCAATTGGCTTGGTATGCCAGTGGAACTTCTTGGAACCGTTTGTCGACGACTCCAGTCGCGTGCCGTCTTGCGTATGGTACTCGGAGTCCGAGAATATGGTGACTTTGATGCGGTAATTCTGGGTTGGTTTCACGTAGTTAACCAAGGTATGGACCGTGGCTTCGGCAAACGGATTCCGCTTGGAGTTTTTCTCTGTAATAACCAACGGTATTTGCGAATCGTCAATTCTAAAAGAGTATTCCCAACTGCCACTTTCAAATTGCGGAGATTCAACTCGTATCACAGAGGCTTCGTTGGCTTCTTCCACGGATGTGACAGCGTACATTCTAGCTGACAACGCTGTCACAAAACTGGAATAGGCTGGATCTAGCACCAAATAACCACCAGCAAGTAGAGCCTTGCTCGGAGCACTGAACACTCGGGACATTTGCGATTATTGTTATCCAACGAGAAACCACCTCACACTGCAGGTTATAAGTTTCGGGTTTAAGCCCAACGCGTTGACTTTTCACAAGCCTACTTTGGAGCCGCGCACGCCGCTATTATCACATGTCTATAAAAACGAGGCAAAAAGACAAGACACTTTTAAGTCCGCTTTGCTACCAACCAACAATGGTCGATTCCGGGGAGCTGAAATCAGGGCACCTGTTTGTTCTGATTCATGGGTGAGTTCTCCTATGCTCGGGTATTACGATAAGTCGTGACTAACAAGCCCAAGACTATGGGGAGTCAAGTCCCACATGAATGTGGTGGAGGCTTCACTGAAGCAAGCACTAAAAAGTGTTCCAAACGAGTCATTTTATTACACAAATGCCTCTAATTTCGAGTTTTTGAACACTTATACAGGCGTCGAGGATTGCAGCATGAAAGTGCTTGACCAAATGTTCACTGACATCGAGATCTTGAGATCCGAGAAGAAGACTAGAATCACCAAGATCAGTTTTTGCGGCTATTCTTTCGGGGGATTGATTGCACGTTATTGTATTGGAAAACTGGAGGAAATTGGGTTCTTTGATGAGGTCAAACCGGTTTATTTCACCACGTTTGCGACTCCACACTTGGGCGTGAGGTTTTTCAAAGACTCGCTCTTCAACAAGAGCTTGAATTTCTTGGGCTCCCGGTGTTTTGGAAAGTCTGGGTCTGAGTTGTTTTTGCACTATTCTGACATGCTCTTGGACTTGACAAGACCTGAAAGCTCGTACATGAAAGGCCTTGGACTGTTCAAGATGAGAATCCTGCTAGTAAACACCCAAAACGACCGCAGCGTGGCTTTCTACACTGGGTTCATCACGAATTACTCACCATTTGAAGACACTGAGCCTGCGAAACTGGAATTTCTTGACAATATTCCGGGCCTGAAAATTTGGGGTCAGATGGTGAAACCAAGAATCTTGAACTTGGAACAATCCTCCAGAGGAACGCTGGCTACGACTGGTGATGAAACTGGCAGACGCATGGTGCTGCCCGTGCTTCTGATCTTACCAATTCTTGTGCCATTGACGTTGATTTTGACCGTCACGGGAACAGTTTACGCATACATATTCCTGCTGTTTAGAAGGAAGATAGATATTGCAGCCCGGTGGGCCAAACTCACGAAGTACGTCTACCATGGAGGCAGGATGGCGACGAGTGAACAGAATGCCATAGAAGAGGGAAAGAATCTTTCCACTAGACATATCGGCGACAGGGCCATGGCAGAATTGACCCAGGACGCAGTCGAAGCGGTTTTGGACGTGGATGGGAAGGTTCAGCAAGAGTCAGAGGAGGGTCTAAGCTCACGCTCAAAAACCCCATCCTCAGAACAATCTGATGATTCTTCGGGATTAAACTCCCGTTTCGAAATACTGGACGAGTTTGAGTCCGATGCCAGCTACGATTTTGAATCTGCCTCATCGAAAGTGCGCGATGTTTTCTCTAGTTTCAAGAACTTAGATTTGCAGGCTTCCTCATTGGTTACGGGAATACAACCACTTCCATTCGATAGCAAAAGAATGCAAATGATGCATAACCTGAATTCGTTAGATTGGTACAAGATTCCAGTTAGCCTCAACAACTTCAACGCGCATGGCGCCATTGTGGCCAGAAGGAACGAACCAAGAGGCATCGCTACAACTTTGTTCTGGGCCAGCGTGATCAGAAGTGATATTATGGGGAGCTTGGAAGAATAATGACGTTTTAGATTGTATTTTTCAGTTGTCTTTATACGTTAGGACAAAAAGGTTTTTATGTTTTAGTCTTGCAGCGTGACATAGTTGGATGGGAATAACTTTCTCTCTCCGTTCAGAGTTCCCAACCACCAGTCATCGTCAACAAACTCAACTTCTGTGATCAAGTCGCCCTCTTTGAAAGTCAACTCATTGTCTTCGGTGGCATCGTAGTCGTACTCAGCAACTGCTGATGGAGTTGCTGGTTTCTCCTCCACAACTGGTTCACGGGCAGGAGGAGCAGGAGGAAGCGATCTTTCCTGCACTGCTGGCTTCTCCTCTTCAATCTTAACGTAGGTGGCTGGGAAAAGGCCGGACTCGCCCTTGGCGTTCGTTCCTTTCCACCAGTCCTCATCAACCTTTTCGATCTCGGTAATGGTTTCGCCTTCAGAAAAGGAAATCTCGTTGTCCTCGTCCTTCTCATATTCGTACTCGGCAACAGCACGGAGTGTAGACTTTGGTTCAGCCTTGACAGGCTCACGTGGGGGAAGAGTAATATGTGCTGGGGGAGGAGTTGCCTCTTTTTCTTGCTCTTCCTCCTCCTCTTCTTCCTCTTCCTCCTCCACTTCAGGTTCACTCTCAGGTTCAGGTTCAGGCTCAGCAGCCTTGGCAGCTGGCGGGAACACTGGAACTCCGATGGTCTTGTAAGATGCCTTAGGAGATTCGTCCTCATCAGCAATGGAAGCTGATGCGAATTTCGACCTGACGTCCGCGATAGAAGGCTCTGGGACAGGTTCAGGAGAAGCTGATTTAACTGGACCATCCTCACTCTCAACAACCTTGTACTTGCCATGCTTCTCAGCCCATATTTGGGCTGGGGTTTTACCGTTCTCACCAGCAAAGTCTCTGGATGCACCGCTAGCGGCCTGAACGTCGTTCTTTTTTGGCAGAGCAGAAAAGTCCGGCGTTTTGGTAGCAAAAGCTGGTTGAACAGCTGGCTGGTACCTAGAAGCCACTGAGTGGTTAACCTTAGGCTTGGGCAACGAGGTTAGTCTTCCATCGTCGGCATACGAATCGTAGATGTGCACTTTGCTGGAGATTTCGTCAGCAGACGACGTAGCTGGCTTCACAGGAGCATCATTTTTTGCAGCCAGAACTGGCGATTTTGGAGTCACACCCTTTCTCAGAGCATCAATGTCCACCTTGGTAGGCTTATATGCCGAAGGGAGAGTTTCCAGAGGCTTCTTGAAGAAATCGCGTTCTTCGATCTCCTCCTCGCCATTCCAGCCATCCTCATCTGCAGGGGCAGCTGGAGCAGGCTTCTTTACAGCAGGCTTGGGAACAATGGGCTTGATCTCCTTTGGTGTAGGAGCCACAGTTTTTGGCTTAGGAGTTGGCTTGAACGAAGGAGTAGCAGTAGATACAGACTGAATCGAGTATCTGGCACCGGCAGAATCACTCACGGTCTTCACAATAGCAGCCACATCCAAGTCATCACTATCTCTAGCGGTGATCTGAACGTGGTAACCCTTCAAGATCCTTGCGACATCAGCAAAGTTGTGGGCGAAACTGGTACGCGATCTCAAGGGAGCGCTATCAGGACACCAGCCCAGAAGAATCAGTTTGCTGACATCAGATCCCGGAGGCTTGATTCTACACAGGCCAAACTGAACTCTTCCCTCCTCGAATTCCTCGACGAAGTCGGTGATATCGCCATCGCCGTTGGCTGTAGGCACCAACACAGCCTTCTCACTGGTGAAGATGACGTAGGTGGTGGACGGATCTCCAGATCCGATTTTGTCGTACAGAGAACTTATCTCTTTGGCATTGGTTGAAAGATCGAGTTTCTCCATGGTGAATGGTGACGAATTGGGTTGATCAGGCGATAATAGGAAGCGTGGTGGGTACAACAAGGAGTAGCGACAAGAGGTGTTCGATTGACGGGTGAAATGCGATGATCTCTGCTGACATAAGCACATTTTTGGTGCGGCTCAATGGTTTCGCTGACGAGCCGGGTTTCTTGGGAGTTTTAGGAGAGCACAAAGTACCGGTTTTCCCGGAACAAAATGATTGACAATATGCCAACCCTCACACTTGTTCAGAAGGATTAAGAGTACCCTTTTTGCTGCTTTTGGCGGATTCAACCATCTGGGTCGTGTGCAAACCTAATCTCTCCAGACTGCCCCAAAAGTGCCTTAACAGAGCGTGTTGTTGATATCGGTCTTTCTGGGCCACAAGACCAATTCCCCGATCATGGCGCTCGATGAACTCGTGATACCGAGAACCGAGGCATCATATGCTCCTGAGGTGATACAATGGTCAGACCATGGTTCTGTGCTGGTTATCGGTAACACAGACCTTATCATACTGGATCCAAAGAAGCCTAGTGCCAAACAGGTGACGAGTCTTTCACAGTTGCTCAAAGTGTCCAAACTCAGACAACTACTGCAATTGCAGAATAACTATCTGGAGAGTGCGATCTCATTAGACGATGACCAATCGGTGCAGAGTGTGGCGGAGATCACAGTGACGAAAGCCTTCTGGTCTCCGGGGGGAGTTACCAAGGATGCTGGTTGTTTGATTGTGGTTCTGACAAATACGATGCAAGCGTTTGTTATTGTACAGGATTCTGATTGGTCGATAGTGGAGGATTTGTCTCAAGTCTTGAAAAGGAGGTTTGAGGTCAATTTCGACAATTTCGTGAAACACACTGTACTTGAGAAGCTGAGAATTCGCTCTTTTGCTTGGAGTGAAGTTATACCGCAAGAAAATGGTTTCACTATTCCTTTAGGCTGTTTTTGTGCTATTGGAACTGGATCTCATGAGGTTTTGGTGTACCACTACAAGAGCACCTTTGAAGAGGAAGTTTCCGTGACAATTGAAGGTCTAGCAGAAGGCGACTACCCCAAAGACATAAAATGGTCACCATGGGTCAGTAAAGGAGGCAAATTCTGGTCATCGCAGCTTCAGATAATTTCGTCTCAAAATTGTTGCGTTTTAAAGGAATTGTCATACTCTCAAGGCAAACTTGAGGTTTCTGCTTCCCAAGTAACGCTACTGGTCCCTTCAAGAACGCTTGTATCTGCCTCGAGTTGGCTCGAAAACGAGAACACGTTGTTCCTCTCAATTGTCAAGACGAACGCTCTCATTGTTTATGTGATAGACACCAAATTCGAACTAAAAAGTTATGAGATACCATTGGACACTTATCGCGCGATAACTAATGTGTCAGTATCGCATTCACTGGGGCTGAACATTGTTCTTTCAAACAGTTCTGGAAATCTAATATTCGCACATTTGATAGACGAAAAATTGACGAAGTCTACCTTTGATTATCAAAAGGGCCAACTGGATTTCCTCCCCATTTCAGGCCTTGCCAACGAACTGGTGGGGTTGCAAAAGAAGCATGGTTCTGGCTACAGAATAGCAGGAATGACCACCAACCCTGCTAAAAACCTGTTGGCGTTCCATTATACCAAGACCTCTGACGATTCTCTTCTTTCGCAGCACAACACATGGAGGTTGGACTTCAGTTTCAGAGTGGTACCCCTGAGTGAAAATGACTGGTCGCATGAATTGCTCAACACTAAGGCTTACCCATGCACAAGATACTCACCACTTTTCAAAATCCAACAGCTTGAGATTTTAAAAGGCTCGGGAGTCTTTGGTAATTTGATCATGGATAAGCTTCAAGGTTTTGATGATCGTATAGAAATACCAAAACAAACTTCTGAGAGCTTATCCCGCAAGCTTCAATCGTTTTTGTTCCAATCTGACGTCTTGGCAAAATTGCAACTTAAGAACGTGTTCAATGGAGATAGCACATCTCCCCAGTTCATAGAGACGAAGAAGAAGATTCTTTCCGTAATTGCACAAATGGTGGTGTCTTCGTGTGTTCCCGATCAGTTGACACATCCCGCAGACCTCATGATATACAACAGCATGGTGATGGTATTGAAACCTGGTTCGGTGAATAATGCGAAAGTGTCCCTGGAAGAACCTGAGTTCGAGCTTACTGAAAAATTTGGCTTCAACGGATTTGATGTCGATGTTGCTATATCCGACGAGGGCCACGAATGGGTCAGATGTGCTTACACCTTGTTACCTCTGATGACTCCTCAGATTCTTCAGTGTACATTCTGCGAATCCAAAATGACCGCTGCTGCTGAGGCTGGTTACATCTTGGAAAGCATCAGAAAGGCGTTGGTTCTTTGTCCGTACTGCGGATCTAGTTTCAGCAGGAAAGGGCTATGAAAGTAAAAAACGTTGATCGGGATGAGTATTTTATGACTATTACGGACTTTTAGACAATAATCAATACATATAAACATGTATATGCCTTTTGTGTCTTGACATAATTTGGGCGTAATTTCTATCCTACCCAGTCTGCCAAAAATTCCGCTGCTAAGTTACTGATAGCAAGATAAGCCAATCTACGAATATGACGTTCATGTTTCAGGTTTGCTTCTTTTGCGATTACTGAAACCTGAACCTTTTCGGGGTGATTACGGAACAACAGGGATATTGAAGACGATGGGATCTCCGATATTTATATCGCAACCGCCTCCTGGGTTTTCTGTGCTCTCCATTGTAAGGGGTGTCCAGCTGGCTTTCGTTGGAGTTTTTCGCTCTTTGCAAAACCCCGACTTGTACAATGAAAAGTACTATAATGAAGCATTTCAGGCGCTGAAAATGTCGCTAATCGTGCAATTGATTCTCTACGTTCCATTGATAGCCTGTCGTATGTTTTTCGGGTTTTTGTCGCTCTTCCTGATCAGTGCCGAAAGGGCTAACGGGATATACGGTACTATTTCCTACATCCAGCACAGTGTCCTAAATATTGGGCCTTTTGTCATTATGTCCATCAGATTCTTGAGACCGGAACTTGATCAAATGTTTATGACATCTTTGGAATATGCTGACAAAGTTTACAAACAACGACACCCGGAGAGTACAAGACAGTACTACGCACCTCTCATCAATATTCCTGCAAAGGATAATAAAGGCTCCAACAAGTTCATGGCCGTGTTCAAGGCTATCATTGGTGACCGAGTGAATAAGATAAAGAGATCTGAAGAGTTCGAAGCTTTGTTTTGGACATATATATTGTATGCCAGTTCGTCCTTTGCGCTGTATCTTCTCTCGCACATCCCCATAGTTGGAGGACTGGTTTTGCCCATTATGTCGCTTCTCAAATTCAACGGGTTTGTTGGAACCACCACAGCACTTGTGATCTTTGCGGTGTTACTGGTTGCACCACCATGGTATGGTGCTGTCTTTTTATCGTCATACTATGGATCGCGGGCACTCATGCTGGATTTGCTCAGTCCTTATCTTCGCAGAATCCCTTTGAATAAATTGGAGAGAAACCAATGGATAAGAGCCAGAGAAGGTGTTTTGTATGGATTTGGTCTGAGTTTCTACTTCATGTTGAAAATTCCTTTTGTTGGAGTTTTGGTGTATGGTCTCGCTGAGGCAAGTGTGGCTTACATGATCACGAAGATCACCGATCCTTATCCCTCTTCGCAGGAAAGAAAGTCTGCCAGTATTGCTGAATGGGTAGACACTCAATTGGTCTGGACCAAAAAGTTTGAAAGTCTTTCCCTTGGAGGGGAGACGTCCGTTGTTCCAGGGGAGTTCATTTACAGTCCTAGGCCAGAGGTGCCCAAGGCAGCGTCTGAACATTCTGCAGAGACTATCTGAACATTATATATAAAAATACCAAAAAAACAGTGATACACTTCAATACTGTAGAAAAATGCATCCAGCCTCACCCTTTGTATTTTTGACCTATAATAAATTTAATGTATATATAGTATGTTTGATTATCTGATTTCCTCCGACATCCACAGTACAGTCCATACTTTAGGCGCAGCCATGCGTTTCGCGTGCGGCACAGAAGGCATCGCGCATGGTTATTAGAAAGCCAGAAATGAAACTTTTCATGGCACAGGTATGGACATTAAACAGCACGATTCCGTCTTTGATGTCTGTTAAAAATACAGAGAATGACGAAGCAACCTTTTACCATCCATATGTTCCGTATAAAGTCCAGCTGGAGCTGATGAACGCGATATACGACGCGGTCGACAAGGGCTACAAAGTGGGCCTATTTGAGAGCCCCACGGGTACTGGAAAGACTCTATCTCTGATATGCTCAACCATGACATGGCTACGAAAGAACAAAGCAACAGGAAGCAAAGTACTCAAAAATGAAGACAGTGACGACGAGCCTGAATGGATCAAAGAGGCGTATCGCAATAAAGTATTGGTGAAGCGAGATCTGAAGTTGAAAGAGTACGAGAACCATCTGGAGAAGCTGAAACTAGAACAGGCACAGATGCCCTTGTTAGAGGTGAAAATCCACAAGAAGCCACGTGGACACCAGAATTCTGCGGAGAATGATAACAGTAGGTATATACCCGAGGATTACGACGAGGCTTTAGCTAAACCGAAAGTTGCTGATAAGCTAAGAGCAGTCAATGACGACGTGAAAGCACTAATGAGTGCTCTTGACACCGGGCGGGCTAGAGAATCCGAGGATTCCGATCCTTCAAATCCAATCAAGATTCTGATATCCTCAAGAACGCATTCACAGTTGAGCCAGTTTTCAGGGCAATTGAGAATAACCAAGTTTCCCTCCTCCATCCACGGCAGCGAAGAACATCTCAAATGCCTGCCACTGGGCTCGAGAAAACAACTATGCATCAATAAAAGAGTTTCCAAATTAACAGGAAACGATGCAATCACTGAATCGTGTTTGGACTTGCAGAAGGCAGAGAACGGATGCCCTCACTACCCAAAGCTCAACGATATAAATTCCGATATCTTGGTGAAAAGATTTAGAGATTTGACCTACACAAAAGCACACGATATTGAAGATCTTCATGATATAGGTGCTTCACTGGGAATCTGCCCGTACTACAGCTCAAGAAGTGCAGTGAATATGGCAGAGGTGATAACTCTTCCATACCAGCTGCTCCTCCAAGAATCCACCAGGGATGCGTTATCTTTACGAGTAAAAGATGCAATTGTCGTGATAGATGAAGCTCACAACTTGTTTGACACAATTACGAGCATGAACTCCTGCTGTCTATCATACAAAAACATTTCTGATGCAAAAGGCTGCCTGAAGTTATATCTTGGAAAGTTTCAGGCGAGACTAAACGCTGGAAATAGGATCAACCTCGCTAGACTATTAAAGTTTCTCAATTTGTTATCCGATTTCATTGTGAGGACAGTGAAATCTCACAAGAAAATACCGATTGGCCTCAAGGTCACTGCGGCAGACATTTTTGAAGGAACCACTGGTGATGCGATCAATTTTAATTCCCTGGTGAGATACGTTAGCAAAACGAAAATTGCCTACAAGATTGATAGTTATCTAGAGGAGGTTTCCGGGTCCAAAAACACCTCTCACCAACCGCTATTGTTCGGTGTGACACAATTTATGACCAGCATGTCCAATCCTTCCAAAAGTGGAAAGATGTTTTTTGATAAAACTCCGACCGGTGATGTTTGCCTGAAATATCTGCTGTTGGATCCGAGTGAGGCCATGAGAGATCTTGTAGACCAAGCTCGGTGTGTTTTATTGGCAGGTGGCACTATGGAACCAGTGGAAGAGTTTACCGATATCCTTTTTCCATACGTGCCGAAGGAGAAGATTATGAAATTCAGCTGCGACCACATTATCAGTAGTGATAAACTGAGTGTTTTTCCAATAGGTAGTGGGATCAATGGAGGTAGTCTGGAGTTTTCTTTTGAGAAAAGAAACAGTATGGCTGGTGAGCTCGGAGAAACAGTGATATCATTGATCGAGCACATACCGGGTGGAGTGGTGGCTTTTTTCCCCAGTTACGCTTATTTGGATCAGATTGTGTCTCAATGGGAGAACAGTGGAAGTTTGTCCAGGATTACTCATATCAAGCCCGTTGTTAAGGAAGAAAGCTCAGAAGACGCCCTTGCTAAGTATACTGCTCTCATCCATAAGCATGGAGGTGCTCTGCTACTTGCTGTCGTCGGTGGACGACTATCTGAGGGCATCAATTTCTCCGACAATTTGGCTAGAGGCGTTATAATGGTTGGCCTGCCTTTTCCTAATGCTTTTTCAGGGGAATTGTTGGCCAAAAAAGAGTTTATTGAACAGAGAGCGGTGGAGACCGGAAAGTCCAAATTTGAAGCTGCTCAGAGTGCTCGCAACTATTACGAAAATATTTGTATGAAAGCGGTCAATCAAAGTGTCGGTAGATCCATCAGACACATGGGTGATTACGCATGCATTTATCTGCTGGACCAACGGTATGGAACTGATAGGATCCAGGGCAAGCTCTCTCGTTGGATATGCAATCGTCTGGAGAGTACGAAACCAATGGATGCTAGAACAGCAATCAAGGGTACAAAGGATTTCTTTTCATCCAAATAGAAACCATTATATGATAATAAAATGTAAAATAAAACTTTCCATGTAAAGATAAACTTATTGCCATTGCTCGACCAATACACCAAAAAAAACACTCGAGAACGCCGCACTGAAAAGTTTAATGTCGTGTCCTAATCAAAATATTCAAAGCTTCTTTCAAGACCTGATATGTTTTGTTTCCAACGCTTTTGGACCTACAACAAAGTCTTGTAACCATCCTTTCAGCCACAACAACATGCCAACTGGTTCAGCTTTCCCCCCTGCTCCAAAGGCTTCGTTAAAGGAGCTGCTCGAGTCTGCGAAAAATTTACCAAAAAGGTCCAGCGACATTGGCACCGTCAACCTGGGCCCCAACGAGATCAGAAGAAAGGCTAATGAATTACGCGGCGACAAATCGGAAGATCGTCATTACACAAAAGCCCACTACCTGCTTGCTGGAAGTGGGATCACGTTGGAAGAGATTGAGTCTGAGATTCAATCCATAAATGTTCGTCAATTTGCGGCTTCGCCAGCACCAGGTGCAAATCAAACACCTCTATCACAACAAAGCGATGTCGACAACTACATCAGTGCAAAGAAAGATGAGAATATACTTGCTGCCATTGAGCAGTCGCTTGCTACTGCTGCTAAGGACTTTGATATGTTTGTGAATCAAAACATCACTATGGATTGGAAACAGAGAAAAGAGGCCCTACGTGAATCTTTTTCAGTCATTCTCAATCGCGGTAGCTCTGGAAGACCATCCAAACAAATCAAGACCGCAGAAGATCCCGTGTCGTGGGGTGGAGTCTCGGGAAGGAGCTTATTATCTTCGAAAAACGATTTTGCGGACGTGAAACCTTCCTCTGCACAGCCTTCACGCGTTGTTAACCCAACCACCTCTTTTGCAATTAGACAAAGATTTGAAACGTTTGCACAGGCGGTATACGATCTGAACGAGTCTCGTCAACAGAGGAAGCCTTACCCAATTTGCACGGTTTTTTCGGATATCACCAAGTTTGATCAGAACGTGAAGTCGAGACACGTGCACGACTCGTGGAAGATACTGGTAGATTTCGTGGAAGAATCCAATTCTGCGGGATTGAAGGAACGCAAATATGAGGAGCTCTATTGTTCTGGAGACTCTCTTGACTTCCAGGCCATCGCTTTCCGCAAGCTTGTGGTTTCGAAGAGCAGAACCTATCTTGAAGATCAATTCATGGATTACCTCAACGACTTCTTCGTACAGACGGGAAGCACGTCTGTGCCTACCAACGTGGAGAAAGTCTCCGTATTCTTGGAGCATAAGCTGAAACGGGGTGGAGACTGGAATGTCCCCAATCTTTCTCTGATAAACGGCGTTCCAATATGGGCATTGATATTCTACCTTCTGCGGGCTGGCTGTTTAGAAGACGCTATTCAGGTTACAGAGAAGTACCACGACTCTTTCAAAAAGCTGGAGAAATCTTTCCCGGTGTATCTCAAGTCCTACCATAAGAACGACAGGCAGTTCGGAAATGAGATGCAGGGAAGAATCACCAACGAGTTCAACCAGTATTTCAAGCACATCAACAGAGAAGCGGATCCTTTTAGGTATGCTGTGTACAAGATCATTGGCAGATGTGATCTTTCCAAAAAGAGTTTCCCATACATTTCACTTTCTATTGAAGATTGGGTGTGGATCCATTTGAGTTTGGTTAGGGAGAACGATATTGAAGACGATCCAATTCATGAGAGATACAGTCTGATCGATTTTCAAAGAAGCATTCTTTCGTTCGGTGTTGAAAGGTTTAATGCTTCAAGCAACCATCCAATGTATCTTCAGGTGTTGTTACTCACTGGTCAATATGAGGAAGCTGTCCATTATCTGTTCTCTGTGAATGAGATGGACAGTGTTCATCTTGCGATTGCGTTGTCATACTACGGATTGCTGAATGTAACAGGTAAAGGCAATGAGCTTATGTCCGTCGAGAAGACCAAAAAGATCTTTTTTGCCAGATTGATCGGATTATATGTCAGTTCCTTCAAAATCAGTGATCCAAGGGTTGCTGCTGAGTATCTGATCTTGATCTCCTTGAATCAGTCAGATGAACAAGTGAACCTGAGTTTGAGTGTTATAAGAGAGCTCGTGCTGGATACCAGAGAGTTCGTTCTTCTTCTTGGTAAAATCGATAAGGACGGAAACAGAATTCCCGGAATCATTGAGGAGAGAAAGTCTTTGCTCAAACTGGATGACGAAGCGTCTTTTCTTCACAAGATTTCTGAGCAGGCTGCACTTAAAGCCGAAGAAGAAGGCAGATACTATGATTGCATTTTGCTTTACCAACTTTCAGAGGAGTATGATATGGTGATCTCGCTTGTTAACAAGCTTCTGGGAGAGCTGTTGAACACAACTGAAATCTCATATGCTCCTCTTCTTGAGGATCAGAGCGTCGCACTCGCAACCAAGTTGATGAAGATTTACAACAGAAACTCTCAGATAAGCGATAAAGTTTCACTCAAGAGCAGGGAGACTTGCTCCAAGCTGCTGGAGATCATAAAGATCAGAGAGCAATACGAAGCCAAGGCTTACAGTAAATGCCTGAAGTCGATCATGGATCTGGGCCTGGTCCCTAATGCTGGTTCGGATCTAGAGACAATCAGGTTTTTGTCTCAGCAGTTCAACACGTTGGACGAGAGCATCTCCAAGAATATACCAGGACTGTTGATCATCACGATGACCATTACCAGACATTTGTTGCTTGACGAGATGAAGAGTGGATTGAACAACGACAAGAGTGAACATTTGCGCCAGATTTCAAGGAACTGCTTGGTCTATGCAGGAATTTTGCAGTTCAAGATGCCCCGTGAAGTGTATACCACTTTGGTTAATTTGGAGTGTGTCTAGACATAATTGGACAAAACTCTTTTTTTCATCAAACTTATCCCAAAGTCCTCATTTTGGTCGTGGTTGGAATACAACGTCAGTTCTCAAAACCCATTTCTCACCAGCCGTAACCAACTCGGATCTATGCATCAAACAGTAATCTCCGTGCTTATGAAGAAGGCACATTCCTTTGGACGGATGGACCGCAACACCGTTTTCAAATTTAGTCTCACCTCCCTTGAACTCGTCATCTCCAGTCAAATATATGAGAACTGTCCACTTAGTGAAATTTGTACCAACTTTAACGCTTTCGTCGTAATGGTCTTCGAAATAATGGCCTTTCTTATACCTGTATATCCTGAAATCAGGGTTAAGTCCAATCGCGTTGCTGAATTCATTTCTTATCCACGGGTCTTGAGCCTCTAGGAGAACGCTCTTCAGATGAACCCATAGAGAGTCTGCAGTCTGTCTATCTGACAGCATAATCCGGTCGTTATACCTTGGTGCGTAGTAGTTGCGCTTCTGAATATAGGCGGTAACTAGGTCAAATGAACCGAAGACCCCAATAAGTTCCCGACAAAACTTGGAGCTGAATAGCTTGTCAATCGTCACTATCTGGTCCTTCGCCAGACTCTCCGCGGTCGACTGGAAGTACGGAGCGGGTTTGAACTGTTTGAGACTCTTTGGAAATTCGGCCTGGGGTTCCGGGGCCTCCGTCTTGGTATTGACAGTCTTCTTCGCCATGACTCAGACTATAGTAATGAATGGATATCTGTGCAAACTGCTCACTAAGAGTAAAAATACATTTTGCCCGCAGACAGTGCCGCACTTGTCATAGGTAGTGCTTTAATCAAAAATGTGGATGAATCGTCTAAGACAAGTGAAGGTAACAAGACCATTTTACCTTATTCTTAAAGACTTCTCTTCATCGCAAATATGAAAGAATCACTCAAGCCATTTGCCACGGGTCATGAAGAATTGATTCATGACCTGGCGTACGATTTTTATGGAAGACAATTAGCCACATGTTCTTCGGACCAACACATCAAGGTGTTTGACCTAGACCCCAACACGTCGGAGTGGATTCTGAACGACTCATGGAAAGCACACGATTCGTCAGTTGTGAAGGTTGCATTTGCTGCTCCCGAATTCGGGCATATCCTTGCATCGATTTCGTACGATCGTTCGGTGAAGATTTGGGAGGAGGATTTCGACGAGCAAGCAGGCTCTGGAAGGAGATGGAAGAGACTGGCCACCATCTCTGGATCACAAGGGGCATTGTATGATATTGCGTTTGCACCCAGTCACTTGGGATTGAGACTAGGAACGATCGGTAGTGACGGAGTGCTAAGAATCTATGACGCACTCGAGCCTTCGAATTTGCGGAATTGGACTCTAATCAGCGAGCTAAGTGTATTGGCGGTACCACCAGCAGCAAACTTGCAATCAGACTTTTCTCTAACGTGGTCTCCATCCAGATTTTCACCTGAAAAGGTGCTTGTGTGTGCTTTAGACCAGGCGTTCATCTATGTCAAGGACAAAAACGACAGGTACGTTATGGGCAAGATGCTTCCTGAACACAACGGATTGATACGTAGCGTTTCTTGGGCACCAACTATGGGAAGGAGTTATCATCTCATTGCCACGGGGTGTAAGGATGGATATGTTCGTATTTTCAAGCTCACAGAGTCTTTGAAGGGAGACGATGGTCTGGAAGATACGGTGAAGGAGCTCGACGCTTTCGCTACCAATGGTGCATACGATTCAGAGCCAGGCTCAGACATACAGATAGAGACTTTGTCAACCCACAATGACCACGATGGTGAGGTCTGGAAGGTCAGCTGGAACGTTACAGGCACCATTCTGTCGAGTGCTGGTGATGACGGGACCATACGGTTGTGGAAGGCTTCTTATTCCAACAAGTACCAGTGCATGTCTGTGATATCAGCCCAGCAGAAATGATGAAGAGGGTGGAATGTTTGTATACTAAGAAGATGAACCAAGATGAGTCCGGGAGAATGAAGATGTACCAAGGTATACGATAGGCGTAGGTTCACAAAGAAAATGCCTTTATTGCTTTGTATCGTTTATTTAACCAATTAGAATGTTACAGTAAACGTTGCAAAAACATGCTTTTTTAGGAAGGTTACTTTTTTCATTTCTAACATTTGTAGGTGTAGATGCCATTTTGTCTTCTATATCTTTTAGACACACGTTATATATCTCTTTGATGTTGAAATATCACTCGGTATATCTTTCGTCTCCTCGGTCTTATGACAGAGTCAATCTACATCTCCATTTGTACTCTCTTTATTCTTGGTACTCTTATATACAAGTTCTTCAGTTTTCCTATTTCCTCTTTCCGCCCTTGGACTTGGTGTTCATGATATTACCACCCAGCTTCTGCTCAACATATCCGCCGTCCATGAGCTCTGTGAAATCCTCAAGACCTTCAAGGACAGCCGAGTCTCCGGCTTTCGTTTCAACATCTCCTTCGACAGGACTTGAAGTATCGAAAGCAGCATACTTCTCTCTGAACTGACTGATTCTTCCCTTGGTATCAATACCCACGAACAAGTCGGCACGCGATTCGTTCCAAAGAGGGTTATTTCTCTGATCAGCCAACATACGAAATTCTTCTTTTGGGTACTGCGAACGACGAGTTATCACGGAACCGTCAGATAGTTGGACATGGCATTCGAACTTGTGGTAGATGGCAGGTCTGGCCTTACCAACCTGGATCTTCTTGAGCGGTCTTTTGGGAATCGCATCCGCCACAGCAGGCCTTCCTGTACTGGCCAGTCTTTTCCAGACCTTCGACATATTTGAATATGACATTTTTAATAATGGAGGAGGTGGGTGAGCTGAGGAGTGTTTGTTCAAAGTAGCATGAGTTCTCGACATTGAGTTTTCAAATTTCAGGGTAGTGCACCAACAATCACAACGCCGCACATTGCATTGCCCGACATGGCTGTGAGATATCACTTCATGGAGGTAGTTCATTAGTCTAAATTCCGGTTATTTACTCGAGACCTGGGCTAGCCAAGTCCATTAGATCCTCCTGCTTCAAGAACCCAGATAATTTACTTAGTTCCTGGTATGCCTCTGGATTGAACAGCCGTAGCCGTGTAAACACATCATGCTTGGCCTGTGAGTTCAGAACAGCAGGTTCTTCGTCGTCTTCGTCATCTTCGTCGTCGTCTTCGTCATTATCATTTTCGGCATCCTCAGACTCATCGGATCCCTTCTCGGTGCGTTGTTCGGGATAAACCGGTTTATTTTTGATCTTCTCCAGTTTGGAGGGTACTATGGGCTCATTCTTGAACAGACAGTTGATTTTGTATCTCATGACACTCTGCAAAAGGCAAATCGCAGGCCAGGTCAGCCACCCAGAGCTCTCGGTGCAAACTGTGGATTTCCCAGTCTCAATGATGCTCCGTATATCCGGATCCAGTATATCTCCGAGATGGAAACTGGTGGTTCCTGGAGTGGATTCGCCGTCAAAGATGAATTGTCTCGGCAGGTTTTGACCAGAGGACTGTAGGGTCAAGGGCACTACCAGGTTATCCTCGGCAAGTTGTATGTCTGGGTCTAGTCTAACCTCGTCAGTCGATACCCCAAGAATCCGGAACGATTCTACCTGGTAGTTCACGGCATTGGGATCGGTACGCGGATCATAACCAAATCTCACATAGGATTGCCTCCACGGACCCTTTCTACTAGAATAGGCCACAAACGGGAGAGCACTTTTCAGAATGCCTCGCAAATGCTTCGGGAAGATCCAATGCAAATGTCTTCTGAGCCATATGGGTTTCAGCTGGAACAGGTCATTCAGGAGACTGATGGACTCCAGCAGAAAATTGCTGTTGGAGGATTGTAACAGCCTCTCATTTCCAGACTCTCTCAGCAACCTAACTTCTTGCTCAGCAGCAAGTTTCTGGTTCTTTAATTCATCGTTGCAGTCGACTGGAACGGGATCGTCCCAGTCTATGAAGATGGTCCATAACTTCGCACGCTGTCTCTTTGAAGTGACCGCAATCTCACCGTGCTCGTTGATATAGGATGTGACAGGATTGCCCATATACTGATAACTGAAAGGAACGTTGGTTCGCGCAAATCTCGGGGGCGGAGGTAGATCCAGACTTTCGTCTGGGAAAGGTTGGGTATAGTGGTCTAAACCAGCACTAAACTGTTTGATCTCTTCCAGATCTCCATTGAGGAGCGATTTTTCAAACTCGTCCGCAAACTTGGAATTCTTGGTAACAATTTGGAAGTCAGAAAGCTCTCTGAATCTAAACGACTTGTTTAATATAGCAGCAACGCCGACCTTGTATTTTATCCCGTTTCTCTGGCATTCGTGAAGAGCTGAAGACAAATCAGCGTGTTTCCTCAGCACACTTTTCGGCACTTTAACCTCTAACAGAATATTCTCAGTATTGAGACACGCCGAGTGGATCGGGTGCTCAAATGGGTCCTCGGGTCTCATCTTCAATTGTATCTGAGAGGATCCCAGTAACGACCGGCTGATAGAGTCTTCACCCCCAATCATCTCGATAGCCCTATCAACATTCTTCACCACCAACGGGAACTCCACCGAGGCATACTTTGGGACATCCAAATTGAGCTTTTTGGCCTCCGGCGTTGTCATTTTGGGAAGTTGTCACAGGCTTGGAGGAACAACACTATCCAAAGTCGTAAAGTTCCCTGTGTTTATTTGGCGTATCAGTGCACGTGACTTCTCAGATCTGTCACTCGCATGAGTCACGTGACCTCCGAATGATACACCAAAAGATTTGTTTGTGGTTTCTGTAACAGTACAAGACACTGCGTTAGACCATTCCCGACCACCATGGAGCCTGTTAGGAAATCGCCGAGGAGTACGAAGGGAAAGAATTCCCGACTCGATCAAGAGAGGATTCTGGAGGAGCAGTTGAGCAAGGCCCAGACCTTAAAGAACGAGGAGAAGGACGAGGATGATGGTGAGGTCAGATGTCTAGTGTGCGGAATGACAACTGCGGATTATATCGAAGACGGCCGTGAAATGATTCAATGTGAAAAATGTGATTCATGGCAACACACTGCATGCATGTTTGGTAGGAAAAAGGTTCCGCAGAAGTATTACTGCAATATCTGTGACCCCACCAACCCAAGCTTCAAGAATCTGAAGCTGAAATTGAGCTACGAGGATTATGTTGGTGGAGCAGGCCAGAAAGATTTGGAATATCAAGAAGATGAACCTCAGAAGGCCAAAAAATTGGCCGAGTCCGAAAGGCCAACCAAGAAAGCAAAAATTGCCAGAGAATCCATTTCCAAGGTTGAGGCTCTGGAGTCGATCAACACCACAAGACATTCGGTGGCTCAAAATTTTTACCTCACGTTTTTACAGAAGATCCCAGATGATTATACCGATTTGAAAAATACCACTAAAGAGAAATTGGCTGATGACTGGGGTTCCCAACTTGAAGGGTACATTTACGATCATATTGGACTCAAGCCCGGCAAGAAAAGTCTGGCCCAAAAGACTTCGCCGGGTGCGAAATATCTGGAAAAGGCCAGAACCTTATTGTTCAACCTCAAGAACACCAAAAATGATTTGTCCACAAGAGTTTTAAACCGCGAAGTTTCACTGGAAGACCTGAGCCAACTGTCCAGTGAGCAAATGCTCAATGCTGATTATCAACGGTTTGCAGATGATGTACGCAAACAGAGTATCAACCAAACTGTTCTAAAGGTCAATGAGAACCTTCCGAGAGTTAAAATTACCCACAAAGGCGAAGAAGTCATCGATAATTACGAGTACGAGAAGGAGCGAGAAAGAGAGATCGAGCAGCAAAGAGAGCAGATCAAGGAGCAGGAGGAGAAGGATGTGACTAAGCAAGCAAAGGAAGCACAAGAGTCATTTTTTAACGCCAATTTGCTTTATCCAGCTGCTACGACTGCCACTGTTGAAGATTATGACACCGAACAACCAGAGCACACATTGAATGACGACCCAGAGCTTGATAAGATATTGAACGACGAGCCCAATGTTCCGGCACAGACTCATTCTGACGAATACTACCCCGCCCAAAACACAACCACGCCACAGAGCGATGAAGAATATGATCCTACAGTCGGCTTCAGAACGGAATCTACACAGTTTAACCAAGTGTGGACTGGCGATTTAACCTTTCCCGAGTTCGGGGCCTTTAGGGCATCTGCAAAACTGCTGGGTTCTACGCTCTCGAGAGTGCCAACCGAGTCGGAAAACCAAAAGATCATTTCGCTGTTCAAGCAGTTTGGAACCCAGGAACTGGTGGAGATCGAGGGTAGATTAGACTCTGTAAAAGCCGAACCGTACCTATCTGAGATAGCAAGTACCAGAGACCTGTACGTTCTAGTCTTCGAGCCTCAAAGCCTCGCGAGCGAGTTCGAAAACGAAGAGAACAGTTTTAGCTACCAAAGATTGCACCAATATTTCGCGAAGCGCGAAAAATACGGCGTTGTGGGAGCTAGACCCGTTTCCGTGAAGGACTTCTATCTGGTGCCTATCAAGGCTGGGGGAGACCTTCCAAAGTCTTTCCTACAATTCGGCAATTACTCGGAAATTCGGGAGTATGAAAAGGAAAAGGAACGATTTTTTGGAGTGCTAGTGGTCAAACGGGGTTATAACCCATAAAATGGGAATTTTCCGATTTTTTTTGGAGACATTGGTGGAAGCTTCAGCTTTGCCAATAGCCATGGTTATGTGATGGCCTGTGTATACATATGTAATTTACTATTCTCACTGAAAAATTATGATAACCATCACAATTAGCAAAAATGACTACGCTGAGGAATCGTTATTTTTAACCTTGTATTTTCAAATTATACATATCGAATAATTAAATAGTTCGACCATGAATACAACATCTCCTTTTCTTCTTTCCCTCAATCTTCTTAAGCCTTAGCGACAGCCTTCTTAACAGCGTATCTCTTTTGCTTCTTCAAGACCAAAACCTGGAATCTCTCGAAGTCGGTCAAAGTGGATCTTCTCTTTCTTTGAGCAATCTTCTTGGCCCACGACGTGGCAGCCCATTTGCTGTCGATCTCAGCAGCGGCCCACTTCTTGTTGACGGTGGCAGTCTTGGATCCTCTTGGGAGACCTTCCAAAACCAATGGGGTTAATGTGACTCTAGCCAAAGAGATGGATTGACGTTGGATGGTTGGACCGTCGATCAAAGCCTGTAATGTGGTTAGTATTCTGATTTCTGCGTGGATGCTAGCTTCTCGTGGATGAACTTACTCTCTTTTGATCAATGATCTCAACGATGGTGGCCAAGGCTTCGCCAAACAAGACGACACGGCCAACTTCGACCAATCTCCAGTTGGAAGCTTTGATGGTAGATTCAGCAGACATAGTTTAGAGTTGATGTGTATATTGTTGTACTGTAAACCGTCAGAACTGGTTGTGAAGAGCTTCAACTTTTTCAGACAGGAGGATGTGGGTCGTGCGATCGCACCAAGTGTTGCCCTCAGTTTCCAGCCCTGTATTTCATCACGTGCATATCACCTGACTCGATGGCCGTGCTCACGCTCTGCGATTATAATATGGAAAATAGCAGAGGTCGAAGAGACAGTTTTAATTTTTTCGAATCATATTTTATATGATGATTCTAATTTGCGTTCGATTGACTTTACTTGGTGGCCTTGCCGGGTCATTATAGGTACTGTCGAAAGGTGAAAATTATATTAGATTCTGATAAGGTATCCGCTTTTACAATGAGAGTAAAGTTGGAGCTTCCGAAGAGGCAAACCGAGAGCGATTGAGGACTCTATAACACGGAAGATTAGATTCAACTTGGAAGCCAGTTTAGGCTAGACAAATCAATCACTTTCGATATTTGAAGCCTGCATGTGGTGCTTGTCATTTCTCTCTCCCATCTCCCCGGTCCAGCCGTTAGCGAGAAGGTAGTGGTTGAACTTTTTGTCCTCTTCGTCTAGATCGTAATCAGTAGTATCAGGAACCCATAACCAGACTGCAAGAGCACCAATAAAACACACGCCTCCAGATAAAAAGAAGGTATACCTTTTACCTGCATGAGTTTGGATGGGTGTAAACACCTCGGTTCCAATGGCCGCACCAGCCTTACCAATAGCAGCTGAGAGACCATAGAGGGTACCCCTTACGGCTGTTGGAAAAGACTCACTAGAAACGGCTGATTGTAAGTTTGCCGGGCCTGCGTAGATCACCAAATTCATCAGGGCGTAAAAGATGATAAATAAGGATGGAATTTTAGAAAGCTGAGCAAAAGCCGCACCAACGATTATACTCAGTACTCCGTATGCCAAGAAACCTGCAATAATGACCTGTTTTCTTGTCATCCACTTAAACAAAAACATTCCTATAATTGACCCAAAAGCAGCAAAAGATCCCAGGAAAAGTTGCCATTCAGCGGTTTTCTTTATACCAGCATGGGGTAACACAATGGAGATCACAGAAGAGGAAAAGATGTTGTTTGGATAGATCACGAAATCCATAATAAACCACATCACCGAAACGCCCATAAATGGTTTCCACAGTCTCTTTATTACCAATTTATGGGGAACCTTTTCCTTGATTGCGTTTTTACGGAAGACCTTTGCGTGGTGCATTCTCCATCTGAAAATGAAGATACTCATTGGGAATACTGCCCCAATAGCAAAACAAGTTCTCCAGATTCCACTTGTGTTAGTCTCACCCCAAATTTCTAAGACAATTAAATAAACACAAGTGGCAACAGGAATGCCCAATGAAATAGGAAGATTTGTTGCACAAATGAACGGAATTAGTTTCTGATGTTTTCCCATCCTTTCATCTGCTGCCTCCATTGCGGAAGAAGCAGAACAAGGATATTCCCCACCAATCCCTATACCCGATACTCCCCGTGAGATGAGAAGCATCCAAAACAACTTATTTTGGGAGGAGCCTTTGGAGCATGCGGCAAGAATGGAGCCCAAAATGATAAAGACGGTCGTCATTGCAAAGCCTTGCTTCCTTCCAATTCGGTCCACAATGAATCCAAAGCCAATCTGACCAAGAATATTGGCAACAAGATTAGAGTTTGATACCATTGTTTTCCAGCTAGAATCGTAACCAGAGTAGGACTTGGCCAATGTCATATTGAGTGGTGTCATTATGCCCTGCTGATATCCATCCGACATGAAAGCGCAACCAGCAGTGACAATGGCCATAACGGACCGCCAGTAAGGCTCTTGAAGATCCAAAGTTCTTTCATCTTCTTGGTCGTTACTGAGTTCAGTGAGCTCAGTGAGCTCTTTCTCTTTCTCTCCGAACTCTCGGGATTTCCCAATCTCAACCATGTTGCCTTATATTTGAAGTCTGCTACCTTTCAAGAGGTTTTGTGGAGAATATGAGGAATATTTTATAGCAAGGGCATTATTCCTTTGATCCCAAGTGAAAACTCTTTTGATCATAAATCTGTAACTTCGGGTGTACAAAAAGGGCACGTGGAATACCAGGTGCGGCTCTTATCATGCAGGTTGGCTAGTCTTGCAGATGTCTGCGCGTGGTGGGATTTTCTTGCCCGGTGAGTGTTCCCTGTTCCTCAATAGACCATTTTTCGTAAGACAAACTCACCCCGACAAACCAGCATCGTGTAATTTTACCTGTATATTGGCCAGTTACAGATTATTACTCTCAGGGTTTGCTCACCAAGTTCTTTTGGCACGCAGCCTGCGGTATGCGCCATCTCGAGCTGTGCATGAACTTAAAATGCTGTAACCCCACATGTCTCTTTGTTTTCCAGGGGTGATCTCGGTATCAGTTGCAACGATACGAACAAAACGATACTACATATTATCAAACTGTTGCAACACGTGGAGTTCCACGTGGGTCTATCTTGTGAGCCACTGGCATGGTTTGGTTTTTTCCTGCTTATTAGAGGTGATATCAGCTGCTATATACGGGATTTTGGCTTTAGGACCAAATAATGAGGTACCAGTTATATTGTGTTCTATTGATTCTCCTAAAGAACGCGGCTTGTCTTCCTCAATTTATCTCCAATGGAAACCTGGAGCGTTTTGGTGGCATTTCAGTTGATGAATACAGATATTCGAATGTTCTGACAGAAAGTTCGTTTGAGCATGGAATCGCTTCGGGCGATCCAACCATGAACTCGATAATTCTATGGACAAGAATCACAATCCGCAAAAATACTCATGGTTTAGTTCCAGTATATTTGGCCATTTCGGAGTCTCTTTACATGGAAAATGCGACACGTTATACCACTTTCACGAACTCTGAAATTGATTATACCGTGAAAGTAGATGTTGAGGGCTTAGATCCTGGAAAAACGTACTATTACCAGTTTCTATCGGCAGATGGAGAATCCACCAGAATTGGAAGAACCAAGACATTGCCACCAAACAGTTGGATTGGGGAACTCAAGTTTGCTGTTTACTCTTGTTCCAATTTTGCAGGGGGATTCTTTACCTCATACGCAATGCCAGCAGTGAAGGACTCAGTAGACTACGTTATTCATTTGGGTGATTATATCTATGAGCACGAAAACGGGGTTTATACCAACGGAACGGCAATTGGTAGAACACATTTGCCTAACACGGAAATGTGGACACTCAAAAACTACAGAGACAGATACGCAGTATACAGGTCAGATCATGACCTACAACTATCTCATGCCCAGTTTCCTTGGATTCTAGTGTGGGACGACCACGAAGTTGCTGATAACAGTTGGCTCAGAGGCAGCGTGAACTCGATAGGTTGGGACTTTTTGGAACGGAAAGAAAATGCCATTAGAGCTTATATTGAATGGCTTCCAATAAGACCACAGCAAAATATAAACAAAATTTGGAGAAGGCTCAAATTTGGAAAGTTATTGGACCTTCTCATGATTGATACACGGCATTATTCAAGAGACGTCACTGATGTATACACCAATACCGATTACATTGCTTCCATTGCCGATCGAGAGGAAAGAACGATGATGGGGTTTGATCAGGAAGACTGGCTTTATTCTTCTTTAAAAACAAGTGAATCTGTATGGAAAGTGATTGGAAGTCAGACAGTGGTCAACCATGTTGAGTTTGGAGCCATTGGTGATATCATTGGCGCCCCGTTTTCTGAGCGAAACTACGACTCTTTTGATGGATATACCGCAAACAGACGACGTCTGTTAGATGCAATAGATGAGAACAATATCTCGAATGTCGTTCTCGTATCTGGTGACTTTCATGTATCTTGGGTTCATGAACTCAAGAAAGATGTTGAAAGCTACGATATGAAAACAGGAGAAGGCTCTCTTCTGGTGGAGTTTGCATCAACTGCGTGTAGTTCGCCGACAACTTTTCCAAAACACTTTACAATAGAAGACTGCTTGAAACTGTCTGAAACGTTTGTCTCTAGCAACGTCGGAGTGTTGTGGAATGAAGGCTGGTACAGAGGGTACTTCGAGCTAACACTAAACGAAAAAGAAGTCCAGGCTGATTACTTTGGTACTAATGTTACGAACGATATCCGCGAGGAGGTCAAACTGGCAACCTTCGTCGTTGATCAAGGCAAAAACCGTATTCGTCGTTCTTTCGATGGACAAATTCACTACGGGTTCTTGGATCCCCGGGTCATGTGAGATTGTTAAGTGATATTCCCAAATAGGAAGGTACGCGTGATAATTTCCGGATTCGGTAAAGTACCTGCGTTGTAACTCTATCCCATCAAAAGTGAAAAATTTATAGAACCATGAGTTCGAGGGCTGTTATTTTGATTTTGACAAATTATATAGACTGATATATAATAAAAATTAAACGCTGATAGCGATATATGTGAACGTTGTAGATAACCGGGGGTTTGATGACGCGTCCGATGTCCAGTAAACTGCGTTGGCTCATCGATGCGTTCGGTCCAAAGACCCCTGGATCATGCCAAAATGCTGCCCCCTCAGTAAACTCTTTCCCAGATAACCAGCACTTTTCAATTGCTTGAATCAACAAATCCACTAGAATAGTCCAAAAATGGCAAATACCTGGACTCCTCTACCTTCTTTGCTCCACATGAAAGTGGTGACATCTTTCGTGCCATTGGAGAATGTCGGGGCAGAGGGCGCCAAATCACTGTCCAAGCATTTCAAGAGCCTGTATCCTGGAGACGAGTGTTATATTTTCGAAAAGTATGGAGAAAACTGGGGAAGGGCATATTTTGTATCGAATCCGGTTCCCTCCGACTTTTCAACTACCTCATTGGCGACGCATAAATTAGCCGAGAATCGGGTCGTCGTTGGAATCGTACCACTTCAGATTCTGCGCACAATCAAAGAAATCCCTTTCGGGAAAACCGATAAGAACTCAATTCTCGAGATCTCCGACTTGATGTCAAATGATCTGCTGAACAGTGTTCCCAGCATTCTACATACCGAAATGATCAATCAGAGTGTCGAGGAGTGCCGAGATGTGAAAAACGATAAGTCTCTGCCTGCATTTCCAAGTGATCCAGCTAAAATCACCTCGTTAATGGAGGACATTTCAATATCGTTGGCCTCGTTGATGGCACATGCATACATGTTATATTCCTCAGGTGAATTTTCACTGTTTGAGAAACTGGTGGAAATACATGATAGGTTGGACGATATAAGTCTCAGTCTCACCAATAGTCTTTTGACTCAAAATGAAATAAATTCAGTCAGAAGAGAGGCAATTTCGCTCTTGAACAGTGTTCCAAAATTGCTTTCCTTGAAAAGGACCAGAGTTGTTGGTCACGATGCAGTTATTGCAAGAGAGGATTCTACTGGTAGATTGTTCCAGTTGAATGGTGTTGAAGATACCATGTCTCCAATAACGATAGCACATAGTCAAGTGCTATCTGCGTTGTCACCAAACTACCCAGTTTCTCAACAAAATATTACTTTTGAACCTTCGAAGTCTTCAAGATTAGCAAGAGTTCCACCATCTCACATCTTGGTAGACTTCAAAGCGGTGACTGGCTCTTCTAACATTCTTCCAAAGGGCTATAATGGTATGACTGCATACATGTTTTTGAGAAGCTCTAGAAAAATATTGACAGAATCTTTTGCTATTTCAATCAAACCAGGACAGAATTTTGAGTTGGACAATATCTCTGCTGCTCTATTTGAAAACATCCCAGCCGCAGAGGTTGATGGTGGGAAGATCTACCTGGTTGCTATTCTTACTGAGAACGTTATTACCAATTCCTCGGGATCATCCTCTGTGTCACAATTGTCAGAAATAAGAAGCGGAATTGCAGCGGGTGTTAGTGATATCTCTCGTATCTTCTCGAGAAAGAAAGGCTCGTTGGAATCGGGTGAGGCCCATCAGTTCCAAATCAAAATGTTCAGCTCTTTTAGATCCCCAGAAGACAGCAATGGAATTTACACTCTGAATAACGGATGGGGTGAATTGGTTGACAGGATCATCACAGGATCAAGCAAAGGCGTTGCTATCAATCCCAGAGCCGAGAAGCTGGTACTCTCAATCAAAGAGTTCAAAAGCGAGTCGCTGGTGCCTCAAATTTTGGAGTCCAATGTTGGTGATGCTGCTATTTCGGCCATACGAACGATGGTATACGACCCCAATCTTCCTCTGTATGAGCGCCTTTACGTCAAGGTGGAGAAAGTCAACACTACGGCTGTTCTCCCCAAGACGAGCTACGTGACTGTGGTCCTCACCACCACCAATGAGGAGCTTCAGTTTTCGAAGGGCGGAAACCTGCCAGGCTCTGCTGACTGGAAGTTTTTATCAGTGAGCCCAATGGAACATGTTAGTGAAACAGTCCAGATCTCCGGCTTCAATACGAGGGCCAGCACGGAATCGTCAGACTATATGGTTTTCAAAGTATATGTGAACAACGAGTATTATGGGCAGGGTAAGATGAATCTCAGAAGAGGTAACAGAATCCCTGAGTACCCTAAAGGAACTACTCTGAGTATAGTGGGACCTCGTGAGAATATAGTGGGAACTCTGGAGTTCACTAGTGATTATGTTGGCAAATATTACAACATTGACCCTGCACTGCAATACATGCTGAACTGGAGAGCACTTCACCAGAGCTCTCTTGAGGTTGGCGAGAAGGCTCTCATCACAGCATTGGGAAATTTCAATAAGCTTCCTCTTGCGTCTCTGGTGAAGTTCTTCCCCGAGTTACTGTTTGATTTGACGGAAATGCTAAGAGACTCTTCGTCTGCAAAGTTGGACAGACTTTCAACAGCAACTTTCGAGAGTCTGGTGCATTTCCTGGATATTGTTCTTGCAAGACAAGATCAGTATTTCTACCTTTTCGACGATTTCATGCAGAAGCATATTTCCAACGTATCCCATGTGGGTCCGCAATTGGTATCAGTCATGAATCTGATTTTCTCCAGAGCTGGAAAGGAATGGAGCCATGTAGGAAGAGCTCTTTGTCGCATATCACCGTTGATTGTTAGACTCGCAGTAGCAGCTACATCTAAGGACAGTTTCACATTCAAAAAGAACTGCAGCTTGCTGCTCAGTTCAATCACTCAATTTCTCTCTCTCAGAAACGATAACCTGGTCGCCGACCAAGTACTGGTTTTGGAAGATCTTGAGAAATGGTTAGAGAGTCTGAGAAGGTTCTATGATGATCAAGCTCTCATGAAAATTTCAATCCAATGGCTACAGGCTGTGGATATGCATGGTTTGGGGAAACAGGAGGACGATTCTGCAAATCCTTTGGCTGTCAAAAAGCACGTTCTTTGGCGCAAGTTGCTTCTCACGAAGCTGATAGTTGCCAGAAGGTTATTGTATTCGTGGATGATCCACTCAAAAGATTGTCAGTTGACTCTTATCAATGGCTGCATTCGCTGGGCATTGGAGGTTCTGTATGGCGAGAAAGATTTCGATGCAATCAGATTGGCCAATGGAATTTTGGTATCTGTTTGCTCTACTTTCTCTGGCCAAAGCCCAATCTACCACGATAATAGGGGCGAGCTTCATCGTGGAATTGCCAGGCTTTTACCACTGGTAGGAAAGTTGTTTCTGCGTCTTTCGAGCTCAAGGTGCATTGAAAAGTTGGTGGTTCCCAAAAGATCATTTACCCAGCTGTTTCCTTGCGAATATCCTTTTCCTGAACTCATCATAGACTCTGTGGTGGATGCCGAGAAATTCTCAGAAGTGCTGATCGAACTCGCAGTTGTGTTAGTCATTTTTACCAGAATCGCCAAATCAGTCTCGGGCTCAAAGGGCTTCGAAAAAATATTCGCAGATAGCAAACAAGATGAGTTATTCAACAGCGATACATCCACCTTCGTGAGCTCTTTGAGTGCAAAGGACATCAAGGTTTTGCTTCACTCTGCTCACACCTTGTGCCAAGGGAAATTCTTTCCCAGCCAGAAATGGATCTCTCTTCATTCTCTATTTGTTGAGTGTTCCATTACTGTTGTGGAATTAATTCAGCCGATAGTCCTCAAGGAATACTGTCAGGTTGACGAGGTTTCGCTGGACGTTGATCTGCTCAATAAATTCATCGAACTATGCTTGAAAATCTCGTTTGCGGGGCCTTCTTCCATTGACAGTCTTCCCGATGTTTCCCAGAATGCTTGCAAGAATATAGCTGGTGACATAAGAACCCGTGTAGTGGAAGCGTTGAGATCTGTGTGGGATTCCCTTTCTGAAGAAGCCTCTCATGAGACTGAAAGCAGATTCCAAATCAAAAAGGTGGGAGGCAAGCAAAGCAATTTCATAGTTGGAAAATACAGCATTATCGTTGATCTTATGTCATTCTGTCTCCAGTCTCATCCTGGTTGTCAGGAGTTGGGAGTTCAGATGTTATGGTCGATGATAGTCAACGAATGGGTCACAAGTGGAGATCTGTTTGAAATTGAGCGCGCATGTATTAGTGGTCTGTATGAGTCACTGCACTCTGGATTTCACCGTGTACATGGGAAGAGTTCGTTCACTTTGAAGATGAAGTCTACAGTCAGAATTGACCCCGAAGATGATGCCTTTGGGTCGATCAACAATCTTCTCAAAACCATCTTCAACTTTTTGGACGTTTTGGACGAGCTCGAGAGTGTGCCAATTGGCGACGAGTTTGATGATGACAGGACATTCCATAACCTGAATATCTCGGGATATTTGATGCAGGTAAATAGGCCGGAATTGCTGCACTCCTTTATCAACGAGATGTATGACACTAATATGGAGAAGGGCCAATTCGTTCAGGCAGCATTAAGTCTGGAGTTGCTTGCAAATACCTACGACTGGGATACGGAGGTTATGCTTCCGCCTTGTGACGAACCTGAGTTTCCTGCTCAGACTTGTTTTGAACGCAAAGATGCTCTGTATAGAATGATGGCTTCAAACTTTGTGCGTGGGAAGAGCTTAGAGCAAGCGGCTGTTGTTTATCAAAATCTTCTCCGTGCCTACGAGAATTTCTCTTATGATCTGAAAGGGCTAGCATTCTGTCACTCCCAATTGGCCGCGGTTTACGAAAGTCTTGATAAGACTGACAGACTTGTTCCCACCTTTTTCAAAGTGATGTTCATTGGGTTTGGGTTTCCTAAGTCAATTAGGGGCCGTGAGTTCATATACGAAGGGTTGCCTTTTGAGCATATCACCTCAATTCACGACAGACTCTCCAGACTTTATCCAGGTACCAGAATTGTGTCTCGGGAGCAGGAGGCCCAGGCAATGCTTGAGCAGACTCCGTTTGGAAAGTTCATGCACGTCAAGACAGTGACTCCCCACCATAGCGATGAAAAGAGCATTGGAATGGTTTCGGCAGGTGCAAACATTGCAAACAGAGAACTTAACGTGTTTGTGTCTTCAAAGAGACTTCCTGGAGCAACTGGCATTTCTGATCTTTGGACTGAGGAAACCTCATATGAGACACTACTGGGTTTCCCAACGTTGATGAACAGAAGTGAGGTCAAGAGCTCCGAAACTGTGAAAATCTCTCCCATTGAAAATGCCATAAGATCGCTATCGGCTAAAAATGAGAGTTTACTTAACGTGGAAAGAAACGGCCTGCTTTGCCTGAAAAATCCTGGCTCCAATAGCGATTCTCAGTTCCAAGATCTGTCAAGAGAGCTGTCTGGTACTGTTGATTCTCCAGTAAATGGAGGTGTCGGCCAGTACCGCGTTTTCTTTGCGTCTGAGCATGCAGATGATGACGCAGAGAAGGCCAGGCTGATCAGGTCGAAGTTCAATATAATGGTGGTTCTTCTGGGACGGTGTCTGTGGCTTCATGGAGAGTTGGTTCCTTCGTCATTGAAGGCTTCTCACGATGCCTTGGTTGATATGTACAAGAAGAACTTTGCGGAAGAGATTGTGGAACTGAAAGTGTCCATTGCGTCTAATGCTCATGGCAACTATTCCGATCGCGAATCCAGAGTGCCCCATCATCACGATTCAGCCTCTATCATATCCGGGCGTGCTTCTCATCATACCGGCTCCATGAGTTTTCTGAATTCAAACAAGAATACGGCTTTGACCTGGAGGCCAACCGGATTATAATGAATTAGAGCATTTGGAATATTTTCTGGATTTTTTGTTCCGAGTTTTGTAGGTTTTTTTCTCACTTTATTCAATCTGGTGGGTTTCTACAATCTCAGAAATTTACGAATTTTATGAATACTCAAATTTGAAATTTTCTTGTCAAAACTCTCAAAACAAAAATTTAATTATTATTTATAAAATGTAAACGAAATCAGGAGCGTTACTTCCGGTCTTCTCCCTCCTGGTGTCTTCTATTTCCCCAGCGAGAATCTTGGCCTTCAGAGTGTTTTGCGATTTCAGGTAGTAATATTGAATCGTAGTCAAGACCATCGCAACAACGGTGCAACCCAAAGAGAAGCCGTTTCCAAGCTTATAAGGAGCAGTTCTGTAGACTTGACCTGCAATCACACCAGCCAAGTTACCGAAGGTTTGGTTGAGACCCAGAGCGGAAGCTCTTCTGTAATGTGGTGCCATGTTGTTGTTGATCCAAGTGACACCAACACCGACCGAACTGTAGTAAGGAATGGCGATCAGATAGCACGCAAAGTACTTAGCTGGACCATTGCTCGATCCGAGCAATATACAGTAACCAATAAGACCAAATGCGTTACAACCAAGGATAATAGGAGCCTTCCATCCCTTTTTGTCCGACACATACGAGGTCGAGAAAACAGCAATTGCGGCAAACATATAGACAGGAACAGACAAATACTGAGCCTGCATGCTATCGTAACCCAACTGGAGCTTCAAGATGGATGGAAGGAAAGTGGAAAATCCATACAGCACTAGATCCACGCAGAACTGAATGGAAAGAGAAAGATACACCTTTGGATCCTTGAGAGCGTTGACAAGTTCTTTCTTCTCGAAATTTTGATTTCCCTGGTACTTTTGAGCATGCGTGAAACGAATGGCCATCATTTCCTGCTCTTCCTTAGTAAGGAATTTTGCTTTCTTGACATCGTTTGGCATGCCGAAAATGACCCAAGAAGCGACAGCAAGAGAAATACATCCTTCGATAATGTACAACCAACACCAAGCCTGGAAGTTGTGACGGGGCTTGATTTTGGTGATACCTGTAGCGATCAGACCACCAAAGGCACCCGAGAAACACGAACACACGTAGAGGTATCCCAGACGTCTGGACTGTTCCTCTCTCTTATATGTCATACTGATGATCAAACTCAAACATGGAAAGAATCCTCCTTCGAAAAGACCAAGCAAAAGACGAGTGAGAATGAGAGACCAGTAGTCACGAATGAACGCAGTGAAAATTGTCACCAGAGACCAGCACACCACCAACACAGTCAAATGAAGACGAGGTCCAACTCTCTTGACCAGCAAAACTGAGGGGAGCTCGGCAGTAATGTAAGTGGCATAAAACACCGACACAGCAGCGGAATATTGGTTGGGTGTCAGGTCCAGTTGCTCGTACATGCCTGCAATCTTTGCGTTACCGATGTTGGATCTGTCAAGGAAAGAGAGGAAGTACAGAGCTGAGAACATGGGCAAAAGGAACCAGTCAAGCTTGTGAACCAACTTCTTTTCCTTCACAGGATCAATATAGAGTTCATCAGCCTCTATTACAAGAACTCCTGATGAAATATCTGAACCATGTTCGTTCTTCACTTGCTCGGAGACCACCATGTTTTGTTCAGCCTTTTCTTCGTTGGTCATTGCTGTTGAGCTTGCAGCCTTAAGCCCAGATATAAAAAAGGGTCTATTGTATCAGCTTATATATACAAATTTTTTTTGAGTATGCATTCTATGGCTTCTCGTAAGGTCTTGCATGGCGCTACCGATAAGGCACGGTAAAGTTCGGCCTTGGGCAATTCCTCCCCAGTGGGGGAAAAAAAAGTCCCCCACCCCCTCCAATTGGGCGTCGCTGACCACGATAAGCAAGCCCTAATAGGGCAGATCGCATGAGAATCTCCGCCAGCGGAAATTGTGTTCCGTTAGGGTCAGCTGACGTGTATGAACAAGAGATCGGAAATCGAGTACCGAGAAATTATGGTTTGATTATTCTTTTGACGGCTATAGTTCAGATTAGATGTCACGACAATAGCGGAATGGAACAGCCGGGAAAAATGGCTCAATCCATTGTTTGACTAGTTATTCACGTTTTATTCGCCTGATCCCTATTTCGCTACATCGGTGTACACATCAAAACGTCTCTGCGTGGTAACTGGAATACTTGCCCTGGTCCTCACCAAGACCTCAGGATCCAACTCCGCGTAAACGATCTCGTCTCCTTCCTGAGCTTCCGCCAGTATCTTCCCATTTGGATCCACTACTAGCGAATGACCATATGCATGGTACGAAAAGTCTGTATCTCTGGAGGGAGAACAGAATATCACAAACATCTGGTTATCGACGGCTCTTGCCTTGGCGAGAAGGTGCCAATGCAATGGGCCAGTGACAGTGTTGAATGCACCCGGATATACCATTCCGAAACATCCTTTTCTGGCAGAGATAGCAGCCAGCTCCGGGAATCTGGCGTCATAGCATATTCCCTCGCCCATTGAGCCAAATCCGGGGAGATTTAAGGTGATCAGCTCGTCCCCACCAGTGAGAGTGATGCTTTCTTTGAAAGTGATTCCACCGGGAATGTCGATATCGAAAAGATGTATCTTTCTGAACTTGCCTATGATTTCACCTTCTCTGTTGAAAGTCACTGAGGTGTTGTATATCTTCGAATCGTCCCCCAGTTCGGGAATTGTCCCTCCCACCAACATGACCTCATGTTTCTTAGCGAGACTGGACAGGAACTGGGTACTCTCACCATTGGGGATGTTTTCCGCATAATTTGCAAACTCACTCACAGAGTATGGTGAGTTGAAGCACTCAGGTAAAACGGCCAGATCAGCGTCTGGATATTGGTTCATCGCCTTCTCTAGAAATGAAGCCGCATTTTGCAGGTTCTTCGTTTTGTCAAAACCCGCCTTGATTTGCAGCAATACCACCTTTAGCGGTTTCTTTAATAGTTCAGAATCAGTCATTTGATATTTTTCACGAAAGAAAATTCAACTAGCTACGAGTTGCGAAGTTGAAGTTCAGTGGAAATAGTCTGCCACTTTTTGCCGGCATGTTTTCCTCCACTGAATCGTTATCCCCCAGTGGGGTAGATAAGGCTCCACTCCCCCACTGAAAAACCGTCTAACCCCATCGATACTGAAATCGAACACCATTGCAAAGTCAACCGAAATAGTTATATAGTCTCGTGCTCGCATTTTTGTTGCATGAATACGGGTTGGGTGACATAATCTAGAAAAAATCAAAAAATGGGGTTCAAGGTGAGTCTGAACGGGGAAGTGGTTTGGCAGTGCCTGACATTTGACTAACTCATCATCCAGAGGCTGATAAGATTCGAGGCCAAGGACGGCAATACCTACCACGGTGATGCAATTCTTCCCGAGGGATCTATTGATGTGTATGAGGCTAAGACTGCATATGTTATCCTGGGAAATGTGCTTAGCAAAGACTATGTGATCACAAACCATATTGCTGAAATCTCCAAGTTATTATCTCCACTGAGTGAGTCTCAGATCCCAAGTTTGCGCTGCGTTGGAATGAACTACATCAAACACGCAATTGAGCTGAAAATGGAGATTCCAAAATACCCGGTGCTATTTTTCAAGCCAACTTCAGCCGTGGTTGGGCCATCGGATCCAATTATTGTCCCTGCCGCATGTCAGATGCCACCAGCCAAAGTTGACTACGAAGTGGAAATGGCTATTGTCATCGGTAAAACGGGGAAGAACATTCCAGTTGAAGAGGCACACGAGTATATTATGGGTTACACCATTGGTAACGATGTGAGTCAAAGAACTTGGCAGATGGACAGAGGTGGAACTCAGTTTGGCGTGGGGAAAATGTTTGATAATTTCGCTCCTTTGGGTCCTTCAATTGTCTCCAGTGAAGTTTTGCCAGATGCAAACAATTTGCATATCACATCGAAGGTTAATGGTGAAATTAGACAGGATTCTCGCACATCTGACATGATCTTCACCACCTCTGAGGTTGTTTCTTTCATGTCTATTGGAACGACGTTACGTCCCGGTGATGTAATCTTCACCGGAACTCCCTCTGGAGTTGCAGTAGGATTGGAGCACACTCCTTGGTTAAAAGACGGAGATGAGGTTGAGTTCGAGATCGAGAATATTGGAGTTCTTAGAAATAAGCTGGTGTTCGAGAACAACCCAGCCTTGACGGCTAAATACATTTAGAATCAAATAGCAAATAGAGTTGCTATAGAATCACGGTTCTCTGTACATATTGTCACAAAACAACTTCTTGTAACCCATAGACCTATCGCGACAGTGCAACATTAGGCGAGAATACTCTTGACCAAGGACCCAAGAGCACTCGCTATACAAACCAGCGATTGTTTCCGTATAACCTGCCAGGTTTTGCAGATTGGGTATTTTCGTCAAATTCATTGCACATGCCCGCACACTTCTGTAGTATGCAAGCGCACTCTCCCCCTCCACCAGATATCTGTTCAGCTCAGACTTGACCCTAGATAGATACGCAAAAGCTTCTTCTGAGGGAGGACTGTCTGGTGTTTGCACTTCAGGACCACGCGTGATGTAGTTATAACACCATATGATAAGGCTGCAGTATATGATGATATGTGGTCTTTCGGGAATAGGGTCCTTCTGGGGTTCGTAACTTATCTGGCCTTTCCCTTCGTCAACCAAACACTCATATATACATAGATAGGCATGTATGACACATATTTTTCCATTCACACTTAGAGCCCATTGCTCTATTCTCTTGCGGACATTTTCATAATCCTCAAATTTCGTTTTGACATTCATCCGTAAAGGCGCACCGGCATAAATAAGCATGTCAAAGTTCACAATGTATAGTCTGATGTGAGCCATATGATAAGAAGGGTACTTGCACTTGGTATCGTTTAGACGAAGGTATTCTGAAAACAAATCAGATTTTCGTGCCCTCATGTCAATGGCCAGATTATCGACATCGCAACAGACTCCATCGTCAACAAGGTATCTCCAAGCGTCAAGAGCGTATGACACTTTTTCTCTCCAAGGCTCACCGGCGATATTATGAGAAAACTCACGATTAGTCAAGCTAGAAGTTTCATCACGTTGCTCAAACTGTACAATAATCGAGAACAGCGCGTTCAACAAAACCCTTTTGCCAAACGAGGAAGCTTCAACCTTCTCTCCTATCAATAATCTTCTCAACGACAGAAGAACAGGTTCTGACTTTTGTGGCAGGGGACCTGTCTTTAGCGACTCAAAATCCGATTCCCACAGCAGATCATCACACGGCAACTCAAGTCGTAATTTATTCACGAACAAAGAAGCATTATGCGAAGACACTATGAAATTGGTGAGATCAAAGCAAAACCCCATCAAAGCACACCTCTTCAAAGACTCAGCATGGATCCATTTCTTCCACAGGAGCTCTGTTTGATTGGCGGGTACTGCTTTGAGTTCATCTGGGGAGCAGGGATTTGCTCTACTTTCACTGGCATACGGATCACCTCCCAAAATCGGACTTCTCTTCATCATCTCTATCTTTGCGGCCTGATGGACAGAAGATCTCTCATGAAGTTCTCTAGAACCGTAATGCTTCTCAAAAACTTCAAGAATCAGCAGACTTTGCAGAGCAGATAGTTCCAGCGGTCCGCTAATACGATGACTAAAAATCAGCCATCTCAAGGGTTTGGCAATGGCCATGGCGATTCCATGAGGGTCTTCAAGAACGTTGTTTTCACAGACCGAGAATGTGGCACCCATGGCTATCATTGCCAAAACCAGCAATGGCAGTTCCGTTAAAGTGTTGAAGGAAGGTTTGTGGAGAATTGGATACTGAATGTGAAATACAGCCCAATAGACCTGCAAACAGTACTCCAACTTATTGGCCGAGAAGTCAGGATGTTGAACCAAAGAAGGTATCAAGTATAAGAACCTCCTGATCAGCTCTGGAGTAACTGAAATTGAAGTTGTGGGAGTCAATATGGAGTCTCCAAACTCAGACTGGAACAACTCGAAAAGCAGCGAGTTAGGGGAACCATTCAAGCTGAGAGATGATAGAGGATATATTTTGTCGAAACTGTCAAACGGCGGCACCTCATCGTAATTGGGCAAATTGTTCGAAATACCATCTGTGAAGAGCCAGCCTAGCCATGCCGGTGGCTCTTCTTTAGATCCTGTGTCAGGTTTACCCGTCAAGGCGGAATTGAAAATAACATCTGACAACGCTTTGTCACCTGACTCCGTTAACGCATTGTTTTCTATTGGGGATGAATATGGAAGCGGCGATTCGTAATTGGATTTGGCGATCTTGTTTCTCTTCTGATTGAAATGTCGCTGGTAGTGGTTGTTCCTGACATCAGTCCTTTTGAATGTCATGTTACAGTTGGGGTATGTGCAAGGGTGAGAACTAGCATTCTCGTTGTGGTTAACACTGTGTCTTTTAAGGTGGTCCTTTCTGTAAAACGTCTTTCCACATCCCGGAAACAAACATGCATGGCGATTCTGACTCTGCGACATGGTGGGCTATATGCCTTGATCGATAGCGTTGGAGTGAATAGACCTGTTGGTTGGTTTCAAAGATGCTAATCTCACTGTTGTGTGCGCGAACAAATATCTTGCCGCACAGAGGTGAGGCAGAGGTCGAAGATTCTAACGGAGGTGAAGAGGTTGATAAAGTTCGATTCAAATACTGGGGAGTTAAAATCTCTTCATGTAGGAGAGAACTTATTCTTCAGTGATGCTCTAGCTGCCGCAATTGAGCTTTTAGTTTATCCCGTTATTCCATCAGTGCTGTCGATAGGGTTAACTAGTAGGTTGAAATATAGACTGGGATACAAACTAGCAAACCCGAGTTCTCTCGGGTGCTACTCTGAGAAACCACCTCTAATGTGACTTGGTTGCTTCTATCAGACAATTTTGGATAGAAACTACGGGAGCCGAGGAGTTTGCCATGTTACCTACCTGCAACTGCAGCTCAATGCGCACGTCTATTGTTAGTACAATATGGCTAAAAAACCCTCGCCACTTACCGATTGGTCAGTATCTTTATGTGTGGCAGTCTCGAAGCTACTTACGTCCGAAAATGAAATCTCGAGGATTTTTCCAGCCCATGTCGCTCGAAAGAGAGCACCCAAAACAGGAAAGAGTACTTGCATGGGGTAGCACGTGGAATCCGCATTAGGCAATCTCATCGATCCTCTGCAGTTACTTAGGACATTTACATGCATACTTCGGATTGAAATTCAGTATATATAATTGAAAACTTTTCCGCTGGATATATCCACTTTGTACTTCTTCCATAACTGAAAACACGATGAATTTTACTGCCAGCATCGCTCTTTTTTTGTCGCTTGTATCCGTGGCTTGGGCTACCACCAACAGATTCCCCGAATCCAACTGGGGTACTTCACGTTATGGCACCTTTACCAGTGTAAGCGGATTCTTTCTTCAGAGTGACTCTTCTACAAACGCTACTAGCTTTGACTTCAATGATAATCTTGGCTTGAAACCCAATTATACTTGGAACTCGTTCAAAAATGCGATTGAGGAGCTTAACGCCAATTCTAACGAGACAACCTCCTATAAGGTTATCTTCTTTGGTAGACACGGTGAAGGTTACCACAATGTCGCCGAGTCTTATTACGGGACTCCGGCATGGAACTGTTATTGGTCACTTTTAACGGGTAACGGAACTTCTACATGGGGCCCCGATGCTGGTTTGACACCAAAAGGTGTTTTCCAAGCTCAAAACAACTCTGATCTCATCAAGTCGTTATTGCCATATGGATTCCCATTGCCTCAAAACTTTTACTCCTCCCCCATGACAAGAGCAGCTGATACTTTGACATATACGTGGAATGACATTGCCTTGAAGACTGGTTTTGTCTCCCCTATTTTCAAGGAATCTTTGAGAGAAACCATTGGTTTGCATAGATGTGACGAGAGAAGGAGCAAGACTTACCTCAAGGAAAGGTACCCAGACTTTCAATTCGAAAACGGATTTGTTGAAGACGATTTGCTATGGACCAAGGATACTCAAGAGCCTGATGGAGCAAAGGTTCTGAGATTGACTTCGTTCCTGAATGATTTGTGGGCTAGTGATCCATCCACCTATGTTTCTGTAACTGCCCACTCAGGTGTTGGTTCTGCGTTGCTCAGTGCAGTTGGTCATAGATCATTTTCTCTTTCTACTGGTGCAATTATTCCAATTGTCGTCAGAAGAGATTCTATTCTTGGATTTGTTCCTCCCTCAAATGCCACCACGGTTTCGGTTGGTACGTCTGCAACTGCTCCATCGTGTACTGTCTCCATTGGGTCGTTGGCTTCTTCAAAGACCGCTTCTCTTTATTCGCAATTCTCGAAGGATTACTACCAGACCGAAAGTTATTCTGTTTTGACTGTGACCAGTATTTCTACGACTACTGCAACTGTAACAGCTGCTATTTCAACGAACTAGAAACTGAAGGGGGGGGAACAGTGTTCAAATAACTTGACTCATAATATCCATTAAAAGTACCGCTTTTCAGCTACTTTGATCCTTGAGTTGGAGCTTACTGTTTTTCGCTTCAAAGGTCCGATTTGCTGGGGCTCTCTATCCACCAACGAAATACTTTGAACCTTCATATACCAATAAATAAATCATAATATCATACCCTTCAAACCTGGAGTGTTCACGCATCTTTAATCTCGAGACGTCTGGCTTGCAACGGCTGCTGCAACAGCTGCTAGAGCCTCGCTGGTTGCATCCTGATCAGCTTCGCTATTAACATCATCCGGATTATGGTAAAACCTCGAATCGTTTCCATCCTCGTTATCCTCATTTTCCTCCTTCTCATCAGAACCAGACATCACATCTTGAGCCATTTCATGACCAGCGTTGATCATGGCCAGTTTTTTAGTGGCCATCTTCGCAATCCAATCATCTCTTGTAGCAAGTTGAAATAGCGACAAAGAACCCAATGCTTCCTGGGCACATATCCTCTGTTCACGAATCCACATCTCGTGTTTGGCACTTCCTGACAACGTGGTCCAGTTGCCATACGCGCTCTTCAGTTTCTCAGCATGATTCTCCAACGTGCCATCTACTTCTTGCTGAATCCACACGTTCACTGTTTTATATGTTTGCAGCGTTGGAGGATCATGAGGCCAGTGCGACGGAGGTAAGAAATATAGCACCATCCTCGGAAAGGAAGGATGCTGCGACATTGTAGGAACATTCAAGGTGGCAATGAAATCCTTTACAGCGAGTTCCTTTGCACGATATTCCTTCGACTTCTTTCTCCTTCGTATTCTATTTCTTTCCTTAACATCCTCTCTTCTATTGTACCTCTGGGAACGCAATAGTCTCTTTCGCCTAACTGATTCTGGATCACCACGTCTCCGCACGTCGGATCTCATAATATCGATCTGTTCCGCTGGATGGCCATCAGTTCCCTTTTTCTGATCTAGATGTCTTCCTAGAGACCCCACATGCGAAAAAGTCTTGCCGCAGAACCTGCAAACTCTCTTTGGGTCGAAGCCTTCTGGCAAATTGACGTCTTCGTATCTCGAGTCAGAGGTTTTTCCTCCTTGCAACTGCAAGGCGGTAGTCGCAACATCCACAGTCCTCGTACCTGTATTTTCATGGGCTATACTGGGGTCGATGTGAACTGTGTAGCCTTCGACGTCATCATGTGCATGGTTCAATGACGATAAGTCCACGGCCAGTGCAGAATTGACGTCGTTAACAACATCATAATTTTGGATGTTCTGAAAATACTGGTTTACCGAATTAAACGTGTTTTGATCATGCTGATGCGATCTTTCCTTGTCACTTTGAGACTGCATTATCAGATGGTACGAGAGTAGTTGACGACGGTGCTGTTGTGTCAGAAGAACTTCAGATCTTCTAAAACTCGAAGACTGGTAGTGCGCAGGCGAGACGTTCTTGGAATGTTTAATGCACGACACTGATATCGCGTCTTCTTCTGAAGTTCCACTGCATACGTAAAGTGTCCTTTGCCTTGCAGTAATACTGGCACAATGTTTTCAGATGAAGACGTTGATGTCCAGGGATTGTACAAGAAATTTGACATTGCTAAGGATGGTACGCTGAGTGATTACTGTTGTGGGTTCAGGAATCACAGAATGACTAACAATCTCTTAGCGATCAAAGAGAGACTATTTTCGGCCACGACTGGGGAAGGCCTGATCCCAATCAAAAGAGAGATAAACGAACTAACACGCTGGATATCTGGTGTGGACTCGAAGAGGTTCCAGCAGATTCCTTCTTTTGATCAAAAGTATTTTGTGTCGCAAATTGATCTTCTTCTGGAGAAGCTGGAGACGCGAAAGATAGAGCTGGGGAAGAAGAGGTTTGTGTTTAGCTCAAAGCTTCGTCAGAAGGAGAAATTTGATGAACCGCCCCACTTAGGTGTAGAAGATGAGGCTATCGCTATAAAGCCTCAGTTTGAATGCGTTAATGGGAAATATTTGGAGTTAACATCCACCTCGTCTGGCCATCTCTTCGTTCGTGACTGCCAAAGCTCAATACTAAAAGTACCCAATACTACTTCACAAGAAATTGTGAAGTCAATTCACATCGAAAATTTCACAGCGAGTATACTCATTTTCAACTGCTCGGGTCCGCTTTTCATAACAGGCGCAGAAAATTGCATAATTGGGGGGAAGTGTAGACAACTTCGTCTGAAAAATGTGAAAAATTCAAAGATTTATGTGGACATTTCGAATACTCAACGGAGGATTGTTTTTGAGGGTGGAAAAAATCTTGAAATAGGCAAAGTATCCAATGTTGACTTCGGCGAAAATTTCGATTTGAAATCAGAGTTTGCGAGTGATAACACGGACTTTGTGGAGGTTGATGATTTTGACTTCCCTAGCAAGGCTACCCTCAATCCACACTTCCGTTACGTCAATACCGTACTGAGCTTGAGTTGGATAACCAATTTGCATGCTGGAGGACTTGACCAGACTCTTCTAGAGAAACTTAAGCTTGCTGTTTCAATCCCATAAACTGGCGCATCTTTAGACCTTGTGTACTGTCTCATGAACTGAACTACGATTGTAACAATTTCATTGATGAATGGCTCTAGACTTTTTATCATCATTAATAGCTATGTATAGTTATAAAAAGTTCGAAGCACACCAAAGCAAATAGGGGACAAAAATTCTTCATACTGAAGCAAGCTTCATTAAACAACAGGAATCTGAGGAAATCAGTCGACGTCCTCCATGACAGACTCTCCGACAACCTCCTCAGCTGGAGCAGCAGAGTCTTCGGCAGCAGGCTCCTCAGTCTCGTCCTCGATGTTCAAACCAATGGAGATAAGACTGTTGATTCTCTGTGCAAAGACATTTGGCTCATCGAGGGTGAAACCGGAAGTCAACAAAGCAGTGTCGAACAGCAAAGTAGTCAAGTGCTTGACAACTCTGTCTTCAGCTCCGTTCTCATCAACCTTCTTCTTCAAAGCCTTGATGATGGAGGACTTTGGAGAGATCTCGAAGATCTTCTTGGAAGCCATGTAGGCAGACATCGATGTATCTCTCAAAGCCTGAGCCTTCATGATTCTCTCCATGTTTGCGGACCAACCAAACTGACCAGTTCTAATAGCAGCTGGAGAGTCCACCAACTTGTGCGAGACGATAACCTTTTCGACTTGGTCACCCAAGATGTCCTTCAAGGCCTTAGTCAAAGGTTCAAACTCCTTGGTCTCCTGTTCTCTCTCGGCCTTCTCCTCCTCGGATTCTTCCAGCTCAAAGTCCTTGGTGATGTCAACCAACTTCTTGTCCTCAAACTCCTTGAGTTGAGTCATGGCGTACTCATCAATTGGGTCAACCAAGAACAAAACTTCAAAGTTCTTGGCCTTCAAAGCATCCAAGAAAGGAGACTTCTCGACGGCCTTGATGGTCTCACCGGTGATGTAGTAGATGTTCTTCTGGTGCTCTGGCATTCTGGTAACGTAGTCAGACAAAGAAGTCAGCTCCTCGGTAGATTTAGTGGAGTTGTAACGCAAAAGCTTGGCCAAAGCAGCACGGTTCTGCTGGTCCTCGTGGATTCCCAACTTAATGTTCTTGGAGAATGCAGTGTAGAACTTGTCGAATTGTTCTTGGTCTTCGGCAATTTCCTCAAAGGTCTCAATAAGCTTCTTGACAACGTTCTTTCTGATCACCTTAAGGATCTTGTTCTGTTGCAACATCTCTCTGGACAGGTTCAATGGCAAGTCCTCAGAGTCAACAACACCCTTAACGAAAGACAACCATTCTGGAATAAGCTCTTCGGCCTCATCAGTGATGAAAACACGACGAACGTAGAGCTTGATGTTAGTCTTCTTCTTCTTGGACTCGAACAAGTCAAATGGAGCACGCTTTGGAACGAACAGAATTGCTCTGAACTCCAACTGACCTTCGACGGAGAAGTGCTTCACGGCCAATGGGTCTTCCCAGTCGTTAGAGATAGACTTGTAGAAGGCATCGTATTCCTCCTTCGTCACCTCAGATGGGTTTCTGGTCCACAATGGCTTAGTCTTGTTCAACTCTTCGGTCTCAGTGACTTGTTCCTTGACCTTCTTGGTCTTCTCCTTCTTCTCTTCGTCTTCGTCATCCTTGATCTCCTCTACCTTGGCGTCCTTGGACTCATCCTCTTCAACCTTCTCTTCTTCATCAGCTGGGACATCCTTCTCAACCTCCTTGGTCACAACCAATTGGATTGGGTAGGCAACGAACTCAGAGTGGCGCTTGACAACCTCCTTGATACGCTTCTCCTCCAAGTACTCCAATTGGTCCTCCTTCAAGAACATACGGATCACGGTACCTCTACCAATTCTCTCGTTGGTCTCGTCCAAAGTGACAGTGAACTTTCCACCGGCATTGGACTCCCAGATATATTGCTCGTCGTCGTTGTTCTTAGAGATGACCTGAACGTGGTCAGCCACCAAGAAAAGTGAGTAGAAACCAACACCGAATTGACCAATCATGGTGACATCCGCACCAGCGGACAAGGCCTCCATGAAAGCCTTGGTTCCGGACTTGGCGATGGTACCCAAGTTATTCACCAAATCAGCCTTGGTCATACCAATACCGGAATCTCTGATTTCCAGCACCTTTTGCTCAGGCTTTGGAGTGATTCTGATAAAAAGCTCAGGCTCAGTATCCAGCTTCTTTGGGTCCGACAAAGCCTCATAACGGATCTTGTCCAAAGCATCGGAACAGTTGGAGATCAGTTCTCTCAAAAAGATTTCCTTGTTGGAGTAGACCGTGTTGATGAACAGGGACATCAACTGAGAGATCTCAGCCTGGAACTCATAAGATTCTGATTTCGACATTTTTCGTTAAGTTTTGCAAATAAGACAAGTTACCGAATAGACAAAATTTCACGGTTGTTGAAGGAACACCGGGTTTTATAGTGGTCGATGTGTGTCGGACGCTGGAACATTCGATCAGGTTCTACAGGGCGGGTAAGTGGGTAGTGTGTTTGAACCAATAGTACTAAAGGCTACACAGCCAGGCAAGTTTACCCCAGACTAGAAAGTTCTGGACATATTATTGTTCGCATGCTTACAGAAATAGGTTTTGAGAAATGGTTGGAGGTCGAAGTACTTGTTTGTGCCTAATATTGACTGGATTTTTTCTTCTCTGTAGTAAAGAGTCAAGAGACACAACAGACATTGTGTCAATTATGCCATGGTGCACGTTGAATCAGGTACAGAATACCTATGATACAGTTATCAGAAACAGAAAAGCGAGTTGTTCTAAACGTATTCTCTAATAGTTTGAAAAACAAATTGCGATTATTCGGTTTAGCTTTAGATCATTTATCCGTACAAAAACCAACCTTGCCAAACCGGTTGGTTGACATGCGTGCATCCCAAAATGCAGCCGCACATATTATCTTCTGCATGCTCTAGATAATGATGATGTAGTCCTCCATCTTCTTTCGCTACTGAGATTGCATTATAAATTAAGGTAAAATGGTATCAGCTCAGGCGTCTAACAAAAATGGGTCTTAAAAAAACAATTAAATAAAGAAATCGCCTTGGAGCCAAATCTCAATGGCTCAAATGTCCTCCCTTTCCTTCACACTGGCTCTATTCTGTCTCCTATAAAGATAGGTCAGTGGAATCAAAAGGATTAACATCATAGCATCCAGTGCAATATTGTAGCCATAACCCTTCTTATACTGAGGTGCATCTACAGTCTTCCAAACGAAAAGAGGAACCCAGACTGCAAATGTGTTTCCCAATGTGTTCATAGTGGATAATGTCAAAGCACGCTCCTGAGAGTTACCAGAACAGATCTTGTTTGCCCAAGAATAGAGCACGGCAGCAATACTATCAGCAGTTCCTGATAAGAAGAAGGCAAACATGATTCCACCCTTTCCGATATGCCAGATCACTAATAGAATACCAGCCAGCATGTTCAATACTGCGACATAAGCAATAATGTATGGATCACTGTCTTTCCATGAGTCGGCCAGAACTCCATTCAAAAGAGAGAAGAAAATTGTGACAGCTGGAATGACAGTAGTGATGGTGTTGATCTGGTAAACTGAGTAGTTGGAAGCCTTCAACCAAAGAGATAATCCGCTATAGGAACTAATACCGTCTGCCTGGGAGAAGAAGATCGCAAATACAACCAGCATCCAGAATCTCCATTGTTTTAAGGCTTGCAAAACGACTGGGAAAGTGAGTTTATCGTTGGACTTTCTCTTCTCCCTAATCATTCTCAATCTTGCAAGTTTGACCTCGTCCTCTTTCAGGAACACTTTCATATTCAGTTTCTCGGGCAAGCCTGGTATCGTGAATACACCATATGCAGAAATCGGGACGGTGATGATGAAAGCCAGGACGTAAAGCCATTGCCAGCCTTTGAGGTTGGCTTTACCGTCGAGATGGTCATAAGCACCGGTCTGGATATAGCCGCAGACCATGCTTCCAACCTGCGAGGCGACGAAGTAGATGGCAGAGCGAATGGTTAGCTCGGAGCTCTTATACCATGAGCCCAGAATGTATTGAACTGTGGGGAAGAAGAACGAACTCAGCAATCCAATGCAGAAACGCAAGGCGTACAACTGGTGATAGTTTGTGATCTTGAAGATGAAGAGCGTGAAAACAGCCCATACAATATCCATGGCAGGAAGGTAATAGTTAAGAGGCAACACAGTAGCCAACATGGTCAATGGAATTTGACCGACAATAAAGCCAGCCATATAGCACGAACTTTGATAAGTGAGTTCATTTCCGAACATCTTAAGGTCTTCTTTCATACCGGAAACATAAGCATAAGTAACTGCACTTGAGTCCAAGGTCTTCACGAATGAGGAAAGGAAGAGGTACACCAGAATCAAAAGATCAAGCTTGATAATGAGTCTCTTCTCGGCAGGAGTGTCTGTTGGAGAGAACCATTTGTAAAAGGGTTGAGTCTCTACTTTAATATTCAAGAACTCAACATCACTTGCATTCAGAGTAGCTTTGAGGTCTTCGGGTATCTCGAACTCAGTGAATATTGGGTCGTCTTCAGGTATTTCTGGAATGCTCAGTGTGACATCCTTCTCATCGCCTGTTTTGGAAAGGAACGTCATGGTGAATTAGACTCGAGAATAGACTCGAAATAAACTCTGAAGAAGAACCCGCTATTGTTGTGCAAGATCAGATCGATTTATATATTTTTTTGAATTAAACTTATTCTGGTAATAATCGTCCGGGTTCTCGGCATCCCGGCGTATATCTCGCCATAGGTGTGGCTGACAGCATAATCACTGGATTCAAGGCTGTGCGTATTAGACGGCCATGCAAAACTCCAAGGAAAAAGTTATCAACGGGTGTCTTACTCCGTGGTAAACGGAACAAGCGAGCGAATTTGAAAAAATTCAAAAAAAATGGTGGTGTTTTAGTCACATTTCACAGGTTTTTGTCTCATTGATGAAACACGGAGTTCGAAAGCGCAAATGCGTATATGCAGCCAAGAACTTGGAGTGCAATAATTTTTCAGTCCAGGCCGCATTGGTTCAAAACGATGCACTAAAATGGGTATCCATGGGCTTAAAACGACAATTTCACCAGCTTGAGATCATTTCTATGTAAAAAACAAGTTACGGCTCACGCTCTGAAAATTTATTTCCTCATCCGGATACATGTACTCAAGTATTCACTAAACACATCATATCTCATTCATACCCGTCAATAATTTCAAAATCTCCCACACGGAATTTCTCCCCATAGTTACGGTCGTAAGTGGTTTTCGTATGATACTGTTTGACTCTGCTTCTCACATAATGCTGGCCTGACACAGCGGGGAGGTCCCTATAAAGACCCAGTTTCTTCAGCACAGGCGAAGGGGCAATCTCGATTTGGGACCCTTTTCCAGGACGAACAAAGTAGAACAATCCCAGACGGCGGGACCCAACTTGGTCATCGGGCGGACGCAGGACGCGATGCACTGTGGACTTGAGGTAGTTGTTGCTGTAAAATCCTAATGCATCGGCGATGTTGCAGATAATGCCTCCATCAACTGGACGGATGTGTTTCCACTCGTAACCTGACTCTGTTTCGGTTCTTATTTGCAATCCAGCAACCACTTGTGAAAACAACAGGGTTAAAGATCCAAAGTCTGTGTGGCCACGGGCCCAATTGTTGTCCAATTTTGCGTCATCTTCAGCAGGTCTAGGATGGTAAAGCATATATCTGAGATGATCATCAGAATAATCTTCGTAACGATGTTGATCAGCAAAGTAGTTTTCAGGAAGTTCAAGAATTATTGCAAACAAGACAAATAATTTTCGGGCAACCTCAAACGACTTTCGAGAGAACGACTCGATCTCAGACCTGAAGTGATTTAAATAAGGTATGCGGTTGATCACATCGTCGTCGAAAAAACCGTTAAATTTGGGAACGTTCAGCAGTTCCACGTTTTCCTTCACGTCAGTTCCAAACATGGTCTTTTCAAAAGGGGCTTTATATCCAAAATAGTCTCCATCATCAAAATCAACCACACGTTGGCGTTTTACTTCATTTGATTGAGATTCGAAAAAGGTTTTTCCCAACGCAAATTGGCGTTTAACTTCATCTTTTGAGATTCCATGGCCAACCACTGCAAAGAAACCGTCTTTTTGAATAGCCTGTGATAGTTGTTCAGCCAAAGCTTTTTTTCCACTGGGTTCATTGAACGAGGTCAAATCAATAGTGGACAAATCTGCCCACTCTAGTCTTTCAGTAGTTTCTTTGGGATACTCCCACTCCGGAACAGTAGGAGGTGTCCACACTGAAGGATCTGTTTGTGTCATATTTTTTCTTAATTTTATCTGAATTTTCAAAGGGCAAGACCCCGGGTGATGCGTACTTGAAATATCATTATGGAGACTAATATATGATGGACCTCTTATCTAATCTGTTGCCCGTTTTAGGCGATGATGCAATTGTGTCTCTTGCCTGGACCCAACTGTGGCACGGTAATGTTTCCGTCATCAGTAAGAGTATTGGTCAGTAATGCTATATAATCTGTCTAAAAAGAGGGTGCGGGAGAATAACTTGGTGCATTATTGATGGGTTTCAATCCCCGGCTCTGTGTGTGCGGAAATGGCAGTTTCCTTCAGAGAGCCTCACCTGCAGCATTTTACCCCCATCAAAGTATCAAAAGGGTGAAAGTGAGGACAAGTTCTGATTCAAGTCAGAACTCATAGTGGAGGTGGCTTCATGAAAAGAAAAAAAAGATGACGATAAAATGAGCAATATGTTTTAGTTATTTTTATCAATACCAGGAACACAAAATCGCGCAAAGCACTAGAATATCCTGTCATTCCAGTGGAACCAAAATATACTCAGCTGTGTTTTTCACTCGAACCCGTCAGCAATCTCGAAATCACCCACACGAAACTTCTCCCCAGCACGTTTGTCGTAAGATGTGGAGTCATGGTAATTTTTGACTCTGCTACGTACGTAAAGTGTTCCAGTGATTGGCTTTAGCTCCTTGTAGAGACCCAGGCGTTTAAGCAATGGAGAAGGGGCGACCTCAATTTGCGCACCATCACCAGGCCTCACAAAATAGAACAAACCAAGACGGGGAGCTGTCACCTGGTCTTCTGGGGGACGAACCACACGGTGTATGGTTGAGCGGAAAAAACTATTACTCCAGAACGACAAGCCGTCTCCGATATTGCAAACAATTCCGTCATCAACGGGTTTGACGTATTTCCACTGACTATTTTCACCATCACCGGTTTTTATCTGCAAACCAGCAACAACCTGAGAGAATAGCAAAGTCAACGATCCAAAATCTGTGTGTGCACGCGCCCAATTGTTTTCCACTTTAGCATCGTCTTCCGCAGAACGCGGTTCATATTGCATGTATCTGAGATGATCATCCGAATAGTCGTCATATTTGTGTTTATCCGCGAAGTAGTTTTCTGGAAGCTCGAGAATCAAAGCAAATAACACAAACAGTTTACGTGCAACCTCGTAAGTTTTTTTGGAGAAAGGTTCAATCTCGTCACGGAAATATTGAACGAACGGAAGTTCCTTGTGGATATCTTCGAAGTGACCAGATTCTGTAAACTTGGGGATATTGATCAATTCTGCATTTTCACGAACTTCTGTTCCAAACATCTTCTTCACATGGCGGGGTTTGTATCCGAAATAATCTCCATCCTCGAACTTGACAGTGCGAGTGGCTTTTTGCTCAAGAGTTTGTTTTCCAAAAAAAGCCTTTCCAAGAGCGAATTGCCGTTCAACCTCGGTTTTGGGAATTCCGTGGCCAACAACAGCCCAGAAACCGTCATGTTGAATTGCTGAGGCTAGCTCCTGGGCGAGCTTTTCCTTTCCCCCTGGTTGATCAAATGTGCTAATATCAATCGTAGTTAGCTCCGCCCAATCAAGGTTCTCTTTAGTTTCAGCCGGATAAACCCAGCGCTCGACCTCAGGAGCAACGAATTTGACAGGATCCTCTTGTGTCATTTTGCATGTATGGAAGCAAAACAGTGGCAAATTTCATGGAAAAGCACAGCCAATATATAAGAGATTATTATGGCAAACTCAAAACTCCAATGAAATGGTGAAATTTAGCTGCAAAGAACCGCAGGTCCTTTTTTCGTTCCCCACACATGGTGAGGCGCGATGACGTGATTGCAAATCAATGGTATCCGGGTCAAATGGTTTGTGAAGAAGAAAGACGGTTTACGCCACATTTTGCGGAATTGAGACCCTTTTGAATTTTCATTATTTGGCGGAATGGATATCGTCAAGGTTTATAAGGCTGCGCTGCGCTGTTGTGAAAAAACATGAAAGCTCTGAAAACCCGGGGAGCTTTTATAATAATGGCTAACCAAAAATTCAACGATCCTGCTTACCGGAAGGCTTTACGGAAGCCGGATATCCGCATCGTACTATGGTACTCATTCATGTACCTGATTGTTCAGATGAACAAGAGTAACGTTTCTAATGCGGCTATCATGAACACTGAAGAGGGTCATGGGATCAAGAAACAGCTGGGAAACCTGACTTCTGGTCAATGGGCTTGGGTTCTGTCCTGCTTTTACTATCCGTACCTCTTTTTCGAACCGCTGACCACTGTTCTGATGAAAAGGTTCTCCCCTAGCAGATGGCAGGCCCGTCTCATGGTGACTTGGGGTATCGTTTCCATGGCACAGGCGGCGTGCAAGAATTACTCTGGAATAATCGCCGCACGGTTCTTCTTGGGTCTCGCAGAAGCTGGTTTCTACCCCACCGTTTTGTACCATTTGGGTTTCTGGTACCGCACGCATGACCTGCGCGCGCGCATTGCGTTCTTCTACGGTGCAGGCCAACTTGCAGGTTTTATTTCTGGGCTTCTGGCATATGGAGTCAGTCACATTGATGGAAAACGTGGAATTTACGGCTGGCAATGGTTGTTCATTATCGAGGGAATACTCCCCATTCTTGGAGGTATCTATACGTGGTTTTTCCTTCCAGATTATCCTGCAGATGCTAAGATGCTAACTGAAGAAGAACGTGAACTGATTCTCTCAGCTCTGCCTTCCTACGGACCTCAGACCAAAAGTAAAACTTGGGATTGGAGTGAAATCAAACCTCTGCTCAAAACGCCATCTTTCTATTCATACACAGTTATCTGGATTTGTCACGGAATCGGTGGTTGGGGTATTTCCTTCATTCTTCCTACTATCATCTATGGTCTTGGATTCACGGATACTGCCAAAACCCAGCTTATGACCATGCCTCCTGCTTTCCTTACTTTCTTCTTCTTATGCATTGTCGGATACGTTGGAACTTGGCGTGGAAACAAGGGCAAGCCACTTAACATGTTCTATGTTGCTGCTGTTACCGAAACGGTCAATCTGATCTCGTACATCGTTCTTTTGTGCACGAACAATAGAGTCGCTCAGTACTTGATGGTGTTGATTGCAAACGGAATAGGCCAAACTGTATTTCCATTACTATGGCCTGATAGAATGCGTGCTGCCCAGGGAACATCAGCTACAGGGTTGGCTATTGGAGCTACCAACTGTATGGCACAATTTTTGGGTATAGTTGGGCCTCAAATCTACCAAACCAAGTTTGGACCCAGTTATCACGTGAGTTACGCGATCTCTCTGGCGATGTTGGTTATCGCGACGGCTGCAATCGTTGTAAGCTACTTCCTTACTAGAAAAACGTTAAGAGAACTAGATGAAAAAGAGGCTTTGGAGGAAGACGACTCGGTTTCGGAGACTGCTTCTGAAAATGTGGTTGTCTTGCACTCAGAAAAGGCAGCATAAACATCTGGGTAGCCCGCAGACGTTGATTTCATCTCGCCTGCAAGCCTATTGTTAGCTTCTATTGTTAGTCCGCCGCGGCGGAAACATATTTTGAAATGTTTGAGATTTAGTAATTATATAGATCACTTGGTGTCGTTATATCAGGAGTCTTGTGCTCAGTCATAAATTCCAACGCGTAAGCTCACCAGTATATATCTGTTGTCTACTCTTCGCTTGCTGGAATATTTCTTGGCCGCTTAGAATCTTTTTTCAATGCGATTTCCAACTAATGGTTTAGTCTCAAGCTTATCGCATCCAATCAGCCTATAGTTGAAAGTATATCTGCAGATTTTCATATCAAAACCCAAATATTCGGGCGTGTGAAGACCAGAAATAATCACCCAAATTACTCGCTCCAGCAAAAAGGGAAGGCAGAAACGAGAGAGTAGGGCAGGCCATTCAAGATAACCGAAATTGGAAATAATCCAACCTGCCTTTGTTTGGTTGAACGAGGAGAGATTAAACAAAGATAGTGGCTCTCTTAGAACTTCCAATCTCGTCATGCCGTAGGTGTGTTGCTGACGAATCGATTTCGAAGAAAATAGCGATAAGCAATTGAATTTCGATGTTGGCTTGTATAAAGGAGAGGTACAATGCCCCTCGTCTTATACCGTTAACGCATTTTCGATCATCTTGATAACAGGACAATTCCCTTCAAACACCCCAAAAACTACAATGACCAACTTAACTAAACTCGGATTGAAGCCTTCCAGTCCTCCAGGAATCCTTGCCAAGAGTGCTAAAGAGTTCCACATCAGTCAAAGTGTCATCATCCCAGCTGGCCTGGCCACCGTTGAGACCTCTGGTATCGTCGGATTTGATGAAGAAGGCAACATCCCAGCCGACATCAAGACCGAGATTCACAACGCTTTCAAGAACATCGAGACTGCTCTCAAGCATGCCGGTGTTACTGGAGGATTCAAGTCTGTGTACCACATGAACTCTTACCACACCGATTTCTCTGAGGAGCACGTTGCTGCTCTTGATGCTGCCACTGCCGAATTCTTTGGTGAGGAGTACCCAACTTGGGCTGGTATCGAGATTAAGGGTTTGTCTGAGGGTGCTCACATCGAGATTGAGGTCAGAGCCATTCAAGCTTAGATATGTACTATTGCAAATTCAATACGCATGAAATCCTTACTAGATAAACGGTCCAGTAACTCGTAATATAACGTTTTGATTTTTGTCTGTTGAACTGCGTATTCAGTGAATGCATGTGCTGGGCAAATCGTGCATACATGAAGCTGGCCAGTCAATCGCGCTTTCTGAAAACCTACACTTGGAAGTATTTTAGGGAATATTTTCCAACACGTTTCTATAGTACCTAACAAAACTAGATGAACTGCATACCACCGTTGGCACAGATGGTGGAACCAGTCACCCATCTAGAGCTTTCACCAGCCAAGAAAACGGCGATATCAGCAATGTCTTCTGGTTCACCGATTCTCGAGGCAGCAGGAGTGGCCTTGATTGTTGCTTCGTAAGCCTCGAGAACAGCAGGCTCGGATTTGTACCACATGTCGGTAGCTGTGGTACCGACAGAGAGAGCGTTACAGGTCAAAGAATGCTTCTGACCCAATTCAACAGCAATGGTCTTAGTCACGGATTCCAGAGCAGCCTTCGAAGCAGAGTATGTGCAGCCGTACTCAGACACTTGTCTGGCCAACACACTGGAGGTGTTAATAACTCTTGGCTTGGTGCCAAAGTATGGAATGCAGTGCTTAACCAAAAGCACAGGGTACACAGTGTTGACCTGCAAAAGCTTGTGGAATCTTTCAGCATCCAAATCCTGAATCAGACAATCGTCATCCACACCGGCGTTGTTGACGAGAATGTCGACGGTCTTGAAGAGCTTCGACACTTCGGCAACCAACTTCTCGGCAGAGTCGTATTGGCTGGCATCAGACTTGATAGCGTACGCTTTCACTCCGAAGTCAGCAATGATCTTCTTAGCGAGGTCCTCAGCCTTACCGGCGGAGGCAGAATAAGTGATGACGACGTTGGCGCCGTTCGCAGCCAGGGCGTAGGCAATAGCAGATCCAATACCACGGGAAGCACCGGTGACAATGGCGTTACGGTTTTCAAGACTCTTGCTCATTTTTAAATGATTGATTTGATGAAAAAGAGATACTACATAGCTATGAAAAAGGCGACAAGTGCAAGTTTTATTTATGGTTTCGTGAGAACAACTACTGAACTTTTCATCTAGCCGGATTGGGATTCGTTGGAAGCGCTCTGCGCGAGCGTTGGGTCGATAAGAGGACCCGATAAGGGGATGGGCACGACATTCCTACTTTGTCGAAATGGGCAACCCGTAACGAGAATGCTTGTCAAGACCAAACTGTGTGTCTTTTTGATAATAGGTAAATCATACAGTGATTAGTAAGAGCCTGCCAAGTAGCGACCTACCAAGCAATCAGCTCAGTATATAAAAGTTTTCGGCTTCAGCTGCTAAAGCCAATAAATCTAGAAAAAGCAGTCAAGACCAAGTTTAAAGATGAAGGTTGCAATTGCAGGTGCCGGTGATGTGGCCAAGTACCAAACAGAAGAGTTATTGAAGAAGTCTATCGACGTTGTCGTGTTGTCAAGGAGTGACAAGGAGTGGTTTCACGGCAAGAAGGGTGTGGAATTGAGAATCGTTGACTACAATTCCGTCGAGTCGCTGACCGAGGCTCTCAAGGACTGTGATGGCTTGGTGTCGATGATCTTGGATTACTCGATGTATTTCGCCACACTGCACTTGAACCTTATCGAAGCTATGCTCAAAACGGAAAAGTGCAGAAGATTCATTCCTTCGGAGTACGGTGCTGACCTGGTCAAGTATCCTGACCAGCCAAAGTTTTACTACCCAAATCACAACCCCGTGAGAGAAAAGTTGAGATCACTCAACGGCCAAATTGAGTTTGCGTTGATCTGCTGTGGATGGCTCAACGACTATTTCATTCCCTCCAAAAACAGATACATCAAGGATCTGGACGACGGTTTCCCAACCAACTTGCAGACACGCACGGCCGTTATCCCAGGTACTGGGGATGAAGGAGTTGCCTTCATCTCTGCGAGAGACCTGACCAAGTGTATCACCAATTTGTTCAAGACTACCGAGCCATGGGAGGAATTTATATATGTCGCTGGTGAAACCACTACTTGGAACACTGTTGCCAAGACGTACTATCCGGGTCTTGATTTCAAGATCACCTATTTGTCAGTGTCCGAATTGGTGCAAATGATTGTCGACGGTACTCAGGAGAAGGATGACTTGAAGGTTATCAACGCCGAGTACCAACTGGTGTCCCCAACAAACTCACTGCTCTTGCCAGCAGATAAGCTCGCGGAGCACAGAGCCAAGTATTTCTCAGATATCCACTTCAGAACGAATCTAGAAATGATCAAGATCGCTAATGAATCGCCAGATCTAATTGTTTGATTTCGATGGACTGTTACACTAAGAGGTATTTCCTGTCGTGAGGCTTTCAGCTACGAGCTATATACATTCAAAAAAAAAACACATACTAAAATTTCACAGAATCCAATCAGCAATAACAGTAGTTCGTAATCTCGTTCGATCTGAACCGATAGCAAGATAAACCTTCCAATTTTCCAAGAAATGGATGTCGTGTAATACCTGTCGGTTTAATTCGCAGATTAAGAATCTAATCGAAGCGCATCGACAGCCGGTAGTGGGCCGATAATATAAGATTTGAAAGCCCCTCGGTCGCTCCTGCCTATTTCAAAAGGGGAGGTGGAAATTGCTATCACCACACCGAAATTGCCTGATCCGGAAGGAGAAGCCTGGCAAGACTATTTAAGACGACGACGAGCTCCAATTTCAACCATGCCTTAAGTTCAAAATACCAGATCTCAAGATCAAGACAGTAACATACAACACAATGACTGAAGTTTATACCACTTTGACTGTTAACGACATTAGTCCTCTAGGTGAGAAGAGCGAGGATGGCATTCCACTCATCAGGCTTCCTATCAAGGAAGACACCAGAGTGTTGAAGCCCACCAAGGAGGATCTGACCGTCTCCGAGCCAGTCACTCCGGAAAAGATTGAGGAAAAACTCAAGATCTATGGTGGCTGCTTCGTGAAGAACTATCTTCCAGAGGAAGACTGTGACGCTATCTTGAATGATGTCATGCCACACTTGGATGCCTTCAAGACTTCGGGCGATGCCAGTAACTTCATCTCCCCAACCACGCGCCGTGTCAGTGGAACTTGTGTTAAATCCAAGACCGCCGCCGAGAAGTTCTTGGCTCACCCTCTCAACCTTGCCGTTTCTGATAAGTTTCTGGGTAAGGAAAATCTCTTCAGACTTGGAGATGACCAGGTCGTTACCGGTCTCTCTAGAGCTCAGCACAACTCGTGTATCACCTTCGCTGTTGGACCTGGCTCTGCTGACCAGCCTCTGCACAGAGATGACATTTTGCACCACAACATCCGCAAGTACCAGGACAAATATGAGTTCGGTGGAGAGACTGCCGTTGGTACCGTTCTGGCCTTGAAGAAGACCAGAAAGGAAAACGGTGCCACCAGATTCATCCCAGGTTCCCACTTGTGGGACCACTACCGTGCTCCAAAGGAAGAGGAGACCGTTTATGCCGAGATGGAGAAGGGAGACTGTTTCTTCATGCTTGCTTCCTGTTACCACGGTGGTAGCGCAAACACCACCAAGGATGACGAGAGAATCATCACAATTTTGTTCATGACCCAAGGTACCCTCAGACAGGAGGAGAACATCTTCTTGGGAACCCCTGTGGAGTACTTCAAGTCCTTGTCCATTCCAGCTTTGGCAGCTCTTGGACTCCAGATCAGTCAACCTTTCTGCGGTTGGTATGAAAACGAAGATCCAATCAAGCTGCTGCTTCCTGAAAGCGGTTACGACTTTTCGCAATTCAGGGAAGTGTACAAGGTTGTGGCTTGATTGTCGAGTCCATGACCAAGTTTTTTTATTCCATTAGATGTTCATATAGCTTAATCATTGCCTTTTCAAATCACTCGCATGCAGATAAGATATCATGAGATTAACCATAGTGTAACAGTATTTCTATCGAAGACAGAAGCAATGGCTAAATGGGCCCGCAACCATAACAGGTCTGATATGCGTCATGAGATTAGCAGGCAGAGAGATAGCCAAAAAAATTTGTAACAGTTTGAAGTCTATTCCAATCAAAATTCCAATTGATCAAAAACCGAATTCAACCAGGTCTTTAGCAGCCATATCTTTGGAGATATCCAATATAAGTTCAAATAAAATTGGGAAAGTGGTCGCGCGAATTTTATTTCATTTGAGATATCCGTTATCAGATCTGACCTCTTATCTGAGCTTGCATGGTACGTTTGGTATGTAAGCTTGGACTGAGATATCAAAATCATGAGATTCCCGCCCTCAAAGCGAAAGCATCCTCTTTTAATACCGCTACGAATTCTAGAATTGCTCGGATAACCTATATCTGAGATATAATTGGCTTATTTTATTTTGCAGGATCCCAATTTTACTCGTTCAGAAATAAAACGGTAGTGAACTGATAAGACATCAATCTCGTTATTGGAAGCCCAATCTCGTTTTTGGTTGCCAGTTTTGAGTGAGCGTGCGGAGCGCTATCAGTAAATCAAGTTGAAAGCTCTGGTAGAGGAGGGAAAAAATCAAAAACTATTTAAGATGGTGACAACGTCTAATTTTTATCATGTCTTTGCAGACTACTATACCTCAACGAAATTAGAAGAACGCACTCTATAATGACTGATATTTACACCCACACTGTGTTCGACATTACGAAACTTGACAAGAAGGCCGAGGATGGCACCCAATTCATCAGCCTTCCCATCAAGAAGGACACCAGAGTGTTGAAGCCCACCAAGGAGGATCTAACCGTCTCCGAGCCAGTCACTCCAGACAAGATTGTAGAGAAACTCAAGATTTACGGTGGTTGTTTCGTGAAGAACTATCTTCCAGCGGAGGATTGTGATACCATTTTGAACGACATTATGCCCCACCTGGATGCTTATCACGGTGCAGGCACTGCTGATAATTTTATTTCTCAAACCACTCGTCGTGTTGGTGGAACTTGTGTTAAATCCAAGACCGCTGCCGAGAAGTTCTTGGCTCACCCTCTCAATATTGCCGTTTCGGACAGATTTTTGAGTAAGGAGAATCTTTTTAGACTTGGAGATGACCAGGTCGTTACCGGTCTCTCTAGAGCTCAGCACAACTCTTGTATCACCTTTGCTGTTGGACCTGGCTCGGAAGATCAGCCTCTGCACAGAGATGACATTTTGCACCACAACATCCGCAAATACATGGAGACCTACGAGTTCGGTGGTGAGACTGCCGTTGGTACCGCTTTGGCCTTGAAGAAGACCAGCAAGGAATGCGGTGCTACCAGATTCATCCCAGGTTCCCACTTGTGGGACCACTACCGTACTCCAAGGGAGGACGAGACCGTTTATGCCGAGATGGAGAAGGGAGACTGTTTCTTCATGCTTGCTTCCTGTTACCACGGTGGTAGCGCAAACACCACCAAGGATTACGAGAGGATCATTGCCATTTTGTTCATGACTCAAGGTACCCTCAGACAGGAGGAGAACATCTTCTTGGGAACCTCTATGGAGTATTTCAAGTCATTGTCAATTCCAGCTCTGGCAGCTTTGGGACTTCAAATCAGTCAACCTTTTTGCGGCTGGTACGAGCACGAGGATCCAATCAAGAAGATTCTTCCAGAGAGTGGTTACGACTATCCGCAGTTCAAGGACGTCTACAAAATTGACCCAAAGGACTAAGGTATGAGGCCCTAGTTCTCCAAATGTATCCTGTGTTCTAATAAATAAAGCGTTGTGTTTTCCATTCAACCCACTCGTAACAAGATTAAATTTTCTATAAACGAAAGAAGAATGAAAAAAGGACAGTGTTTGGGAAGTAGAGGACTTTCTGCGATATGAAGCGAGATTACATACTACTGATAGGTTAATGGACAGACTCCATAGATAAGATATGGCAGGGGTAATACAATGCCAAAAATTAGATCGCTGGCGAAATCAGTCTAACGTTCAATTCATTTGTATTCTCGACTCATTAAAAATGGAAATTTTGCCTTCGCGGTTGCCTTCCTATTTCTGTCAAGTCCTCGGCGGGCTTATCTTAGATGATGTCTTATCAATGCATATATCGAATCCGGCAGTGTGCTCGCGCCAATCTCGAAGAGGGGATTCAAGGATTTGAAATATCCGTTATCGGGTTTGACTTCCTGTCTGAACTGGCAAGGTAAGTTGGCCTAGGTGGGAGAAGCTCTCAGCTGGGGAAATATCCCGCTATAAAGCTCAAAGAATTCGCTCTCTATGGTGTTTTCGAGGCGTTTGATCTTGTTCAATAACCAGAAAATCTAGCAGATTATTGTAAAACACAACAAAACATGACTACGTTAATGTCCACAACGCTCGAAGAGCTGAAGTTTCACGACAAGGTCGACCAAGAAGGCCTTCACCTCGTATCGATTCCTGAAATCGTGAAGGACGACAGAAAATTGAACGTGACTGCTGCTGACCTGACCGTTTCTGAGCCGATTACTATTGAGAAGATCAAGGAAAAGGTTGCCATTTACGGTGGTGCAATTGTCAGAAACTTTATTGCCGAAGAGGATTGTGATCAGATGCTTGCCGACCTCAGACCCTACATTGACGCACAAGGTGTTACGGATGATCTTCAGAACTTCCTACCACCAACCACTGCCCGTGTTGGTCGTACTGTCCTGAAATCCAAGACCATCGCTGAAAAATTCCTTGCTCACCCTACCAACCTCGCTGTTGCCAACGAATTTCTCGGGCGTGAGAACGCTTTCAGAATTGGACCAGACCAAATCGTTACTGGTACTTCTGAGGCTCAGCTCAACTCATGTATGGCTTTTGCTGTTCGTCCTGGTGCAGAGGACCAGCCGCTTCACAGAGACGATGTTATTCATCACAACATTCGCAGAAAGATGGAGACTTATGAGTTCGGTACCGAGACTGCCATTGGAACTGTTTTGGCTTTGAAGAGGACGACCAAGGAGAACGGTGCCACCAGATTTATTCCTGGCTCGCACTTGTGGGACCATTACCGTGAGCCATCCGACGAGAATGCTTTCTACGCTGAATTAGAGAAGGGAGATGCGTTCTTCATGTTGGCTTCCTGTTACCACGGTGGTAGCGCTAACATCACTAAGGATGAAGAGAGAGTAATCATCATTCTGTTTATGACTCAGGGTACTCTGAGACAGGAGGAGATGGTTTTGTTGGGAGCTGATCTCGACTACTTGAGATCTCTCTCCGTAGAAGCCTTGAAGGCAATGGGACTGCAACTCAGTCAGCCATTCTGTGGCCATGTCGATAACATTGATGCCATCGAGTACTTGCTTCCGGAGTCGGATTACAGAAGACCTCATTTCAAGGAGTCCTACAAGGTAACCGCTTGAAGCTTTGAATACCATTACTGCGACATTATATATTACGCTCAAATAAAGCTATGTATCATTTTAAGATAACCATGATCTTTTTTTATACTCCTAGAGTGCATAAGTTCACAAAATACGTTTACTATCACTCAATACCTAAAACTGCTCGCTTTACGGATCCCTGAAATTTAGGTGAAAAAGATTTTCATAAACCAGTCATTTATTTGTCATACAGAACATTTTAATTTTGTAAAGAGTAAAGAATCTGTTAATTATTCGACCAAACTCCTCTATCGAAACACTCGGAAAGAGTAAAAATCGGAACATCAAGGTAGTGACGTTTCGCAAAGCAATAAAAAAAATTTCCACAGCAAGATTATTTCTTCATATCTTACTTCGATTCCCACTGCGACTCATCCACCTCGGCAACAAAGTGGAAGTGTTTCCTCGCAAAAAACACCCAGTTCACAGTTGCAACAACGATGGTGGCAGTCAAAACAACAACTGTGTAGTTCATTCCGTTGGCAGTAACTGGCACGTACGAAGGAACACACAACCAGCCGGATGCAAACATAAACCAAAAGATACAGATGATGTTGATTGGTCTTCCCCATTTACCAAGATTGAACAGAGGTTTCACACCTTCACCGTATCTGTCTTTCGTGAGCACCAAGGAGATAAATGGGAAACAATAAGACACAAACATACAGGTCAAAAAACTTCCCATAACTGCATTCAGTGCTGCAGAAGAGGCAAAAATCAAGAGACCAAGCAAGATCATCCACACATAGACAAATAGAATGGCCCAGCCAGGGGTCTTGAATTTTCTGTTAACTGAACCAATTGCTTTGCCATATGGAAGACTTCCGAATCTGGCGAAAGCCATCACCAGACGACTTGTTGATGTCAGTGTAGCATTGGTGCCTCCGACAAATGTCAAGGTGACAAACAGAGCAGAGATAATACTCAAGGGCTTGCTGTGCATGGAGTCTTCGAAAAGCTGGAAGAAGGGCTGGCCACCGACAGGAGCAAGCAGGTTTTCCGGATTCACAATGCAGAACATGTAGATAATGACGGAAATCAGACCAATAAAAGTAGCAGCAGTGTAACCGTAAGTAAGAACCAAAGGAATGTTCTTCTTTGGATTTGGCACCTCATCGGTCAAATGACAAGCACCATCAAAAACGGCAACAGCAGAAACGGATGGAGTTATACTGAGGAAAAACACAACACCTTTTGAGCCCCAACCAGTTTCGTTGACAACCTCCTTGAAGACATACTCGGCTGGCTGTTTTGGGAATGCTCTAGCCAACAGCGCGACGAAGATAAAGATAGTACCTCCATTGATAACATAGTTCATGGAGTTGGCCAATAATGCAACACCCCTCATAGAGAAGGTATTCAAGCCCAACGCAAAGGTAGATGCGGCCAAGAAGACCAGGTAAGTGTGCCAGTCTTGGATCACGTAGTTAGGGAAACACATCGAAGCCATGGCCAAAATCAAGTCGGCCTGAAAGAAGGCAGCAGCGCAGGATGCGAAGATCCAAGATGCACACGAAATGAAACCAGTGAAGTAAGTAAGCACTCTCGAATATTTGGGACTAGCAAAGAGCTGGGTCCACAGGACCAGAGCAGACGCATGTGGATGGACAGAGGCCAGCTCGGCCATAGAGTACGCCGTCAGCAAACTGAAAACACCGCACATCAGGTAAGAGTAAAAGAAGAACGGAGCTCCACCAACTCCGACCACCAGCGAGAGGTAGGTACCTAAAGCAATGGGTGTAGCAAACGAAGAGTACACCAGACCAACGACGGTCAACAGACTGAAGTTCTTTTCGAGCTCAACTTCACCATCACCCTTCTTCTCGACAGGGACCATACCAACTTCACCTTCTTCATAGTCGTCAACTAAGACCCTCACTCCCACAGATTTCTCTTCCGTGTTCTTGGAACTTTCTTGTTGTGATGAAGACGACATGCTTGCTTTGCACACCGAGGTAGACTCTGGTATAATTAGAGGTGTGACTTTGCCGGTTCTTTAATACAAGATTTCGACAAACTCTCGCATCAGACACTCGCATCAATAGAGATACCGTCTGCATAATCTAAAGATAATATACCATATTGTCGTCGGTCCATTGGCTAAGCTGAAGGGCCTGTGGTGGTGTCAGCACCGTCGAGATGCGCCTCTGGTGCCTTAGCGTAGATAAGCAAGATAAGCGCTGAGCCAATCGGGGACATCTGCCGGAGCACTACTTCTAAATTACTCTGCTTGTCCTTTACGGCAAGACATACCGAGCCGCATCAACAATCATTTCGTTTTTATTGGTTATACGCGACCTAATCTAGCATTCTATCGCGTTGAAGTTTGCGTCAGTGTGTTTTAATCTGTGAAACGGTCCAGCTATCCGATTACACGTTCCAATAGGCAGTCGGCATTGTTGGTCTTGCCGGCAAGCGTCTGTTGAGGACCATTCTCTCTAGAGGCGGTGCGTTCAACGGAAATTCAAATTTTTCGATGAACTCGGCGGCTACTTGGACCCCAGCCACAACTGCTCGATGGCAAAGCGGAATTTCAGCATGAAGGTGGAGCAAAAAAAGAACTTTGAAAACTACCCACTAGTAACTGAAAAAAATATTATTCTTCGCCTTCGTGAGATGAAGAGCGTACCATATTATCGTAATCCAGCTATTTTTCTCGTTATTAACCGTGCTAAAATAAAAAAATAAAAAAATTAAAAATTAAAAATTAAAAACCGTTGGTAACCGCAATCCAACTGACCTCCACTCTATTGTTCACTCTAAAATAAGAGTAATGTTGGGTCCGTGTCCCTTATAACGGTAATCCAACTAACATCTTCTCCCTTACTTCTTCTGTCCCAAACAGCATAGATAACCCGACTACCACGCTTCATACTAGGTACGAACGGGTTAACAGTTTCGAGCCATTTCTTTAGTCTCGACTGGCCTTCAACCGTATTTGCTTCACAGCAAATCACAAAATAGGGCCAGAATAGGCCAGAGCCCTTGGACGACTGTGATATCTGGTCGTTGAGCTCCACATGGTCGATTCCCACGTTCACTAATTCCTGCAAGTCGGAGAGGCGCTCGTTCTTGATCTCCCTCAGAAAAACAAGTTTCACCGCAACGTAGAAGATAGTGGATTGGTAATGCAAAATTTTGGAGTTCACAGGGTCGTCGTCCAAAGATTTAAACACAGGTTTGCACTTGATAAGGTCTTTTTCGATTTCTGAGATTGATTTCACCTCCGTCTCATGCGAATCTCTGAACTGCAAATACTTGATAACGTCAGTTAAGCTTTTTAACAGACCGTTGGTGACACCCTCATATTTGTACAACAGAGAGTTGCTATCGTCATCTTCAAGGATGCATATAGATTCGAACTCCAAGACGGACATGTACTTGTTGAAGACGTCCTCGTCAGAAAGATAAAGCGTACTGAAGAGGTAGGTAAGCTTCGTGAGCTGGGCAAAAAACACTATCGCGTGAGATAGGTCGGTGTCGTAATCAAGGTATGATTCAATGGAAAAGTTCTCAAAGGCCTTCATGGACTTTAGCGTTGAAACTGCACCTCTGAAATGGATCTGCCACTCTGACGAGTTGTGGAAAATATCAATTGTCAGAAGGAAAAACATGGATGCCATCAGCAGGCCCAAATCCTGGCTTGATAATATTTCTTTCAGAGGATATGCAGCGGAAACAAAGTCGAGGGCTTGCATTTTGTGAAACTTCCAATAGTCATCAAACTTGAGGTCTCTGTATTCCTGTGGTACATCCGTGCGATCTCTACAAATGGAGAGAAATGTGGAGCAAGTCGCACACGTTGAGTGGATAACAGCCTTTTGTATCTCCAGAGATATTGGATCCGTCAGAGCGGTGTTCAGGATCAACTGGTAAGGGTTTGTCTCATTAGAGTCATCCACGGGGGTCATAAGCTTGCTCAGATACAGATCCCAGAATTCGAGTAGTAAAGTTTCCGTTTTGAGGCTCCCATTCAGTCCAGAAAACGAGATGTCTTGCAACTTCTGTTCTATGTCAAATCTTGATTTCAGGGGAGTCAATGGTGTTGGATAGTACGCTGCCAAATCCTCATCAACTACTTGGGGGAAGCTATGACCCTCGTCAAAGCTTGGATTCGCCTCAATCTCTGATATCCTATCTGGAGACTTTTCTGGCTGTATCGCTTGGTAGTCCTTCCCAGCTCTGAAAACGGAAAACGGACCACAACCGTATCCGTCTTCAGGCTTAGAATTTTTCACTTCTTTGTACAAGGACACCGTCTCTATTCTCTCTAAGTAGTAGTCCACCTCTATTCTGCTCAAAAGATCCTCCTCCTTCCATCGGTACAGTATTGCGCTCCTTGTACCATCGAACGACGCTATGGAAGAGTCCTTTGAGTCCCGTTGCCAGCATAATTTGATGACATATCCCCCACATTCAACTCCTGTTGACTTGCAGTTCTCACAAACAGGTCTCGTCTCGTCGCAACTTACCCTTCTCTTACGACATGTCCAGCAGCCAGTGAACTTCTTTGTTCTTTTGCGTGTTGGCAGCTTCTTTGACATGGCAGTCCGGCAGAGTGGGCAGAACCTGAAAGCTAGTAATGATATGCTCTTGACTGTCTTGTGTCGACAAAGCTCTCTCTTTTTTTTTGGCTGTTGAAATCAAATAAAAAACAGCAGTAGTAGACACCTGAATTACATCCCTGTGGCCTCAACCTGTCAACTCATTATCGTGTCAGTAACTAATCAGCCAGATTTGGTCCTCAACTGCCGTTTATAACAAAACAGGAAGGTCAACCCTGCAGCTCAATCGAGGATTACGAATGGGGTCGACGCTTTACTAAGCGGGAGATACCTATAAAGGAAGAGATCGGACTTCTGTTTGAGAAAAATGATCTAATTTGAAAAAGTATAATCAGCAGCTTATTGCTTACTACCTCAACTTTAATAATCATCAAGCATAAACAACAATGAAGGTTGCTATCGCAGGTCCAGGTGACCTTTCCAAGTACCAAGTTGAGGAACTCCAGAAGAAATCCGTCGAGGTGGTCGTTTTGGCCAGAAGCCGCAAGGAATGGTACGAGAACAAGGAGGGTGTTGACTTCAGATTGGTTGACTTTACCTCGCTTGATTCTCTTGTCGAAGCCCTGAAGGACTGTGACGGTTTGGTGTCCACCATTCTCGATTATTCCGAGACTAATGTTACCATTCACAACCTTTTGATCGATGCCATGCTCAAGACTCCAAAGTGCAGAAAGTTCATTCCATCCGAGTACGGCAGTGATCTTTTGAATTACCCTGATCAGCCATCGTTCTATTACTTCTGCCACAACCCTATCAGAGAGAAGCTGAGAGCTCTCCCAAAGGGTGAAGATCAGTTGCAATATACTTTGCTGTCCACTGGTTACTTGGCGGATTACTTCAACCCTTCAAGCAACAGATACATCAAAGATTTCGATATGTTTCCATTGAACCTGAAGGAGAAGACTTTGACCATTCCAGGCACTGGTGATGAGTTGGTTTCATTCACCTCAACCAGAGATATTGCCAAGGCTATTACCAACCTTTTCTTAAGTAATGAGCCATGGGAGGACATCACCTTCATTGCTGGCGAGACCAACTCCTGGAACAAGATTCTGCCTGCCTACCTGAGTGACTTGGACTTGACCGTCACCAAGGTTTCCCTCACTGATATTGTCAAGGAAATTGTTGAGGGTAACGCTGAAAAGGACCAAGACAAGATTTACTCCGGTGAATTCAAGTTGTGGGTTGCTTCTCATGCTTTGGGTCTTCCAGCTGACTTGGTTGCTAAGCAGAAGGCCAAGTTCTTCAGTGACATCCACTTCCATACCATTGCTGAGGTTAGAAAGGCCGCTGAAGCCGGTCCTGAATTTATTGTCTAAATCTGAATAGTTAGATTACTTATACATAAGACCAAAAAAGACTGCATGCAGCTTATCTGTATTCAACAATTTGCACGTAGGGCATGCTTAATGCTCTGTTGAGATTTATTTATATCGCGAAATGTTGGTGAATTATTGAAAGTAGAAATAAATTAGGTGTCAGCCTGCTAACTTTTTTCGAGGATACTTGAAAGCATCTTTTAGAGATTGGAAGTGATTTAGTGTGGCAGCAAACGAGCAATAAGCAGATGCTCAAAGATAAGACTTTAAATTCAAAAGTGTCCATTTACCTTGACGTACTGGGCGACTGTGTCTACGACAGACTTTTCCAGCGGAATGAAATCATGACCACCAACAAGCTCAACCACGTTGGACACGTCAAAACTGAATGCAGGGCTTTTTCCGGCATCGCCAGTTTTGGGAAGTCCAATATCAGGGAAATGCTTATTCATAAGTTTGAGCAGAGACACGTAAGTGAAAAACTCTTTGGCGATGAACAACCTTTGTCCTTTTGTGGCTTCCTGTTCAATAGCAAACTTGTGGAACAAAGCAACGTCCCTAACATCAACAGACATCTCTGCTGGCTGGTTCAAGAATTCGGGAGTATGCTCAGACGTGGCACTTGTGTAGAAAATTTCATTCGAAAAGTTCAAGGTCTTTCCCAACAAGGAATCAAACAACTGAGGTCCGAAAATGTAGGGAGGACACACGGTAGTCAATGCAAAACTGGGCTTTTCGTCTTTGACAAACTTCCAGGCTGCTTTCTCAGCAATTGTTTTGGCAGCAACATAAGCCTCAAGATCGCTCGTTACATCCTCCCACGTGATAGTATTCCAGCTTTGGTTGGTGTAATGGACAAAGTCAGTGGTCTCTCTAACCACTGCAGAGTCAGAGGAAGTGATGCCCACTCTTGTCACTTGCGGCGCATACTTTTGAACAGACTTCAAAATGTTTAGAGTGCCGTTCACTGCTGGGTCCAGGTAAGCCTCTTTGAGAGGCTTGTTCAAGCCAAACGTAACTGGCGAGGCCGTGTGCAAAACGTATTTGATCTCAGGATGACCTTTCAAGACAGCATCAAAAGCATTCTCAGCACCAATTTCCGGCACTATTTCATAGCTCAGCTTCACGTTGGGGTATTTTTTCTCAAATTCTTTCAACATTGGGGCATACCTTGCCTCCGATCTTGCCGTGCCAATGACGGTATATCCACTCTCTAGAAGGACATCGATCACGTACAGGGCCAAAAATCCCGTACCCCCAGTAACTAGAACAGACATACGACACTTGCTGATCCAAAGTATAATTCAACACCGTTACAGGGCCGAGAAGAAAAACCGATGAAGGCTTCAAAGTATTATATTTCGACAAATGCCCCTCCGAGGTTTGCAAAAACCAGTTTTCTGCTCCGGTAGGTTAGCTTATCTTATCTCAGATAAGCTTTTGATTTCTTCGCTACCACCTGCCTCCATGTCGCCTCCAGGAAATTTCGGTATTACTCGATTTCAACGGCATTTTCAGCGAATCGGCGATTTCGTATTTGACATCAGACCTGTAAACGAAAATATTATGCTAAAGAGAGCAATTAGCTCTATTGGGAAATAAATTACGAGTTCATATTAAGCCATAAAATTGGAGATTGAATGCACTACGAATCTCAAGCTAATTGATATGTTTTCTCAAAAGGATCATCCGCACCCTTTTCGTTCTCAAGCTCCGGCTTCACGAGGTATAGAGGGTTGACGAGATCTCCCACATAACCCAGCTTTGGATCACTAGAAGGAATTCCAAAGGCCTTCACCGCATCAACGGAGAGCGTCTTGAAGTAATCCAGAGGGGTTTCGAGATATAAGTTCTCCTCCTGTCTCAATACTCCCTGAGTCATGAACAAGATACTTTGTTTGCGCTGCTCGTCCTTCGTAGTGTTGGCGTGGCCTCCATGGAAACAGGAAGCCAACATGAAGAAAGCATCACCCTTCTCCATCTCAGCGTAGACACACTCGTCCTCACTGGGAACACGGTAGTGGTCCCACAAATGCGAGCCTGGAATAAACTTAGTAGCACCGTTGTAGTAGGTGGTTGTGCTATGGGCGAGCATGCAACCGAGAGCGGTCTCACTACCATACTCGTATTTCTCACGGTATTTGCGGATGTTGTGGTGGATAATGTCATCACGGTGCAAAGGCTGGCCATGAGCACCTGGGCCGATGTTGAAGGTCACGGATGAGTTGAGCTGAGGTGCAGAATAAGCCGTAATCAGTTCTTGCCCCATGATAAATGCGTTTTCCTTACCAAGGAAGCGCGCCGCAACCTCCGTGAGCAAAGGATGAGTCAGGTATCTCTCACAAGCAGTCTTGGACTTGTTCATAATTCCACAGACTCTGCTAGTTTCTTTAGGAAAGAAATCACCTTCCCATTTTCTTCCTCCACCAAAGTAAGGCTCTACCTCATTCCAGATCTGATCAGCAACTTCAGTTGGAAGGTAGTTCTTAACTCTACAACCTCCGTAAATCTCAAGCTTCTCTGCAATCTTATCTGCTGTAACAGGTTCGGAAACAGTGAGATCCTCAGCTGTGGGTTTCAAAACCCTGTCATCCTTAACCCTGTTGAGTACCTTTGCTTTACCAATTTCGCCTTCACGGAAGAGCTCGATATCGTTGTATGTGGAGGAAGTTCCTCTGAATGTAATTGTGGGTTCGGCAACAGTCATTATTGTAAATTGGTGAAGTCACTAGACTGATTCAAGTTTTATACATCTTAAAGGGGTGCTTTGGAGCATACTTATAGTTGGCAGCCTATGTCTTTATCTAATCGAGTCTTAGCATTCCGATTGCAAAGCAGGCTCCGAAAACATGGGCGCAGGCAACTCAGAGCGAATTTACAGATTACGTAATGCCCATCGAGAGTAGCACCCATATTATCGGTTACCAACTATACTTTGGCAGCCTTCCACTCAGAGGGTTTTTTTGAGCAAGCCGGCATGACCAAGCGAGAAAGTATAACCAAGAAAGGTACAAAACGCTTCACCGGTTGTTGGACGTGTCGCAGGCGAGGCGTCAAGTGCGATGAAGAGCGACCAAGTTGCAAGAACTGCAAGGCCTATGGTGTTGAATGCGAGGGGTACATGGTGAAGCTCTGTTGGGGGGACAATAAAAGAAATCCCCTAAAACGAACGCCTGAAAAGAACAGAAGCTTGATACTCTATGAGTGGAAGGAGAATCAACTGCTCGATGATCTGCAGATCGACTACTTTTTGGACCGGATCGATATGGCATCTGTGTTCATCACAGCCAAGAGCTTTCAAAGCAAGGATGACTTCTCTTATGGTCCCTTCAACGTGTTTGATGCCTCTTGCAGTTTCCAGAATGCACGTCAATTCCCAGAATATGAGAGTGACAGCCACGGCGAGATAGTCCCAACCTCATACAGCAGTCCCCAAGGTTTCTTTCTGGGTCCCGAAAGCAGGATTCGTGAGAGACTCGAACAAGCGTCGTTCGTGGGTCTCCAACATGATTTGGAGATTGAGGTCATACTTCTCGACTTCTGGGATACATATTTGCACAGAATTCTAACACCCCTGGATGAAACTGAGGTCAATCCGTATAACTTGATGTTGAAGGAGGCACTGGACTCATCCCGCTCAGCCGAGATTCAAAGAGCACTTCTACATACGGTATGCGCCATGTGTTCGAGTTTTTTGTCTACCGGTGCAGGTCTCAGTTTCATAGCCCCTGAGTATCAAGGCGTCGATTATCGCCAGTATTGGAATTTTCACAAGATTAGGGGTCTCAATTTTGTCTCCGCCTCATACGCTTGGAAAGAAGCAGCGACGAGTGAAGAAGTGAGCTTTCTAGTTGCTTCCATCTATTTTCTGTTGGCCACCGATGTTTTGTCAAACTCAGACGAGTGGCAGATTCATTTCAGAGGTGCGGTTGAAGCTCTGAAAACCATCAGCGATTCCGGAGAAGGAGGTCTAGTACCAGCACTGGAAGATCAGGAAAGCGTACCTGGTGCCCTGTTATTTTTCGCTCAGATGACTAAACTAACCTACCTCTTCAGCACACTCTACAATGTCAGCGACGATGTTTGTAACAGGCACATGACAGTTTCGGATCTGGAGTTTATCCGCTATCCAGAGGAGAACATGGCTCAATCACTGATGTATCGCAATACAGGAATCACGCCAGGGATGTTAACCTGTTTGTCGAACATAGTGAATTACCTGCAGGTTGCGGACTTTTCAAAAGCTCGAGACAGCACAGTGATGGCGATTGAGCAGGAGCTAGCTGAATGTGAACCTCCGCCATTCAATAATAATATGAGTTCTCTGAATCCATTAATAGTGTATCATCAAGCTGTGATGTTTCATATTGCTATGAGACTGCTTTTTATGAGAGAGGTGAAGTTGCAAGACCCGGATGAATTGCAAGTTCTTGTGGACTCTGGGATTGACCACATTGAAATAAACGAAGAGATTACGAAGGATATTCCCGGTTTCGGCCTTTTCTGGCCAAGCTTTGTCATTTGCTGCGAAGCAACATCTTCAGAAGGTCAAGCAAGAGTCTCCTCATGGCTGCAAACAATAGAGCCTCACTGCGTGGACAGTATGAAACGTGGCAAACGTGTTATAAAAAAAGTCTGGGAAAGAAGGCGAAATGGAGACCAGGTCAGCTGGTTATCAGTGATACGAGAACTTGATCCGACACTATTATTGGCTTGAATCGAGGCGGGCAACGAGACCACTTCAACGAAGGGATGGTTTTGCATAGCATACCAGACACAATGTCCGTCTTGGCTACCTAGCGGTGCGCAATTTTTCTACGTATTTGCGCCAAACCAGCGAGGAAAAAAATCGATATCTTCTCATCTTGCATGTAGTTGTCTTTGCCCTTACGTGTGAAAAATTAATCTGATTACAGAGGAGACATTAAACGATAGGGGCAGCCTGCAGACTGCCGAAAAATTCATCACTTTGGTTATTGTTGACGAATTAATCTTGGCATGATAGGCCACTTTTCAGGAGCTAAATTCAACTCGCTCATTGAGAATGCTTTGATAGGACCGTTATCTAGCTCCCGGATAATGAATCCTTATCAAATACACAAATTGGTCCTGGCAGGACTCCAAATACACAAAGTCAGGCAACTACAAACGAGTCGGAAACTATAAGCACATCGTTGAAGTGTGACACGCAATCTCTTATCTCTTATCACTCGACATGCTGAAAAGCCATCATCCGGGCTGCTTACAAGATCGAAATACTGCGAGATAATGATCAGAGAATAAATATATAAATGACTACCTGAAACCTTATGGTCTTGGCCGATGTCTCTTTAGTGTAAACAGAACTAATACTGAACAATGGCAGGCATTTTGAAGAACGAAGCTAACTCTAAGTCCAGCACCGGCTTAGAGGTAAGTGAGATCCCCGATTCTGAGACAGGTGAAGTATTCAAAATAAAAGAATCTGACCACGATGTTGTCTTGGAGAAGAATTTTGATATCTGGGGTGTTGTTGGAATTGTTTACGGTTCAATCGGAACCCCTCTTACTCTGGGAACATATCTTTCCACCGTCATAGGTGTTGGAGGAGCTCCGTTCTTCTTCTATGCGTACTTGTTTGCGGGCGTTTTCTGCTTGATTACTGCCTACTCCATGTCGGAGATGGCTTCAGTTCATCCGCACTCCTCTGCTCTGGTTTACTGGAGTTATCTATACTATCCTCAAAAGTATAATAGAGGTCTTGCTTATCTCAGTGGTATACTGTCATGTGCTTGTTGGATCTTTGGAGTCACTGCTACTGGTTTTTTTAATGCTGACCTTGTTTTGGGGTTGGTTTTTATGCATCATCCTGACTATGTGAGCCATACCTATCACTACTACTTGCTTTTCTTGGCCAGTATTTTGATGGCGACAGTAGTCAACATATTCGGCACGAGACTCTTGCCTCTGGTGGCCCGTTTAACGAACTATGTCTTCAACCTCGGAACACTTTTCACGCTTGTTGCTCTATTGGCAAGAGCCCACCCAAAGCAAACAGCCGCCTTCGCTTTCAAAGAAATCACCAACGAGACAGGCTGGAGTTCAAACGGTGTCGTGTTTTTCCTGAGTATCTTGCCCACCGTTGCTTCGGTCTCACTTTTCGACGGTGCATGTCATATGACAGATGAGATTCCAAACCCAAAGAAAAACATTCCCACTGTGATTACGTATGGTTACACAGGTGCCTATCTCATGGGATTGATTGCAGTAATTGTTTACAACTTCTGCATCGTGAATCCAGACAATCTGCTTGACCCTGTCGGTGGTATTCCCCTTTTCCAGCTCTATGTGGATTCACTGCACAATGAAGGACTATCCACTGTGTCTGCGTTGATAGTTATCGTGGGTTTCTTTTGCGGAATTATTAGTGTTCTCACCTCTGCCAGTCGTCTCGTCATGGCTTTTGCAGCTTTCAATAGTGTTCCTTTCGGGAAACAAATCGCGACAGTGAATGCAAAACTGAATGCACCCGTGTGGGCGGTCCTGTTCTGTTCAGGATTGGCTACTCTCATTGGTCTTCTCATCTTTGCATCAAACACGGCATTGAATGCCGTTTCGGGGAGTTACGTAACCACCATGTATGTTGCCTATCTGATTCCCTTCCTTGGCTTGGTCTTCAAACAAGACAGATACGGCAAAGGAGTGGTACCTTTATTCAACCTAGGCAGATGGGGTAAGCCAATGAACATCATCTGTATTGTTTGGTTTTTGTTTGCGTCTGCCTGGTTGTGTGTTCCATCCTATCAGCCAGTCACTGCTACTACTATGAACTACACTATTGCTGTTTTGGGTGCTACTGCCTTTGTTGCTATTGTCAACTGGTTATTCTACGCTCGGAAGCACTTTTCTGTCGATGTTTTTGAAGAGCTTGAGGTAGAAGCAGAAAGTGTGGAGGAACCTAAGGAGACCCTAAAGATTTAAAACAGTTCTATATATTGATCAAATTTATTTTGCTTTTCCTTGCCTATTAGAGAATGGTGAACATATAGTTTCTCAGCTACTGAACTTCTCCACCCTGAGTGAAATCTGTCAGCCTTTTGCGCATAAGTTGTATCCGGCATGATATAGTATGACTAAGAACCAGATTCGGAAAAAAAGAAGCCTTGCAGCCTAATTTACGTACTCAATCCTGAGCGCGTACTTAGTTTTCTGATGCCGTACAATAGAACTAAGTGCAGGCTCGGTATATTCCACTTTTCATCGAAAGCAAACCTAGCTACAAGTGGAGGAATTACTCTAACGAAGAAGCAAAAACCCGCATGTCGTATATAACTCTAAACTAGCAATAAATCGTCAAAATCACTCGAGGTTTGATTCGTAAGCACCAAGAACCACGAACCAGCGAAGCTCTCTGAAAATCAGACAACTAATTTGAATGCGTTTTCAATATCGTCACTGCCGTTACTTGACTCTGGTTTCATAACCTTGAGAGGATCTTCCAGATCCCTGTACCATCCACAGAACGGTTGGCTGACAGCAACCCCAATGCTCTTGAGAGCCTGAACTGATAGCGACTGGAAGTACTCAAGAGGAGTCTCGAGAAAGATATTGATTTCCTGTCTCAACAAACCTTGAGTCATGAACATGAAGCTCATGTTACGCCATTCGTCTTTCGTGGTGTTTGCGCTGCCTCCATGGAAGCAAGAAGCCAGCATGAAGAAAGCATCGCCCTTCTCGATTTCAGCGTAAACAGCTTCCTCAGGCTTTGGGACACGCTGGTGGTCCCACAGGTGAGAACCTGGAACAAAGCGAGTCGCACCATTAGCCTTAGTGGCTTTGTTGTGTGCTATAGCGCAGGCAATGGCAGTTTCATGGCCGTACTCGTACTTCTCACGGTATTGACAGATATTGTGGTGGATAATGTCATCGCGGTGATAAGGCTGATCTTTGGCACCTGGACCAATACTCAACAAAGTTGAAGAACAGTGCTGTGGTTCGGAGTAAGCTGTAGTAAGCTCATCTCCAATGACGAAGGTATTCTTCTTTCCAATAAAGCGTGCACAAAGCTCCATGAACAATGGGTTGCACATGAAATCTTCAGCAACAGTTTTAGACTTGCAAACAGTAGCAGTGACTCTCAAGGTTTCTTGTGGAAAGAAGTCACCGTTCCAGGTTCTTTTCTTGAAATGCGGGGAGATATCATCCCACATTTTATCAACGATCTCTTCAGATAGATGATTCTTCACGATAGCACCACCGTATATCTCGAGCTTCTCGGCAATCTTATCGACAGTCACGGGCTCAGAAACAGTCAAATCGTCGACTGTGGGTTTCAGAGATCTCTCATCCTTGATTGGGTTCTTGATTTTTGCGGTTTTAACATCTCCCTCAACCGAAAATTCAACGTTTGAAAGGGTGCCACTTGGGGCGAGTTCGGAAAGATCTTTGGGAGGAGGAACAGTCATCTTTGTTGTCGGGGCGGGTCTGCTAAAATCATAACGCTTGGGTTCGGTTTCCAAAGACGGTTGCCGTTGACACTTTATAGTAATGCGTTCTGTTTTCGTGCTTATCAGATATGATGTATGAGGTGCCCAAACACGGCAGTCAGAAGCGTGATATAGCACTGGGCAACAATCCAATATAGAAACTACAAGCTTATCAGCATGCAACCCGATGCCCGAAAGATAAACGCTATATGCCTGCCTGCAGAAAAGAGGAGATTGGGAACGAACTTTGATTCATCTTACCCCCCATTTGGTGGATTTGGCACGCAATAAGCAAGGCAGATTTCACTTATACTTTAAACGATATGGAAATCATGAACGAATAATTGGGAAATATGATCCGTTTTCAAATGCATTTCTTATTGAAGGGCAGAAATCCGTTAAGATACAGGTCGTGGTTTGCTGAATCACGTGCCCCTCCCCTCCTCCCCCACATCTCCGTCAGTTTGGCAAAATGTAGACTGTTGACATCTTTTACCCGCGCATTGGCCAGTCGGTAAAATCATCTACTGTACCCTGTGCAAAGACGTAACTGGCCAAACCTCAAGTCTGAGTCTTGTGATCTACTAATCAACATCAGCTTGAGAATAGTGCTTAATCTATGGTCCAAGTACTCTTTCTCCAGAACCGCAGACCTGGCAGATAGGACGAATCCCATTCCGGAAAGCCGTAACGAGACGCTTTCAAATTTGATAGCGAATATTCGGCCGCACTGCTGATGTCTGGCCTTGATAGCGCCGATAGCGATGGATCAGGGCCTCAAATATCCTCAGCCAAACCAGTAAGATCTATTTTACTGCTCTGCAACTATAGTCACCGGTAAAAACCTGTGAGCTCGACTTCTTACCCGAGTTTAACAATACTCGTCCTCAGGCATGTGACTGTAGATATCGACGATAGTGTAATAATTTGTATATGTCCCGTAGAAAGGGACTAAACTTTGGCGTTTATATGGGATTCTTTAGAAATTCGAGTTTTTGCAAAAAAGTTCCCAAGATAATCTGTGATAATTCTGAAAATAATGATTAAGTCATCTCTTGTGGTGAACATTTCGATTGACAACGGCAGGGCCTATGATTATGAAGATGAAACTAGAAATGCCAAGTTTTGTATTATTAGGTATATAACAGTGTTGTTATCATTTGAAAAGATCACTAGTCTGCATCTAGGCCAAACATGATGTCATAAACTGTGCCTGTGAATCATTTGACAAGCGCTTCCTCACGAAGTCTGTTGATTTTTCCAAAATTCATTGCTGGCCCCTGATATGTTTTTCTGAGTCCACAAAACCAACCAAATACCAGTATAATAGCTATACCGACACAGGTAACAGAGACCCAGTTCATGTTTGGAAGAGTAATGTCTTTGTACGTTGGATAACAAAAGATCACCCCAAACAACAGAGTAAGCAGGACTGACGAGATGTTCACGAAATGGCCGAAGTAGTACCCAAGATCAAGATATCTTGGTGGAAGGATGCTTCTCCCTCTTACTAGTAGTGTTGCTTGCGGGAGAGTGTATGAGACCATGCAGAAGAGAGAGAGAGAGTTCACCGCAGCAACGAAAGCGGCCGACGATCCCAACTGGGCTAGGCCGTACAGGAAAACAAAGGCACCTTGCAGGAGCATTGCATTAATTGGAACCCTCCACTTAGTGTCAATTTTTCCAAAAAAGTTTGGAAAAGGCATACCTCCATCTCTTGCCAGAGCGGCACTAGATCTTGAGTTCACTTCTTGAGAGCCGATAGCACCACCAAACATTGTGACCATAATAAGGAAGGTACAGAAAATTGTGAGGCCAATGCTTCCGGTTGCAGAATAGTAAACTTCCACAATTGGGAAGGATGATGTCATGACGGATTCAAGATCTTTCGCGCAGTAAGCAACGACGATCGAGAAAGGCCAACCAGTGAGGAAACCAAGGATTGGTGGAAGAATCATAGCAAGAGGAACCTTTCTGCCTGGTAAATCTATTTCATCTGTCAAATGAGAAGCACCGTCTGCTCCCAACAAACCGAAGCATGCATTAGCAACTCCAAGAAGAAACGTTAGACCATTAGAACTCCACCCCGTTGAGTTCGTATAATCAGTCCAAACGAAAGAGTTTGATCTAAATCCCGCTTTGTGACAGATTAACATTGACAAACCTGACACAATCAAACCAATAACTGAAACCATCATGATCAAGTTGTTTACCTGTGCAAGCCATTTAGAAGCAAACACGTTGACTGAAGTGCACGCCACATAGAATAGAAGGTACAGGAGATACAGTTGCCATTCCGTGGCAACAAAATCAGGATTTTTCATCGAAGCCATGTTGAAGACAAAGCCAGCACAAGCCTGACACAAAGAGCATGCAGCAAACCATGATGCGACTGTTAATGACCAGCCACAGAAAAATGATAGGAAAACTTTACAATTGTCTGGCGCAACCATATAAACCCAGTGATATTGGCCACCAGTAGAAGGATATGCTGATGCAAGCTCAGCCATACCAATCGCAACAAGAGTGAGGTAGATTGCAGCAACAGGCAAGGTCCATACAACAGCTGGTGCACCACCGTAAATGAAACTGGCAGCAACGGAGGAGCCATAACCAGCCCATGTGGCCGTAACTGAAAAACCTACGCTGATCAAAGAGAACGTACTAAACTGCACTCTTAGTTTTTCAGTTTCATCATGAAAGTACTCCGGCGATCCTGAGCCAAGTGCTTCCAATTCAACATTGATACTTGTCTTTGCTTCTGCTGTAGACATTTTTTAGCTTTGATATACTATCAAACCCTGCCAAAAAATGTTACATAGACCCAATGGGAAGATCAAGTCATTCTTAAGGAGACAAAAACTGGGTTTTCTCATCTACAAATCAAAATCTGAAGATTAACTGTAGAGATAAGAAGAAGAATATAATTTGATTTGGCAAGCAATAACGAGCTTTACCCAAATCGGCGGATGGGTTGCCTAATTGGTAAATCTCCTATCGATTGCACTCTCTGTCGGGGTTTCGATCTGTTATCTCCGAATCACAACGGTGCCCTTCACTGCGATACCGTTCCTGTGCTTTCCTAAAGTCCATTCATTGGAGCGAGAGGTTAAAGAGCTGAACCTGATGTGGTTCTCACGGGACTTCGGTCTTTGAAGGGCACGTCATAGCCGATCTATGGCTCAAGGTCCGCTGTCCGCATCATATAGGAGGGGAAGGTGCAGAAATGGACTCTGCTCCTCGCCTGCACCCAAATCACGTTTCTGGAGGAATTTCGAACTGCTGAACTAAACAATTATGGCGTTATGTGATAAGGGAGGTGTCAGTTTTGAGAAGTGACCCCAATCTGGGCCATCTAATCGGTGAGAATGATTCCACAAGAGCACAATATTATCTCATGGTTCGAATATTTGCGGATCAGGACAACAGAGAGACAGATAATCCGACGAGGAGGGACCTCTTGAGTTTCGTTTTTGACAATTTTCATTAAGCAGATTTATTTTGGGACTTCGGTTGTTTGTTCTTGCTGGATCTTTTCAAGGCTGTGCAGTGCAATGGGTTTTTATTATCTGCATGAGTCTCCTTTGGAAAATACTTGTTTGGCCACTTTCATTCGGATGAATAACGCCTGTACTGGATTTTGTTGACAATTCCTAAGGTTTGAACATCCGATTTGTAATAAATTATATGGGTAAAATTTCGAATAATTGTTCAAATGTCGTTATGAGCTTGATTTTAAATTTGCGTATCTAATCCGAATCAACGTTTTTCAGATTTGTCAATTTTTGTGGCTCACACATACCATCTATCTCTCTCCATCCATGCAGATCTTCAAACTTTAAACAAAAAAATGAATCGTATAATAATCGGCCAGCTTTTACAAATCAGCATTTAACTCATCACCATAGGTACTATTCAACCCATTATTCAGACGGAGCCGAAAGCTTATCTAAAGAGACTCATGCCGATGAGCTACACAGCCGTGAATAAATCCATCTCGTTCTAATCTCGTTACCAGTTGCCTATTACAGAAAGTCATAATCTTATCGCTCATGCGAAAGCAGCATCCCTGATTCGAACCAGCTGAACCTAGGTTCGTGATAAGGCCATACAAAGGCGGAGCCAGAGATACTATATATAAAGGCTCGGGATTTCCCCCTACCTCGTCGATTGTTCGCCCTCCCGGTGGTTCCTCCAAGCAGATCAAGCAAATTGAGATGACCAAGCTCCTCGAGAACAGAAACGCAATTGTGACAGGTGCTTCTCGTGGTATCGGTGCTGGCATTGCATACGCTCTAGCTAAAAACGGTGCCAATGTTATCATCACCTACGTAGCTTCTGCTAGCAAGGCCGAAGACCTAGCCAAGAAGATCATAGCTGAGTTTGGCGTTGAGGCATACGCCATCAAGTCTGACGCCAGCCAATACGATGCTGCCGAGAAGCTGGTCGCAGAAGCGACAAAGCTTTGGAAGAACATTGATATCATTGTGAATAATGCAGGCATTGATGACGAATGTTTGATTGATGACCTCACAGTTGAAGGATTTCACAAAGTTCTGCAGGTGAACACCGTTTACCCAGTTGATTTGGTCAAACTCTGTATTCCATACTTCCGCGAGAGGCCAAGAGTCATCAATATTTCCAGTGTTTTTGGCAGAACTTCGAACTCATATAACGGTGCCTACTCTGCTTCAAAGGCCGCATTGGAAAATGTGACCAAAACTCTTGCTATTGAGTATGGCCAAAAGTACGGGCTGACAGCTAATGCTCTGTCTGTTGGTTCAACGGCAACCGATATGTGGTACAGCGCTACGCCCGAGATTCTTGAGACATTCGATCCAATAATCAAGGCCACTCCTGCCGCGGCAAGAATTGGACAGCCTGAAGACATCGCCGACATTGCTGTCTTCTTAGCCGGAGAGAGTTCAAGATGGGTTACGGGTTCAACCATCTGCGCTAATGGCGGTATGCTATTCATCTGATATTTGATAGAAACAATGATATAACAATTAACCTTCTTCTCTTTATAATTCGACATACTTGCAAAAGCTTAAGTTCTTGGATTTACCACGCCCTTTTGTAGTTCACAAGCTGATGTGGCTGTCATTTACCATGTTTCGATTTCCAGTTGTGTGCTGGTGAGGAGTTGCTATGGCCTGGCAGTGGTCTAGTTCAACTTTTTGGATGCCACTTCGTTCTCCATCTTCTCTGCCTCGCCATACAACTTCTCACCTTCCATGGTTGAAGTGACCAACATTTCCCCCCATCTCTCCCCTTTTACTTCTGTCGAAACGTGGACAATAGACTGAGGCTCTATATTGCCAAGAAAATGAACGGAGTTTACGAGCCCGAGGGCCGATTGTGAATGGCCAGGGTAAATTTGAGGAAGTCATCGTGGCATCCTTTGCGATGTGACTTCTTTTACATTTCGAGAAATAGGAAAGCTGAGGTTTATATAATTAAGCTGAAATACAATTCTTTCACCCAAGCCACTACTAACCTGAATAACAGTACGGATAGAAGTTGTGCCTAAGTATAGGATGTCCATCGTATTCACATGGGAGCTTGTTGAAGGCAGGGCATTCGGGAGGGGATCTTGTAACGGTAATTAATATCAAAAGAATGAATATTGATACTCTTCATGCGCAATTGCTAACCTATGAAGATATGGTGCACAATCGTGTACCCACCAATATTGGGGGGTATGTTTGATATACATTTAACCCGAACCCGCGTTATCTATAACTTAATGCCATTTTCGTGAGATCCATTGGGCGTACACTGCACACTACCTGCTATTAATTTTTTATTGCATGCATTACCCCACATTTTTCGGGGTGCCAGCCGTTTATTAAGTCTTTTCCCCCCAATAACCCTCCTTACTTCCGTATTGTGTAAACTGGAAAACTCAATAACTGTCCAAGGCAAAGTTTCGGGTCATCATTTGACCGCTAGAACGATGTTGTTGCAGCCTGAATTTGGATTGTTTTCTCGGCGGAATAAAAGTCGATTTCGACACGCGCAACCGCAAAGGCATGCACGTTTGAGGTAAAAAGTTTGAGACTAGGCCATTTACCACACGATTGGTGGATTTATGCCTTGATGCATCTATATTGTCTAACCTGAATGGGTTATGTAGAATAAAATCTAGTGACTAAAAATACAAGCTCCACGCTACCACAGTAATACAAATCCAAAGGCGTTGTTCTAGGTTTACTTGGCGCGTGATGTCCTTCCCCGAATTTTCATGGGTTGAAGACAGGAAATTAAGAAACATAGAGAATAACGGCAAGGATTTGGAAGCACATCACTCTTTCCCCCGAATTTGATTAGGCAAAGACCCTTAGATGTCCGACATGCTATTATTCTGCCGAGCTCACCAAGGAAGCCCGGTCATAGCGCGAACTTGCATATATTGGGGGTTGGGAAATATTATTTTGAACAGAAAAGAATAACAAATACAAGATACATTGAGCCTGAAGGTGGAATTGTGTTTTAGTGAATTTCCGGTTGCCATGACCGTAAAAACTCATTTATGAGCAGCTTGATTTCCCCGCAATTACAGCATTATTGCAAATATATGTTACTTACTTTATATAAGGATATATACTGGGGCGCTCCTCCTCCACATGAAGAGGCCGAAATACAAAAAAGTATTGTGTAACATCTGCAGTTCGTGTTACTTGCTGAACATTCGATTATGCAGGAAGATACTGAGGCTGTCCCGGATGTCATGAGTCCTTCAGCTACCAACGATTATACTACTCTTGAGACTGCCGCACATGCTCAACAAAAAATTGAGCATCAGCTCACTAGATGGCAGGCAATGAAGACATATCCCAAGGCTACTGCTTGGATTCTGTTCAACGTTTGGGTTATGATTTTGGTAGGCTACGAAAATCAGGCTGGTGGTATCGTGATCTCAATTCCCCAATTCAGAAAAGATTTTGGATACTTCTATGAGGGTACCTATGTTCTTGACGCAACCTGGCAATCGATGATGTCCGGCATTCCCACAGCAGCAATGGCAATCTCCGGTTTTGGGGTATCATACTTTGCTGACAAATTTGGAAGAAAATACATCCTGATTTTGATGTTGGCCATCACAATTCCATCCATTGCCATGGAATATGTTGCTACTGATATTCGTCTTTTTATCGCGGGTAAATCGGTGAATGCATTATGTTTGGGATGTTTCAGCACTCTGTGTCTCACTTACGTCTCCGAAATCTCTCCAATGGCCCTCAGAGGCTGGGCTGTTGCTTCATGCACCTTGTCGATGAGTATTGGACCTTTTGTGTGCTATCTCATTAATAACACCACGGCAACATATACTACAAGAATGGCATATAGGGCTGTGTTCATTCCACAGTGGGTGTTTTCTGTTTCATGTCTTTGCTTAGCTCCATTATTACCAGAGTCACCCTATTACCACATTAAGCAGGGCCAAACTGAAAAAGCCTTGAACTCTTTGAAAAAACTATACAATTCAACACAGGCTCAACAGCAGTTTGCGCTGATGAAGGTCACTTATGACGAGTTGCAGTTAATCACTCAATCATCCACATATCTGGATTGCTTTAAAAAGAAGGATATCAAGAGAACTTTTCTGGTCCTATTTGGTATGTGGACAGCACCAATGTGTGGATTGTACTTTGTCGCCTACTACTCAACATATTACTATCAGCTTGCTGGAATGACTACTGAAACCTCATATCAGTTGAGCTGTGGTGCTCAGGCCATGTCGATGGCCGGTGTTATTACATCATGGTTTATTATGGACAGATTTGGTCGGAGACCTTTGATGATGATGGGACTGGGTTCACTGGTGATTCTCAACTTCATTGTTGCCGGAGCTGGAACAAACACGGGAAATCCAGTGGCAATGAAAGTAGCAACTGCCTTCATGTCCATGTATAACTTCTTTTTCAATCTGGGTATGGGTCCAATGCCATCCATCTTGAGTGCTGAAATTTCTTCCGTCAGCTTGAGAGGAAAAACCATCTCGTTGGGTGCTATTCTCAACTTCTCGCTTGCCTGCATGTGGTCTTTTGTTTTGCCCTACATGTTCAACCCAGATAAGGCTAACATGGGATCTAAGATCAACTTCATTTTCGCCGGTATGTCCGTTGTGTCCCTGGTTGTTTTCTACTTCTTTCAGCCCGAAACAGCAGGTAGATCTTTCGAAGAAATCGACGAGATGTACGATAAGAATATTCCTCCACGGCAATGGTCGAGCTATAAGACTGAAAAGCAGACTCTGAGCGAAAAAGGTTTCTTAGACCTCAAGGCCGAAGCTTCTCATATTGAATTTGTGGATGATGACTGATAAGATCGAATGAGCTAGCAGCCTTCTTTCATTCTCGCGTTGAGTTGCCGAGATTAGGTTTTTATCACTTACTCGTGAAACTTCCCCTCTTCTATAATGTTTTTTTAATAATCCGACGGGGGCTTTCTATCCTCATAATCCGACGGGGGATGTCGTTCAAGATATAACCGAAGACCTCAGCAGAGGGATGATAGAAAGAATAACCTTTTTGTTTGAACATAATTGGCCGTTTTCCAAATGAGACTGAATTTTCTGCCATACCCATTAGCACGAAGTACAGCAATGACAAAAAACGACTCCACCTCTGGAAAGGCGCCGCCAGTCCCATCAGATGTTTTCCAGAAAGCAGATCCAATCACGAGAGCTTGGAAAATGCCGGAGCATACGGTAGTGACCGCATATCTCTTGTCGCCAACTATGCTCGCCAACGGTGCAGCTGAGTGGCGTAACTAGCGGTATATCTAGATTGAGCTCTGGCAAATATTCCTCTCTCTTGTTTGTGAACAGCCCTCAACGTAGCAACACTTTTTTCAACATCGACTTGAGGTCTTCTGTTGGTTATCTCACGTTTCGAGATGTTCTTTGTAATTTCCCCAATTCTGAAAGGCTTAGATAATACGTCTCCAATGGTTGGCGCAAACGAAGCGACTTCGTCATGACCGTAGACAGTAACATACTGCATTTCTACCCCTAAACTCTTCAACGGCATAACGAAACGGTCTGTCCTTCTGGAAATTGTCTGAAAGACTTTTTGTAACTCAAAGTCATTAGGGTCGATAGTGAGCACGAAGCTGCCTGCACTTGTGCTCAGGGTAGGCTCTCTATGGTCCGCATGGTCTGCATGGGCGCAGATTGATGCCCGTCGCAATGGGTTTCGATCGTCTGCATCTGATAACTTTGGGTGCCGTTTTTTAGTGCGACAACCTCTCTTTGATGAAGTTTCGAAATTTACAATCAATTGTTATGCGACAAGCTTTCGTTAAGTACATTTTGATCTCCCGGATATCCTTTGAAGGGGATGTTTCAACAAGAAAAATCATGAGAAATCATAACTTTCAATATAAGTGTGAACAAATATGTATTGTGAGAATCCACTATCAATAAAAAAATCGAGGAAAATGACTTAAAAGTGATGAGCAGATCCCAGGCAACAAGTCCTTGATTACTCACGAAGTCGCTGCGTTGAAATGGTGGGAGAGCGTTGGTCCTTGAAAAAATAACTGCCACTTAACAACTCTTTGGTCAAACTGTCGAATCCGGCACATCCAATCAATTATAATTGCTAATGGTATAGTCCCTTGATGCAATACTCAATATAGTGATACGAATGTTTATCTACGACGCTCAAGTACATGATAACAGGGGAAGTCCGGACAAGTGGGCCTGCGATTAGGCACGACCGGTTTCATGCAGGCCCTGTAACTACCGGAAAGAGGGAATCCGGCTAATTTTGTTTTACCTTCTATAAAAGCCATGCGTTGCTCCAGGCTTGAAATTTCTATTTACAATATTTGTTGATGACATGTCATTCCCTGGAGATTTTGTTCCGATTTCGGAAAAGTTTGTGAAAGCGGGTTTAGAGCCCGAATACATCGCGTTTTCTGACAAGTTCAATCTCGCATCATTCACTTCCCAAGATATTCCTCTCGACTATTTCAGAGAGGACCCCACCCGTGTCATAATCTTTGAGGGTAAAGAGAAAGTTGAGTTTGATGGCACGGTGAAAGACATCAGGGTTGCCGTTGATGATGGAGAGATAACAGTAAGGTGCTACATTCCGAAGAACGCAATGAACGAACCAGAGCCAAGACCAGCGTATATAGACTTCCATGGCGGAGGTTACGTTCTTGGCTGTCTTGAAAATGACGACAACTACTGCAAGCGTGTCTGCAATGAAACAGGTGCTGTATCGTTTAATGTTGATTATAGGCTAGCACCTGAGTTTCCTTTTCCAGCCGGTATTGAAGACTCGTGGGCCGCCGTCAAGTACATCATCGATCATGCTGAAGAACTAAAAGTCGACAAATCTAAAATCGCCATAGGTGGGTATTCAGCAGGTGCAGTATTTACTGGAGTGATGTGCCACAGAGCGAGAGATGCAGGTATAAAAATTTGTCTTCAAGTGTTAGGCGTGCCATGCTGTGATACCAGGTCCATCACTCCTGATGGGACTAGAGTTGAACCAGATTGTCCATATCAAAGCTGGAAAGACAACCGTGATAATCCCGACTTATCATTCCGGATGATATCATGGTTTCAGTCCCAATACCTGGGAAATCCCAGACCTGCTGAGTTTGATAACAACCCAGAGGTGAACATGATCCTATACTCGAACTTCAAAGATATAGCTCCTGCAATCGTTATTACAGCTCAGTTTGACGTTTTTCGGGATGAAGGTGAACTATATGCTCATAAGCTTCAGGAAAATGGTGTTGACTGCACACTTGTAAGAATGCCAGGTGCCGTTCATTCACATATGGAATTTGACGGAGTTCTTGGAAGCGGCAAGAAGTATAATGAGCTCTCCATTGGGGCCATGAAGGCAGCATTCAGGAAAGCTGGATATGCAATATGCTGAAAGGGCCTCTTGGATTGGACTCTTCCATGGTTTTCCAAAGTGAAATATCTTCAAATTGTGTAGCAGGGCAACAGATATATTATATTAGGTTTGTGTTTTGAAGATGCTGACATTAACGACCGATAATATTAGTAAATCCGTAAAGTCTTCAAGTAGTTTTCCAGCAATGAATCACCGCTTTTCACTCAAGAGAGGAGAATAGTTGGATCCAGCTCCCTAACAACACTTATCCAGCTCACGTTGTTATCGTGTTTCCTTCTTTCCCATACTGCAAAAATAATGTGTATTGCTCTTTCCAAACTTGTTCCTGTGTACAACTGGAACGATTCTAGATATATCTGGAGCACCCGCTGCGCTTCTCCGGAGGTCGCTTCACAAGCAATAACGAAGACTGGCCACAGTAATCCAACTCCATCAAATTCATTTGTAATTTCATGGTCAATCTTGAGGTGGTATACGCCAGTATTCACGATGTCCTGCAACTCAAATGGACTCTGTTTTTTAGCTTCCCTCTCAAACAGCAATCTCATTGCAGTATGAAATATCATTGACTGGTTGTGAACAATCAATCCGTTTTGTGAGTCAAAGTATTCTCGCATCTTTCCAGGTTCACAAGCATCGATATCCATCTGAATAGCATCAATCGTTTTCACAGTCTCACCAAGCTGAAGGTATTTCACGACCTCTGCCAAGCAGGTAATCATGCTCTCAGTGACACCTAGATTGCGGTATATCAGCGACTGCATTTCCTGATCAGTAGAAAACTGTATGCAATCCAAATCTACTACAGAGATATACTTGTTGCAAACGTCATCATCATACACATAAAGCGTACTGAACAGATACGTCAGCTTGGTTAGTTGTGCAAAATAAACAGATGGGTCAAGGTTTTGATCCCCGTTTCCCAGCTTCTTCATTGTCTGTAGCATCGACAATGCTCCTCTGAAATGAATCTGCCACTCTTTTGTGTTGTAGAATATATCGATGGTGAGTAAAAACAGCATTGAGGCTGCCAGGAGCCCCAACTCTCTGGGAAGGTATGTTTCTTTGCGCATATAGCATATAGAC